TTAAAATCGTTGCACCCCCCCCCCCCCCCCCCTTTTAACAGCCCCGCAGCAAAAGTGAAGGGGTCAACATTAGCGTTCCCCAAAGCGTTCGTGTTTCCAAACGTCCTGCTAACTCGTTCCCTAATGATCCACCAATAGATCTTAACTTTTATTTTTCTTCTAAATATTATTCTAAAACGATTTGAAAATCGATAGAGAGAGAGAAAAGTGCTGTAGAAAAATAGCAGGGCTCAGGTTGGGCCGGCTGGGGGGAGACATGTTCGGTGCCTGCTTCGGGATAGTATAGCTGGAACCGCCAGTGTGGCTCTTTGCTTCTCCGCGTCGTAACAAAAAAAAAAAAAAAAAAAAAAAAAAAAAAAAACGGCGAAAAGAGCAAGTTGTTTTAATCCACCTTTTTCAGAAATGCCAGTTGAAGGCGTCTCAGAAAAAAAAAAAAAAAGGCGCTTCAAAATTTGCCGGTCGTTCGTGAATCCATGGAACGCGATCATATGTTTTCCTGCCAGAACCTCTAAAACTGTAATTTCGAAAGCGATGAATTTCATCTTGGTTATGTGCAGTGCTTAAAGTCTACCGTAATCTACGGGGGTCTCTACAAACTCTGACTAAAGGGGGGGGAGTCATATTAGGTACACGCAAAACCGACTTGACTAGTGTGTACTTGTAGCTCGACATGTTTTGTGGAAAACAAAAAAACGCCTGACGACGTGATAAATCTGGAGGGGGGAATCAGATCATGTCTTATTGTGAGACTCGGTTATGGTTTTCTCAATGCCGAAGGTATGACAGGGGGTCTCAAACCCCGCATCAAAATTGTTGGGGAGTCCGAGATCCCTCGAGTCGAGACCCCCCTGACTTTAAGCACTGATATATGTAGCTAGCTGGGCTTGTGACCTTTTGTGCTTTCTACCGCTATGTGGATTCACAAAACGCGGCTGAACCTGTTGATCCTACTCCCAAGATTTCATTCCAGTGACAATGTTAATTAAGCTTTAATTTAGGCTTCATCTAAACCTACCGTGCAACCCAGCCAAACCTAATCAACGTGATTCATCAGCCTTTTCCAGAATGCCGAAGCTCAAAATAGCCTTCCTTAAATATTAAAAAAAAAAAATAAATAAATAAATAAACAAAGACAGACATTACGGTTAATGATTATGCACGCAATTGGTCAGCATGTCAAATCCTATCTCTAGGCCAGGGGTCTTCAAACTTTGTGGCTAAGGAGCCGGTGAATAAATAAGAAAATACAAATAAGGAAACACTAAATAAACATCCTAGATAATCATTTAAATACAAAATTGAAAATTAGAGTAACTATGAAACAAGGATGTAAGGTGAACGAATAATGAATACATATATTTTACATTACAATTTAATACTAAGTTAAATTAAAGCGCCAGAGGGACGTTGACATGTTCACAGAGGGCAGAGCACCAATGAGAATAATGGACCTCATGCTGACAACGCGCAATTGTTATACGGAGCGATACTTTTTTAATTCGAAATCGATTAAAAAAACAAAAAAGCACCTTTACTGCTACGTGAATGCCGTCTTTACTAAATGCATCTTCAGCTCAGCGGATATTCGGAGGCGAACAACCGTCACAGTCTGGTGAGTAATTAACTAAAATTCGTTAACTTTTTAATTAGTAAAAATATACATATGGTTCCAATTAGAGCCATGTTGAGCGTCATTTAAAAACCATTAAACCAGTCATTTTCCGAAAGACTTGGAGCGCGTGCGAAGCACAGTAGTGCGCCAAAGTGACCACTCATGCAGCAGGGCGATAAGGCACCCGCGCGATTTTTCCGTCTCTTTTCATAGCCCCAGCCTTGTACCTGTTGCACCAGTGGTACCTTTGCGTACTATACTACGCTTCCCACGCGCTCAGTCTTTCTGAAATACTGATTTAATGGTTTTAAATGACGCTTAGCAAGTTTCCAATGGGAACAAAATGTCTATTTTCACTAATTAAAAAGTTAATCAACAAATTTGTGTTAACCATTCACCAGACTGTGATGGTTTGCGTCTCAAATGTCCGCCAAGCTGAAGACGGCATTCACGTAGCAATAAAAACGCCTAAAAAAAAAAAAAATTGTTTCGAGTAAAATATAACACCCGTATATTATAGGGTGCCTTTATGTCCCGAACATGTCGGCACTCTAGTATATTATGCTGTCATATAATATCTGCTGCAAAACAAAGGAACATTAGCATACATATACAGGGTGTCACAAATGAAAATTTACACGGTCTTTTTTACCGCAAAAATAAACTAGGCATCGCCGAACGCTCATTCTGTGCCCAAAGGTAGAGCTAGAGGTCACAACCAGATGCCAAAGTTTCAGCCCGATCCGATAACTTAATCGAAAGTTGTAAGTGATTTCCTGAAAATTTCAATGGGAAAATGGAGCCCATTTTTGACCGTTTTCGGTTTCTGGTGCCATAGAGCCCCATGTGTTTGAAAACTCCGTCGGCCGCCATTTTCCCATTGAAATTTTCAGAAAATCACTTATAACTTTTGATGAAGTTATCGGATCGGGCTGAAACTTTGGCATCTGGGTGTGACCTCTAGCTCTACCTTTGGGCGGAGAATGAGCGTTCGGCGATGCCTAGTTTATTTTTGCGGGAAAAAAGACCGTGTAAATTTTCTTTTGTGACACCCTGTACTTACATATATATGAATCAGGGGACTAAGAATAGGGATTCTGGTGATGACAATGTCCTATTAATAATATGGCTAAAGGACCTGCGTTACAATAGGCAGTTTCTTCTCGTTCTTTGTGGTATCTTAGTTTGGTCGGTTAGTGCGCGGTGCCGTTTCTTTACTTTTGGCGCCCGCAGCAGCGGGCCTGTTGGAAGCAGACCACGTGCCGGACTTTGAGTTTTAGTAGACCGTCGTTCCTCCTCCGCTACCCGGAACTTTACAGCCAAGGCCATCGGCGCGCAGGCGCAGTGGCGGTTCCGCATGAGACTCGCGCATGCGGAGTTCACATCGGACACGTATCGAGTGTGCAAACACGGTCCCTATAAAACTCTCCAATAGAGAGTTTTATAGGGAATCCCAACGCTCTCCTTGGTGCTTGGGTAACTTAGAAAGAGGTATAATGTATTCGTTTCGTTTTACTGATTAAAAAAAAAAAAAAAACTATACTTGTTTTTACCTTAAGATTCGTAGTAAAAAAAAGTCAAATTTTCGCGGAGAATTACTAACATTATCTTATCTTATCTTATCAAGACGTGCACGTTTCAAACGCCAAAAGCATCGTTTCTTCCTCCGAGGACCACATCTCGTAAGAACTACTTCGCGCGGCATATGAACAATGAGCAAAACTGCAGAAACACCCGGTATGCAGATCGTGTTCAATGTAGGGTACGTAATATACCCGAGAAAAGAGAACCGGGTTTTTCGGCCCGGATAAATAAACTATCTATCGTAGAAATGCAACTAGCGGTTCGGTTAGAACACGAAAAGTTAAGAACATAACGTTGTTTGTATTATAAAAAAAGAAAAGTGAAAAACGAAATTTTTTTTGAGCGAACATCACCTAACCCTATTATCAAAACAATACACATTGTGAACACTTCTGGGATTTACATCGGTAAAACTGAAAATTACTGTCTTATTTCTTGCTGACAAGTGCGTTTCAATGAATTAGATACTACAGGGGTTCACAATCTCATTTTATCATTGGAAATAAGTTCATATGGAAATTTCGTTTTTCTCGGTTACTTTTTGCCCCAGGCAATGTCCCGTTCTCAAACTTCCGTGTTCTATCCCAAACGCTAGCGTCCCATTTTCAGAGTTTGAGCTTTCTGTGATGCAATTTATATACACGTGCAAAAAAACATGGTTCTTTTTTCTGAAAACTGAAAAATACTGTCTTATTTCTTGCTGACAAGTTCGTTTCAATGAATTAGATACTACAGGGGTCCACAATGTCATTTAATCATTGGAAATAAGTTCATATGGAAATTTCGTTTTTCTCGGTTACTTTTTGCCCCAGGCAATGTCCCGTTCTCAAACTTCCGTGTTTTATCCCAAACGCTAGCGTCCCATTTTCAGAGTTGGATCTTTCTGTGGTGCAGTTTCCTTACACGGGCAGAAAAACATGGTTCTTTTCTTGAGAACTTCCAGCATGTGGTTTCGTGATGTGCAATCATTTCTGGAAACAAATGGGAGCAGAAGTCCACTCCCTTGAACGAATCAATGCCGGTGTCCGTGCGGATGGCACCTGGGGCCCTAATCTACACAGCAAAATGAAGTGGGACATCGCCACCTACTGCAATTAGCAAGGAGCTGACCAACTGCAACAGGCGGCAATGTCCCGGTCCCGCCGTTTAGATGGACCCCAGGTCGACACACCATGCAAGGCTGGCACGCAACTAACCCTTTACACATAAAAACGGCACGTGGTGGAGGACTTGCCAACTACCATTTTCGAGGTGATCACGCGATCAGCTGCACAGGGACAAACGAGGTTTAAGTTGTCTGTGCAACCGAGTACTTTCTCGAGCCATATGTGGACGCTGTTTTGCAGGCTCGACGGGCTAGAAACGCATTTCGCTCCTCGCGAGGAAGACTCGCAACGCAACGAAAACAGCATTAAAAACTTTTGCATCCAGTTAGGGTCGGATTTAGAGGGAACGAAAAGCGGGTGGGAGAACCCCCCCCCCCCCCCCCTCTCAATGTCAACTTTGTTTTAATAAAATCATTAACATACACCAGCGCCAAAAGTTTTGATTTTGGTGACGTAGCAAATATTGGGTCAACAAAATAGATCTGGGCAATGTTTCGACCGCTATGTCATTCCTCAACAGACTAACCCCCCTCCCCCCTTTCCACTGCCGAATGCCTACCGCCCCTTCCTGGCGCGACTCACAAATCCGCCCCTGCCTCCGGTGAGTTTAGGCACGCATAGAACTCTTCTTCTCGAAGGTCTATTCCCACAGAGTCAACGTGAGAAAACCAGGCAAGTGACGACACCAGTTAAGGATGTGTGTGTGAGAACAGTATTTAATCATCTCAGGCGACCAAGGCGGAGGCTGTGGACGACTCGTACCTCCAGGATGGAGCCAGGATGCGCTTGGCCTTGTAGTAGCGCACCAGCCGGTGGATCCTGCTCTCGACCAGGATGAGCCGGAACTTGGAGTCCCGGTCCTTGCGGTTGCGCTCCAGGTGCTTGCGGATGGCCACCGCCTTCTTGATAAGCGAGTACAGGTCCTCGGGCAGGGCCGGGGCCAGACCCTTGCCCTTCAGGATGCGCAGGATCTTGTTGCCCGTCACCCAGCGCACCTGCATGGCGGGCAGACAACGTCACCTCCTGCCACACTCCAGCGCCAGTGAATGAATGCCTTCTCAGGCTGCTAGATGGTACTATGTCGTGATTGATATGAAGATCGTACCAAACCACATCATTCAGAGAGCTACACAAGTGTTAAACATTCGTACAAGCTTACCTAACAATCTGGCAGCGTAGCGACTACTAAAATATTAATTTCTGCTTTGTTAAAAAAAAAAAAAAAGGGCTTCTGCTGCAAAGTATTTGCATTTTGGTTAAATGGAGCAGAACGCAGCAGGGTAAGCACTTCGACACAAATGGTGCAGAAATCGCATCACTGCTAACTACAGTAGAAGCTACGGAACGAATGGCCATTCCATCAGTGGGGCGAGGGGGCGACCTCTGGCCAGATGCTAGTAGTAGCCAATGCAGCCAATGGCTAAAAGATCACACGGGTCACTTTAGATCCACAGACTGCCAAAGCTACATATAGCTCACTAACATGCGATGGCATGACTCTAGCCGTTTTTATCTCTATTGCTTCATTGTACACTAAGATTTATCCCGCACAAAAAATGGAAAACTATGCATTGTTGTGTTCATCCTGGCTATGATCCAGGGAAATAAAATATGACCTCTTTGGACATACTGCAAAACATTTGCAAGTAATCTGCCATTTCCAAATGCTTGGCAAGCTTGGATTGCTCTGCCAAGTCCCATACATGTGGACAGTTTTGCAAGGCAGACAACCATTCAAGGCACTGTCAAACCTTTGCAGGCACTATGCTGGGAATATTCGGCATTTCCAAGAAAGATCATGCCTGAAGCATAAGCCCTTAGTGAGCTGTATCCCCTCATAGGTCCATACAAAATCAACATGGCATGTTCTGAATGTGAACAGCAGTTTGACAGACTTGGTCTAATCACTGGGGAACAACTTACTGGACTAGCCTTCAGGGAGACATTTCTGGAGTTAACAGAAGCTCACTCGCACAAATCAGGTCCAAGCTGACTGTGGATCTAATTTTGTTTCTTTCAGAGCATTTAAGCTTTGGTAGCAGGTTTTGTAGCAGGCAAAATAGTGATTTGGAACAGTCACTGATGCTTTTGGAGCAAACTCAAAAATAAAGGAGTGATTGCATCGCTGAATGACTTTACACTTGATAATGATTGAGGGTTCAATACTCTTTGATACTGAAGTCTTTTGTAATAAAAATAAAGCGGAAAAGGAACACACAGCTTTTTTTTTGTTAGAGTAGGTCCTATTTACAACGGGTATTAAAAAATGGAAGCAAAATGAATCGAAGTGCAACACTTCAGTTGAGATAGTGCCCCCCCCCCCCCCCTTTTTTCCCCCACTCAGTAGTTTATTAAGTCTGTAAATATAATGTCTGTAAAATGCCGGCAAAAACCACACCCGCTAAAACGCTTATCGATATAAATAGCCCCCCCCCCCCCCCCCCCCCCTCCCTCAGTTTTATGCTCTGACCAAACTCAAGATTCTAATATAAAATACTATGAAAACCTAGACTGGAGCTATAAAAGTGACACCGCACTTGAAAGGCGTTGAAACCAGGGTCGAGTCAAAGTTTGCTGCTCTTTTGATCGATTGCTGCACGGGAGCTACCTCGACTACCGTATTTATTCAAATATAAACCCACATTTATTTTCTTCTTTCCTTTCTCGGCAAACCTTTTCAAAATTAGAGGTTAACTTACAATGAAGATAAAACAAAAGTAGACCTTTAATAGTTCTCAGCATAATTTCTCAGCCTATGGTGCTAACCCGGGCCCTTCCCCACGTCCAGCCATTGTTCCTGCCACTCCAATGTAAAACGGTGAAGCCCAACGTGCACAAGTGCTGGTGTGAGGTGGTGACTGTTAATGGGAGCGGTGCAAGTACCACAGTACGTACGCATACACTCTAGCCACAGCACAAAGGCTTGTGGCAAACATGATAATCAAGTGCTCTCATCAGGAGTAAAAGACTCAAGTTCTACCTAATCCCAGCAGCTGCCATTCCACTGTCTTGCAAAATGTTCTTGCGACATCTAGCTCCAGGCATTACCGACGTCATCTTAAAACTCAGACGAAGATGGTGCCAGCGCGGTGGACAATCCATCTCTATACTCAGTTTCAACTTAAGTCAATGTGCACCCGACGCCACAAGCCAATGAGACCAATCAAACAGCGTCAAAAGTGTGACTTCATGGCAGTCATATTTCTGTTTAAGTTCTTTCATTGGTTAAAGTCACTAAACCAATCAAGCGCAGCAAGTACCCCATGACTTACGCTTATACTATACGGTGGGCTGAGACGTGAAATACACACAAGTACCATTTCCTTCCCTTCTACTTCTCTGAACATCGGGGTCGACCAATGATAGAATATTTTTATTTTTGCTTTGTTTAATCCTATCTCAGCACAGGTGTGGCACAATTATTAAGAACAAAAATTTTGGCACAAGATGTAGCGGCTTTCAAAGGAGGCGCAATTTTGCACAGGGCTTCCATCACTGCTTTCACAATTTTTACTTCTTGAAACTGCCTCTTCTATTCAGATTAGAGAGCTCAATAACAGCAACCATGTAAGTAAGCATATGAATCGTTGCCCAGATACTAGAAGAAAATCATGGTATACACAAAAGGAAGCGGCTGTGGTGCATTGTTAAAACTACACTCCTAAAAAACCTAAAAAAAAAAAAAGAGACTAGATTGCAACTACACAGTATTTTAAACACCAGTTAAATTTTTCAACCTTAAAGCATTGCAATGTCACAATATTTTCAGGGTCTGTTGACATTCTTTCAAATCAACCAGCTGCCTGGTGCCTTTGACACATTCAAAACAGCATCACAACAGTTTTGAATTATCTGGCGTTTCCACTGCCGCAAATCGACACAGCAATTCAATATTGCTGCAAAAGGGGCCAGTTCTAGCAAATTCTGTACTGGAATCTCGGGCATTTTTTCTTCAACACTCATCTCTTCCGTGCATGCTCACGAGTTGCCAAAGCGTTATCAAAGGCACGAAGTTCGCCAGTCCCGCAACCTCCGACTAGCCAGCCTGGGTTCGCGCGTGGAATGGTCCAACAGGGGTCAGAAGGGATCACCTGAGCCACTCCGTGGGAGTCCCTGAGGATGACGCCAATTTGGGAAGGGGTCAGACCCTTCTTGGCCAGCTTGTAGATGTGCTCCTTGACGTCCTCCGGCGACAGCTTCAGCCAGGTTGGCACGCTGCGCCTGTATGGCAGAGCCGACTGGGAAATACCCTTCCCGCTGCAGTGCATACGACCCATCTTGGCTGCTTGGGGGGGCTACCTGCAAGAGTGTGAACGGCAAGCACCTTTACTGAATGGAAATCCACGGAACGCTCAAACAATGCACAGTAGAAAAAAGAATGTTTTGAATGACAGGCAGCAGCAATGTGCTGGCCTGACCCATTGTAACCATTAACGGAAAATGCTCCAATCGAGAATTCGGGAAAATGCTCCAATAGAGAATTCGGGGAATGCCAATCTGACATTAGTGTCGGTGCAGTCTACGCATGGACATGCTAGGAGTTAGTCCCAAGTATTGCTAGCATGGAAGCACTATGGACATTTTGCTAAATGACCAAGGCACTAAGAGCAGGCTGGAAGTTAGATTGCATGGGCTGCACATGCTAGCGTATGTAGCAGTAACTGTTTTAAAGCGAATGCCGGCCCCCCCTCCCCCCAAAAAAGCAGGTGCTTTGCATGTGCGTTTTTCAATGTCTTAATTTGATTATTTACTTTCAACCTTATAGAGATAAGGTATGCTTTGAGAAGTATGGCTGTATACTATACCTTGCATTCTGCCTATTATTGACATGGTGAACAATGGCTACAATACTTGTTTTCCCCTCGAACCATAGTGATAAAAAGTCCGGCACCTCGTAAAGCATTACTAATATCCCCCTTTATGTGGATAATTAAGAGATATGTAGGTAATTTTAGATTATATTTATGTTATCTTATCAAGTCATACATGTTCCAAATGCCAAAAGCATAGCTTTTCCCTTCGACAACCAACTTTGCGCCACGTATAAACAATGCGCAAAACTTGCTTTTTTCGTGAGGTGAAAAGGGTATACTTGTAGTGAATGTAGTCAATGACTCTAGATCAGATAGGTTGATCAAGTTCCCAGAACACCAAAGCTCAAAGCTACTGCTAACTAACTTTTGATAACATCACTCTAGGATTAATATTAATATGAAACTTCCGTGTGTGTTTCTTAGGCATCATGACTTCTTTGTTCATCAAGATTTGTCCATAGTAAAAAGTTGAAGCTGCATACTGCTATGATTCCTGAAATGCAAAAGTATCGCTTTCAACCCACCGCAAGATAGATTAACCAGTTTACATTCGAAAGCGGTAAATCATACACTATGCTGGTAACTTATGGTGAATTCCGCTCGCAGATCTCGAGCGCTCCAAAAGCGCTCCATTTGGAGCGCGCGTATTCCGCTCGCAGATCTGGCTCAAGTCGGTCATCTTCCGCTCGTAGATCTCTGGCAGCGCCCGCTCCACGGAGCGCCCCAAACTCCGCCGAACTTGCTCTGCGGGATTTCACGGATCTCTCCGGAAGCTGACAGAGCGGCCCACGTGACTTGTGTCTAAATCGGCGGTGCGCATGCGCGGCGAGGTTGGAGAGATCGGCGGGCCGGTCGGGTCATGGAGTTGGATCTGTTCGGGTGTGTCGGTTGTTTACTCTAGATTGTGACGGCTCGAACGCTTCTACCTCGCGTAGATCAGGGATAAAAAGCCGGGAATGTGGAGCGTGGCAAATCGCAAGCGCTGACGTCTGTGATCGTGAGAGGAAGAACGAGAAAAAGAACAACAGAAAAGCCGGAGGCAGACGCAAGGTTAGGCCTATTCATTCTGCAGCCAGTGATTGTTTACCTTTTTACACTGCATTCCGTCGGCGTTTTCCCGTGAAATAAAACAAGAAGTGGTTAGGCAACGACCGCGCAAGGGATGGTTCGTTACCTTTGTGTTTATTAAAGTCGTACTACTAATCTGAACTCCACGCTGGCAATCGCTGTCCGTGCCCCGCCGCTTCGAGGCGGCCGAAAGGTATGTGACGGTGCCGAACGCGGACGTCTTCGTTATTTGTGACATGGGCGCCGCGGTACGTATAATTTCGCCCGGCCTGTGTCGCGTGTTACTTCTGCAGCTAAGCGGTGACAGTCCTCACTGGTCGTTGGAAAGATCAGCCGGCTGAGCCGTTGGTGGGCTGTTCAAGTTCAAGCAGCGGCCATTTTGTACGGCGGAAGGAGAAGGGGTGGGGAGGGGTGTGGGGGAGGTCGCTCCAAAAATGCAAGTTTATCTTCCCCTCGTCGATTCGGAGCGGGTCCCTGGGAGCGGAATTTTGCCTCCCTTGCGGATTTTGGAAAGCGCTCCAGATCTACGAGTGGAATTCACCATTAGACCTGAAGCACAACTCCGTAGAAGGTTGCATCCCCTCATAGGTCCATACAAAATCAACATGGCTTGTTCTGCATGTGAACAGCAGTTTGACAGACTTGGTCTAATCACGGGGGAACAACTCACGGGATTAGCTTTCAGGGAGAAATCTCTGAAGTTACCAATACCTTATCTAGTCTCTCCAAACTGATGTGCAACCTACATTCCCAGCATGCTGCTTAGTGCATGGGTAATTTGGCAAACGTGTGTATACTATGGCTTAAAACTGACACAGCAAGCGGAGCATGTGCAACACAAAAAGCCGGGCGTAAGATCGGTGCCAGTACAAGCATGCTGTGCTGGAAAGTACGGGACGCTGAAAATCGAAATGCCACTTAGCAAAGGGCTCACGCGCAGTGACGACCTATGTCACTTCACCTGTCCGCTCGACGCCGTCGAGCGTATGTCCAGAGAAAGCAGGCAAGTTTTACACCATTCCTATTGAAAGTCCTTATCGATCCCGTGATATTCGCAAACCAAACGCCTACTACAACACAACTGCGGACTTTTCTGATCCCTTTCAAACATAAAATTTTACCTCTTTTTCAATCGTTAGAGATGTTGACGTGTTTTAAGTAAAACTGTCGTTCTCCTGCATATGTCGGGGCAGCGCTGGTAGTGCCATTAGCCGACCAAGCCAAGGCACATGCGAGTGAAGTGGGACCGGTTAGGGTTAATGTAAGCATAAATTCCAACGCGGCAGAAAGAATCGCACGTAAGACTTAACATCGCTACAATTCAAAACGAAGGCGCACCAAATTGAGTTCGTTCTTGTCCTTCCAAAGAAGCCGTCATGACAAAAAGTTGGCCAACGTGACTTCAGCCACGATCGTGTTGCGCTTAGGCCTAACGCATACGGACAGTCTGGAGAAATAGAAGTCGCACAAAATGCGGCCGCCTTTGTTAGATGTGTCATGCCATGTTCGGAGATCTTATGCGGCTAATGGTCATAGATAGCAATTATTTAATACTCAATATACAGAGATATTTACTCACTTCAGTCCACGCGTGGCGGCTTCCTCAACAGAGGGAATGAAAAGGAAATGAGTTGCCAGACCGCGAGACGTTTGTTGTCCAAATTTGTAACAAAATACGATTTGTCAATAAGCAGCATTTGGTGCTCTTGGATACCTCATATCTTCATGATTATTAATTTTAAAACAATTTTTATTAAATAATTATAATACTCTTCCAATATCAAGATAATTTGTGTTGTATGTTGCGCAAGATTTACGCTACGTTTCTTAGGGCGCTAAGGGAGAGCGAATTATTTTTATAATTTGCGAATATATTTTTTAATTATGTCTTTACTTTTCTGTGTACCTTAATGTGCTACTTAACTATCTTGATTGTTTTAGGAATATTAATTTAGGAACTCCAAAACCCGAAATTTTGGAGCATTGAAAACGAAACTTCTGTGCGTGTGTTTGTTCTTCCACATGCTGCCAGCGCGGTATTACCAGTGCACGAGGATGCATAGTTTTTTCTTTTCAATTAAACTACATGCCAAATCGACATACTACACGTTGTAATAATAAAACAGACGCACCAAGACTGAAAAGGACGTTTCTATTTTTTTTTTTAATATCCCTTTATCTTCTTTCTGCCTCCTTGGTTTGATGTCAGTTCTGTTCCCACAAAATAAACATCACTATACCACACTATTAAATGAGTGAGCTCGTTGAAGGTGTAGAAGGCAAGGCATATGCCGTCAATCACTGCACTACAAGCACTTGGGCAACGTTACTGGAGCAAGCTGTTTCACAGCTCCGCGGCTCCGCCTGCGACGTGGGCTTAGTGGCGGTCACGAGAACTAGCAGCGCTGCACTCGAGTCTTGCTTCCGGATTGTCTAGCCCGCTTAGTTTGAATATCAATACTTGAGCTTAGGCGAGTTGTTGACTCACACTAACACTTCACAGCGCAAGGAAACAGACGCGCGCAAAAATAAATTTCAAACACTCAAAGAAAGAACACTCACAATGCACAGACTCTGATCTCTGGGGTAAAAAAATGGAAGAAAAAAAATGACCGCATCTCCACGTGGTGAATGATGTTGATTGGGGCAAAGCTCTGGTGGTGCTGATGATACTGATTTTGTTCATAGGTAGTGCTGATGGTGCTGATCTTTTTTTATTCTCTCCGGAGCAACTTGCTGTCTGCGTAGACGCTGAGCCGCAGCATGCCGAACTTTTTGTTCGTTTTCATCCATGTCAGAAAGAGAATGTGTGGTATGGAACGCGGTAATATACGCATTTGAGCATTTGACCGCAGCACCCTGTCGTCTATAAACGTTGAGCCAATGCATGCAAAGTTTAATGCGATTATATACGCATTAGACCGCAGCGCCCTCTCCTGTATAGACGTTGAGCGGCTATGTGCGTACGTTTCATCCATTACATCCCCAGCTCTTGAGTTACTACCACAACTCAGAGCCCCCTACTCGTCCTGCAGTCGTGGCCGAGTGGTTAAAGCGATGGACCAGAAATCCATTGGGGCCTCCCCGCACAGGTTCGAATCCTGTCGACTGCGCAAACATTTTTTCTTTTTTTAAGAAGACAGATGGGATGGCAATCGATGTGAGCACGGACGCCGGACAAGGCTAGACGCTAAAGAGCTTCGCCCCTAAAAAAAAAAGGGAGCTTTCAATGCAGTGGTAGCAGACCATGCGCGCGGCGCGAGACAGGGAAGCAAGATACGTCTGCAGCGCCGCTAGTTCTCATGACCGCCACCTGGGCTACTTGCCTCTGCAGGCGAGAATAGGGAGCTGCAAAACTGAGCTTGCTCTAGGAACGTTGCAGGAAAAAAAAAAAATTTAAACAATTCAGTTGAGACACGTGTCAAAAAATAAATTTTACGCGAAAAAAAAAAAAAAAAAGAGCAATACTGACAGCGAGGTTTATTCGAAATTCTGTGCACAGTCCATGACGTCACGGAATGGTCATTTGCTAAACGAGATGGTGATTCGCTTTTTCTACCTTAACGTGAAGACGAAGCCGATCCACTTCTGCTACACGCGCCCAATATTACGAGAAAGCAAGTGAAAAGGAGGGGACTACCGGCTAAACCGCCGTCTCACGCCAACAATATTGCTCTAAATTATTATTATTTTTTTGCGTAAAATTGATTTTTTGACAGGCGTGTACCAGCCAGACTGATTAAAAAAAAAACAAAAAAAAAAACATTATTTTTTCTTTTAGGGGCTTTTTAAAATGAAGTTACAAATTAGCAAGTAAAAAAAAAAAACACATACATGAACAAACAGACGCCACTAGCAAATATTCCTAACACAAAATTCTTCGTGTTGTCCCTAAAGGGGCCCTGCAATCATATTTAAGCGTGTACCTTTTTAGCAGTTTCCACGCCTCTTGGGGTTCAGGCAAGCCAGCGGGCACGGAGAGAGTTATTAAATATCAGCGCGTCATATTTTAACCGGACGATGCGGAAACATCCTCCACCTACGGGGGCGACCCGCTGTGCCTAAAGCGCGATATGTGATGACATTGTGACGTTTTTGGTCCTGGCCTTACTACTGGTCAGAGCCGCTAAAAGCTTTTTTTTTTGGTCGGAATACAAAATATATGGGACACGAACCATTTTAATTATTTACAAAAGCAGTTTTTGTTTATTACTTTAGACCAGAAAAGAAACAAATGCTGTTTATAAAGTACAGAAACAAGAAATGACCCGTCGACATACCCGCCACCAAGCGGTGGAAAAGGCGGTGCATACTAGAAAGGTGTAGTGGGATCAGGCACAGACAAGCGTAGAAAGGACCCGGATGTACACGGCAGCACTGCGGTCGTACGGACTGGAGGATCTGACCGGTTCAGAGCGTTCCGAAGGTCTTCGGCGAGCAGGTTTGGCTTGTGGTTTGGCCGTTTGGCGGTATGGCAGCGCGAAGTGGGTCCCGTTCTGAACTGATCTTTACCCTGTGTTTGCTGTCGTTTGTGGCCAACGAAGTGTCATGTCGAATGAGTGTTTAATCGCGCAGGAAATCCAATGCGAGCCGCCCTGGCTGCCCGCTTCATCAAGCCTATCTAGAACATGCTTTAGTGGTGCCCTCTCGAGCCGTCGACACGGAGTGCGGCAGCCGTGAGCACTCGCCGAGCTCACTTCCCCTCCTCTCGTTCACGGCCACTCAAGCAGCCAAGGACGTCATGCAGGAGGTTATTTTTTGCTTGTTTTTGTAGTTTTATTTTGCCTATAACTTTTAAAATAAAGGAAAATTTGAGAAAAGCAAAGTTTTATTAAGTTACTACGTTCAGTGTGCTCAGAATCGGTGCAAATTAAAAAGAAACGGTAAAAATGTCGTCGCGTTTTTTTGTGAACACCCTTAAAGGGTGTTCACAAAAACATTTGTGAACACCCTTTAAGGGTGTTCACATATGTTTTTGTCAACATTCAAAGAAAAAACAAACAGCCCTGAAAACGTGAAGGTGGCATGTGGCATGTTTTAATGATCAATTCAGGCGCGGAGAGCTGCAAACTGCTGGAACACTTCCAGCACATGGGGATCAATGTCGTTGGTGAAGACCAATGATTCCAGGGTAGTCACATACTTGAACACGTGCTCGTGGTGCTAGAAAACAACAGAAAACACAAATAATTTTTAAGAAAATGTTATACAAACTTAAAGGGACACTGACAGGGTATTTATGGTGGCCAAGGTTTTTATCTGTACATGATATATGAGAGCCATATTACCCAGACCACAATTTGCAGCTCAAAGTTTGTTTTCTTTCCACCCGAAAACTGCCGATCAAGAATAGGCCGGTTTGAGTCACGCTCACTCTCTTCTTCATGGTCATGTGCCATTCTTTATGGTTTAGACACAACCACCAAGATAATCAGTCATGGGTCATTGAAGGCACACACTCAATAGTAGTAAAAATAGACAAAAATATTATGTCCATTTTTTGTGGCTTCTAAATAGCTCCAAATACGTTAACTGAAAAAATAAAAATAAAAAATAAAAGTTGCACAGCCACATGATTTCTGGTAACTTTCTCCTCCTCTATATTTCTTCTTCCTCCCCAGTCCAGTGTCGGTTTCGGCTTCAAGCGGTTGCATATTTTGACTTTATTGAAAATTAATGTGACACTGTATCAAAATATTGATTAGGTAGTCTTCAAACACCATAATAAATAAAAAAAAAAAAAAATTGGGTGACATTAGATTTTTTTAATGGCACACTAACACAATAGCTATGCATGTCCAATTTTTTAACTTCACACACTATAAGACATTTTAGATATCCACAGATCCTAATTCCTACCACCAATGACCATGCAACAGCTGCCTTTCCAGATCAACTTTGCCCTCTCTCCCGTCCAGTCAAAAGTAGTGGAATAATAAAACTACCTGAACATAAGAATATTTACAAGTTCTCGAAGCTGCTTCATCTTGAGTGCCAACCAAAGACCCAAAACATAGTTTGGGTCCGGGGCATTTAAGTACTCTCTGTTAACTCCAAGGGGCTCCCCAGACTAACCCCAGGGATTCCCCAGACTAACTCCAAGGGTTCCCCAACCTAAACCCTGGGGGTGCATTGGACTGCCCCCAGGGACTCGAGCATCCAAGTTCTCTCAAACAACCTCACCAGTTGTAAAGTGCTCTTCTAGCTTAGGCACAATTTAAGCATCGATGAACAATCATCAGCCATTCATTGATATATGATTCTCAGCCAGACACTTCTGCTTTTCTCCCTGCTGTGTGCAGCAATACTGTTTGCAAACCTTGCAAGCTTCTGAACAGCTTCATACACAAATTGTCAAGGGGGAGGGAGGTTTGTTCCCCCGTTCTCACTCAAAGTAGCCAAGAGTTCTCCGACACAGCAAGCCCTGCTCTACTCGTTTGAGGGTAGGACACACACCTGAAAGAAGACCTCTTGCAGACGACCGAGCGTCCACCTGAACCAGTGGGTCTGGAAGTTGGTGCCCTCTGCCTCACAGTGCGCAATGTGCTCCGTAAGGCTCATGATGAACCGCTGGACGGGAAAGAAGAACACCCTCCTTGTTAGGCAAAACCAACGACAGTGGTGGCCATCAATTCTAGGTATGGGCGGATATTCGGTTATTTCGAATAGCCCATCAAATTCTGTCCTATTCGGTATTCGCTTCAAATCGAATTTAAGTATTCGACGGTATCGAATTATTCAACCTTTCCGAATACTCTGGCTTGGATTGCCGGCCAGGTGGCGCAAGCTTCCGACCATCTCGACCATTTCGTGCTCCCGAACTCAGTACACTTGAAATTACCCAATTGCAGAACCTCTAATACCCTAATAAGGGCAAATATAAAACTATAGTTTAAACATATCTAGTGGTATTTGTTGCTTGTACTATTCAAACTATTCGATTCAAAATTATTCGGCCAAAATCACTACTCGCTTCGAATTCGATTCTGACCTAAAATCCTCTATTCGCCCATGCCTAATCAATTCCTTTTCGAAACGCTTGGAAGTCAAGGGCAAAGGCTTGTAACAACACGCCCAAGAATGCAACAAACCAGGCCAGATATGTCAGGGGCAAGGAAACATGCATTGTTTCTTTCCTGGTTGGACTTTGGGTTTGCTGGGGCTTAGAGTTGCTATTTCTCTTTCAATGCTGTACCGCGAGTACTGAGGGCACACAGTGATACTCCAAAATCACGTACAACATCAAGTCAGTATTTTTACAGCTTAGGTAATTTAAAACAGTTTGCTTTGTCTTAAATTGCATTTATTTTTACAGTCGGCTGCGTCTGGACTTAAACGAAACAAGGCATAGTAATTGCAGGTCCCTGGCAAATGGTGACCTCCGCAAAAATGGTGTTACTAAGCCACGGCGGGAGATAAGCGACCATTGCCGACTTGGAAGGACAGTCGTTTCTGGCTCATCTAGAATAAGAAGACTTTCAATAAAAAACAAAAAAAGTAAAAAAAAAAATTATTTCTTTTTTTACTGAAAGTTAGTTAATTTCTTATTTTCACTTGATTTACCTTCGATTTTAGGTGGGCTATGTCTCGGGAGATTACGGTATATCGGTATCTCGTATGCAAGCCTGCAACAACCTTTCTCCAAAGTATGCTCGAAACACTACAACAGGCCGAGTGTACGGAGCTCCCCTAAACGTCTAGGTTAATTGTATAGGCTCTGCTCGCAGAGCCAGAGTATCGCATTCCTTTTTCTTTCGCCGCCAACTCCATCTTGGTGGAGAAGCGGTCACGTGCACCGAGCTGGATCCAACCTACACGTGGGAAAGCGACCTTGCAGGTGCCAATTTTCGGGCGGAGCATGTGTCTCGCTTTGCGTTTGCGAAATATACATCCTACACTAGAATCGAATGAACTGGGAGGTTCCTTGATCACTGAACAGTATGAGTAGCCACTCAGTACTGGATAATCGCGTTTCTTGACAGCAATGTATTAAATCATCCGTTTCCAAAGTCTGGGAAGCAAAACGACATGGAGGACAATCGCGTTGCTTCACGACTGTGCCAGCCTGCCAGCCACGCCTTTGTGTCTCCTGCAAAAACGACAGTTGCTTCCCGCAGTGCAACCTTGGATCTAAAATGGCCACCCGGGAGCCCCATTGCGATACTCTGCTCTGCAAGCAGAGCATACATAGTTACTCTACAAAACTCCTGCTTGAAGCACCATCTTCTCAGAGGTGCAACAAGCACTTGGTAACCATAGTCTGCTTTACAGCGAGTCCTTGCAGTGCCTATTGTAAGATGGCGCCACAAACACGACTCTCGGGCAACTCAGTCGTCTGTGTCGGCTTCCGCCGTTGAAGGTGTCGAGGGCTTCAATCTAATTTCAAAACGAAAAAGAGCTACACTTTTAGATTTCAGAAGGTGAAATGCACCACTAAAACACACCTTTGGTGAAGGCTTGAGCCAGTTACATGAAGGTGCCAATTTTTCTGGCTCATTTTACAGCAAGTCTTTCATTTCTTTTAACTCCTTAAAAATATCAAAACTGGAACAGCAGCTAGGTAGCACACTCAAAAACAAACAAACAATTGCAAAAAAAAAAACACGGGCCTTTTGCTGCAAAACCAAACGTCTGCAAATATGCGTTTGCTCCTCTACGCCGTTGAGATGGACCGTACCGAATGACACGAGCCAGCGCAACTAATCTGGCGTGGAGTAGCGCGGAGAAGTATCTCAAACTTTGATAAGAGATAATTCTATGCAACACATATAGAGGCATGTTACCTGGAAGATGATGAGGAACAGATTCTTTAAGTCACTCTGTGTCGCCTCCAGCTTCTCCTCCATCCTCTCGACCATCAGGTCCGTTGGTGGCTCCTTGTCCTCAGACTCCCCCTGCCATGCCCAGAAAAAATTCTACTCATTGACAAGCGTAACATTTTCAACATAAAATGAGTTATAGGCCTGGCTACGTAGAAAAAGACAAACATAAAAAAGTGACATGGGAGTGACATCATTCGCTAAATTTAGCGGGCTTAGCAGGCGAGGTCTCGCCCACTTGAGTTAGCAGACAGTGGTCATGTGACCTTGCAGGTGACGACCCGGGTTTTCGTTTTATGAAAGCATTAAAACAATTGTTTTAATGCTTTCACATTAACACAGAGTTATTTATTCCAGTGGGCATGATTGAAGGTACCTTTTTATACTACTTTGAAAGCAGTGCCCTGAGCCACAGTCTTGGATAATTTCTAAAACAGCAGGACATTAGAAAATCGGGCACTAAGTAATGTCAACTGATCCATTCCGAAGTTTGGCCTTGACCGAGGAATTACACAAGAACCGCGATGAAAATGGTACAGTAAACTTTCGTTAGATCGACCTCGGTTAATTCGACTTTTCGTTTAATTCAATCGTGTTCAAAAGTCCCGGCGAGCGCCCATACATTTCTATGGGAGGAAAAGTTCGAGGTTCGAACTCGGGAAGACTCCGCATAGAATAATTCGTCCCGGGCAAATGCGCGCGGACTCACTTTGCACGGCACCACAGCAGAAAAACCACCAACGTACGGCGAAACACGGGCCCTTTGCTGCAAAACCAAACGTCTGAAAAAATGTGTTTGCTCCTCTACGCCGTTGAGATGGACTGTAGCGAACGACACGAGTCAGCGGAACCAGTCTGGCGTGAAGTAGCGCGGAGAACATAGCACGTGGTCGGGCGCGGAGACAGAGAGCGCTATCAAAGCGCTTTCTTTAGCATCGCGTGCGGTCCATCTTGCGCGCCGGAAAGCACGGGTTCTTTTTTCCTTTTTTTCTTGTGTTGTTATTTTTCTCTGTCGCCGACGGTCTGGCCGCCTGGCACCAAAGTCGGATCATAAAGCTTTCCTCTGCGCACGCTATCAAAGCGCTTTTCTGTAGCATCGTGTGCGGTCCACCTTGTGCGCCGGAAAGCACTAGTTCTTTTTTTCTTTCTTTTTTTTTTTGTTATTTTTCTCTTTTGCCGACAGAGAAAGCTTAACGCAAAAATCAACTCGTAAACTTTTTTTTTTTTTTTTGTGCAATTTTTTGGGGACGTGACGTTTAGTTACATTGCTGTATGGAGCATGCCTTTGGACACGTGTTTTAAGCGCAGACGGCAGCAGACCATCCGTGAGTACTTCGGATAATAAAAGGAAGTTTAATTTTAACCGTTTTTCTGTACTTTTTTTTAATTCGATCATTCGGATAATTCAACCAAATTTCAAGGTCCCGTCGAGGTCGAATTAACAGAAGTTTACTGTATAGCATACTGCTTGGAACAAGGCGGTAGAAAGGCAGCAGAAAGTACGCTGATAGGGGGGATCGGTGGCCGAGTGGGCTAGATCACATCAGCTCGGAGCACGTGGAGCGAAGCTCGCGCTGCAGAACCCAGGGATCCTGAACTCAATCCCCACCCCTGCCCGTTTCGATCTGGATGAACATTGTACTAACGTGCGGTCGTGTACCACTACTCCGTGATGCACGTTAAAGACCACAGGTTAGCCGTTGTACTGCACTGGCTACATTTCTCATCTATAGCTGGGAGACAAGTCCTTCAATGAGGCAGACTAAGTTCTAGGCTGTATAAACAAACACACACCCCAATTTGTTTTTATGGCGAACTGACCTTCTGGAGCTTGTTCTTGGCATCTTCCAGCTCTGTCTCGAGTTTTCGGACGTGCTTGATCATCTTGCGGATGGTCAGGTGCAGGATCTCCCACACGTAGGACCTTCGAAGAGAACAAAGACGTGAGCAGTTACAATCCTGTGCAGTCGCGTCATCATCGCTGTGCAACACACATCAAAGGCCCCAGGTTAGCAGCTGCACTGTACCGGCCAAGTTGCTCATTTACAGCACTTTTTCTTTTTTTGTTTTGTGAAAAGTTTATTTTGTGACATGCCTGCAACTCAAGCACTAAAAAAAAAATAGTTTTTTAGAGCGATTTCAAATTGTGCTTCTATTTCAGGTTGACGTGCCGAAATACCGGAATCGCTCCCGACTCGAAATGTGACCGACGGCGTAACCATTACATTAATTTCAATGTGACTCACGGCATAACCATTACATTAGTTTCTTTTTCTTTTGGGGGAAAAGTTAGTTTTATGACATATGTGTCCTATACAAGCACTATCCATCCTGTCTTATCCTATCCAAGTCAAGTCCAAGCCCTTTCCACACAAACAAAGCAACGAAAAAAAGTACTATTTAAGTCCTATCTAAACAAAATCCTATTCAAGCAAAAAAAAAAAAGTCATAAGTTCTATTTAAGCAAAAAAGAAAAAAATGTTTCCAGGGTTCAGGGCTTCTTAAGTGCTTGAACCCCAATTTTAAAGATTATGACCAGTTTCAATCATTATTTGGGCCGTTGCTGTAGTCCCCATGCAATGCTTTTTAGCGGCTTCTCCATGCATCTCTGAACCGTCACAGACCTGGTAAACTCAGCAGCCAGGTCTTTTGAGAAGATCCAGTTGGCCACGGCGGAACACTCGACGATCTGCGTCTTGAGAAACTTGTCCACGAGGCCAATCATCATCTGAAAGCCGGACGTCGCACACATGTCAACACTTTCGAATTCGGGTGTAGGATACTGACAGGGCTAATGAGAAAAAGTCTTTAAAAATAATGACAAAATGACTGGTCAAAACTAGCAACAGAATGATTTGTCAGAGACAAGTTACAAAAATATTCACATAAACTAGTAATGAAAAAATTGTTGTGCCATTACGAACAAAAACAAAAATACTGGTAAATTTCTATAGAAAATAAATAGGAGTTGAAAAATAAATATGGTTTATTTACTATTTAGAGTTGTTTAAGTCCTGTTTGCATTTCAACCAGTGTATTGACAACAATCAAAATATGTCCTAGAACAGTCAGATCAAGAGTACCAAGGATACAGAAAACGTTTCACTATTACTCTACACTGTGCATAAAAATGGTGTTATCAAAGTTACTTTCAGGTCACTCGGTACCAAGGGTTCCAAGGTAATAAAATATGCCACGACCTGCAAAGTTTTAAATTGTGCTCTAAAAGTAAAAGAAAAGGAGTTTATATTTTGTATTTAACTCTGAACTCAATATAAATTTCACTATGTCATCAAAACCAGACGAGTAGACTGTGGACGAAATGCTAGCTTGCTCTATCGCGCAACCAATGTTTGCAGCTCTCCACAGCTGGCACTTGTTCAGGCTGCTCAATAGGATACTACATAAAAGCACAGTACTATCAAGCCCGGTAAAGACCGTCTAAGTGATCAGTTTGAGGGTCCCTTCAGTGGGGCTTGCCTGCTTGTGATTGTGCCAGACGTTGAAGGTGCTGCGAAGGACGCAGATCTGCGCCTCTTCTGTGGATGCAAGGGACTTGAACACGTAGTGGAACCTGCAACACAGGCAGAGAGGTTGGAGGCCCCGTGTTCAGACGGCCTCTCCAGTCAGAAACGGCCGCCTAGTGTTCTACTTAAAGAAGCACACTTTTACGCTTTGGCTAAGCCGCAAATTGCTCGGATCCAAACACATCATGTACACGAGGCATGAAACGGGTACATTAATGTCTCGATGTGGACCTTCCGTAAAATATCCCGCATGAATGTCCTCCCCCAAGAGATTGCACATTCCGATTTTCTGGCTAAATATTTGTAACAGAAATTCCGGAACATTGCCCACCCCCGAATTACGTGATGTCGGACGGGAATCACATCAATCAAGCAATCTGCGATAAAAGAATGTGCGACGAGCGAGTTTGCTGCGGGTTTCTGCGTTTTTGTTAACGATCGGCACACGTGATATCGGTTACCGTGAAGCGAAAGTTTGTAGTGGGTTTCTGTGAGTTTATCGAACCGTAAAACGTGAATCTGTTGCATTCACGATCTGCGGTATCCATTCACGTGCGAAGCAAGTTCCTACATTTTTTATCCCCAATCTGCGCATGCGATGTCGGTTCCCGCGCGTTTATTGCACTGCGAAACGCATATCTGCTGCGTCCACAATCTGCGGCATACCCTTTCTCGTGACGCAGAAGTTTGCGGCGAATTCCCGCATGTTTATCGCACCGTGGAACGTGAATTTTCCACGTCTGCGATGTGCGGTGTTAGTTCTCGCGTCATGCGGATTGTAGCGGATGCCCTAGTGTTTATCACCGATTTATAATGAAACAACCTTACGAGATTTTACGGTGGTTAATATAAACAGCCTTCAACATAGAGAAACTTTTCTGGGTACGAGCTGGGTGTATGTGCATTTTTGTCTCGTTATCACGGACAACTCTAATTAGGGACGCTTCTTGATTAGGGACGCTTCGTGACAAAGGGCAATCGTGATCAAAAATGTTATTTGTCAATGAGGCCAGCAAAAAAAAAAAAAAAAAAAGGCAAAAAAAAAAAAAAAAATGCAGAGCGAACGTAGATGTTTTTGGTAGGTGCAACATTCGAGGACGCCTTTTCCGAAGCGTCGCGCACAACGAACGTCGCCTCTACTGATGCCACACTTCCTTCCACTGTCTGGGAGACAGACAGAACTAGAGCCACCAACACAAGCCACGCTTAGAGTGTTAACAATCCATCCACCCCTAGAATTCCTTGTGGGTGCCGCCATTTTCGTTTTTAGCGAAGGGCAGGTGCCATTGGCGATCATTACGTGTTGAAGACGCGACTTCTTGAGCTCTAGTTACGGAGTCAGATAGTTCGGGCGACGTCGTTTAGCTCCGCCGTGGACCGTTTTAGCATTTCCTGAGGACGGAAAAGCGTTTCCTGCGACTTCAGATGAAGCTTCAAATAACCGGCAACAATGATCTAAAGCACCAAGGTGCTTGAGACGATTGTCTCACGCCGCCTGGTGATAGTTACACAATTGCAGACGGGAAGCAAAATGGCTCGGAAGGGCAAAGGAAGGAATCATACTTTTGGCTCTTAGTTTCTGGGCTATGTGGCGCAAGCTACCGCCCGTCATGGAGGGTAAAGCCGTCCATCCGGCTGTTGAAATGTCGCAGTTCTGAAGCATAACTTTGTGGCTCTAAAGAGAACGCTGACAACGATGAGCCAACGGGAGCAAGCTTACTTGGCGATGCCGGCGAAGGAGTGCGAGAAGGACTTGCTGGCTATGTGCAGCAGTGTCTCCACGAACACCTGAATCTTCAGGGGATTGTGCGCTGGTTCCACTGAAACAATAGCATGTTACAATTACATGAAAGAAAAAATTGCTATGCAATTGTGTTTCACATGTTAGGCGTTCTAGAATCACAAACGTTTACATGATCGTTTAACATCACGTTTGGCCTGTTCAGCCAGACGCCCACGTTCACGGCGCACTTCATTAGGTAATTTAACACGCGGCATGAGTACACTTCAAAGGATAAACCTGGAGATCCTTCAGAACCTTCTAACCTACTCTTCCTCTCCCACCTTGCCTACCTCTCCTCCTCAATTCACCCCCAATCATGTGACCCAAACCCCCCCCCCCCCCCGCTTTAACCAACCAACGTTGAACACCTCGCTCTCCCTCTCCCACCCATCAACCAATCAGTGTCGAGCTTTGCGGCCACGCTTTTATCCGGGCTTCACGAAATGCTGAACACCGAACCAAAGAATCTTTCCCAGTAAAAAAAAAAAAAAAAAGAATTGCTCCTATCTAGCATTTGCAGCAAGACAGCAGCTATGACTGAACATAAAAGTCGAACTCGGATGTATCAAATTTAACCCCTTAAAGGGGCAATGCAACAATTTTTGTACTTTGCGCAATTACCGCTTAAAACGGATCCCTGGCGTTAATGACCTATGAAACACACGTTCGTTTTTCACCCGACGCACTAGAAGTTCCAGAAAAAATTAAAGAAAAACGAGCACCGTTCACCCCCTCAACTCGCAGCCAGGACAAGCGGCCACGAGATCTGGAGCCGATTATATGCCGCCAGTGTTGATCATAGCCACGCGCTGGGGTTGGCAAAGCGCAGGACACGCGCTGAGTTCCAGACATTGTTATGGCTCGGCTGTTGTCGTCGTTGCAGCGAATGGACACGGGTCAGAACCCGAATGCTTCTCGAGCTAGCAATTGTCACGAGCCCAAGTCGAGTGCCCACGCAATGCTCGGGTCCAATCTATGAACCGCATTCAAATATCGTCACTTGGGTGTACTGCGATCCCCGAGTTACGTCATCAAATTTTGCAAAGGAGAGATTGAATGAAAAAGATCGCTTTTGTCCTTGAAATTACACCGCAACAAAGGAGTTTCTTGGCCGATGGCGTTGCGTGTGAGTATCCTTGAGTCCCAGGTGTGCCAGTAAGCTCGTGTAGAGAGAAAAACATTCCAATTGAATATCGTTGCACAGCTCCTTTAAGTGCCAAATTTTTTTTTCCAAAAGAAACCTAAAAGTGCCATATATATATATATTTTTTTATTTTGAATTGTTATTCCTCTAGTATTACACATAAAATTTGAAAAGTTTATTACGAAAAAATCAGCGGAGGCGAAAAAAATATTTGCCAACTAAAACGAGTGCTGCCATCTATGATCAGCGCCACAAAACTACTCGGACGAGCCTTGCTCGTCCGTGGAATTGAGGGCAACCGAAAAACCCACTGGACGAGCTGAGCTCGTTTACGGCATATTTAGCCAGAAAGTGGCCAAAGAGCTCAGCTCGTCCAAGGCACTTAAGGGGTTAAAGGGGACCGTAAAATAGTAGTATATATCGATAATTCTATATAGAATGTCAACTTAAGCTCCAGTTGAAATTTTTGTATGTCTCTCCTAATACCGGAGATTGTGACAAACAAAAGGGTACGAAACAAGTGCATCCAGGAACTGCTAAATACAGTGAAACCTTCTTTTAAAGCGTGGTTAGTGGGAACTGCGGGCACCTCGTGGTGAAGTTACGAGAATTAGTTTTCTATAAGAATAGTTATTTTGTCCCAAATGAGGAGCAGGTCTAAGTAAAGAACTGTTTAAAGGGACAAGACTTCGGAAGAAATGACTAAAAAAAAGTGCAGGTCACCGTCGTCCTCTTGCAAGGGGTTGGGGAGGTCCGCCAGCACCTCCAGTGCTTCCTCGGGAGTGCACTTCTCCCGGATGCTCGTGCTGAGCCTGGCCGCAGTGGCCGCGCCGGGAATGGACTCTGCAGGGTCGCAAATGGATGCACACAGTTTTGTACGGTGTGGTTGCGTTTAAAGTCACTAGATCTTGGCAAAGTAGCGCCATTGCCTTCTCCGCCTGCTAGCCGGACACAGATACAGTCGACTCTCGTTAATTCAAAATCTCTTAATTCAAACTTTCGGATAATTCAAACTAACGTGCAGGTCCCATCCTATGCGTCTCTATGGGAAAAAAACTCCTGATAATTCAAACTTTGCTTTATTCAAACAAATTTTCGGTCCCCGTCGAGTTTGAATTAATGAGAGTCGACTGTACTAACATACAGGCAACCGAAACCTCGCAAGGCGATTGGCTAATCAGTCTGTGTTCGCATGGGAGTCGCCGTTTCGGTCCTCTTTAAGCGTCTTTGGCACTGCGTATGCAATCAACTTATCAATCGGGCCTATCTCCACGGGTCTCTTACAATTACATTGTTGCTCTTGCGTATCTCAAGACTGGGAAATTATATTTTAATACCGCCACGCACCGAACCCACATGTGGCGGCAGTGCGAAGATGTGATCTTGTTTTGCCGGTGCGTGGATAACAAAAACCTTGGTTTCCAAGAAATCTCTTTATAAAGCAACCTGTCACCGAAAATTTGGATCCGCTCATCAAGAATAGAGAGGTCAAAAAGATGATGCTCATTCCATGGGCCAAAATGGCGATTATATGGCGAGCTGTGCACCCCTTACCCAGGATTCAGTGGCTTTAGTCTTCATGACCACCATTTCGATGCAACCATGCAAATCACCACTGATGCGCGACCACGATTTGAACATTTCCAACTTCCTTCTTATTAAAGCAAGTACCATGAAAAGCATCCAATGCTTTTTATTACTGCAATCAACCCCTCCTATCAAAGTCCTGGGTTGAAATAAATTATGAAGCTTGAAAACTCTTTAACCATAAGAATAGCAAACAAAGCTGTGGGGATTCTTCACAACTGAAACATTTGAGACTCCTCGCAATAGGTACTATGGGAAGGAAAACCAGTTTGAGAGGATGAAAATGAAAGCATGTCTGCTCTTCAGTGCAGTTCAGTGGTCAGTGCAGTTTAGTGGTCAGCACCATATTCAGCAATGCTGAACGCTCGCTCACCCGCTCCTTCCTTGGCGTATCGGTAGTCCGGTGCTGGCTTGGCCGGCACGAACGGTGCAAAGGACTCTGGTACAAAGTCCAAAATCCGCTGATGGTATGATAACCTATCAAGCGAAACAAGTAAACAAAAAAAGAAACTGCGTAAAAAACATTAGGGCAAAAGTGCTGTAATCATCTCTTGGAAACATTAACTACACGTCGGACATTCCAGCAAAATGTGGCATGTGACATAGTACTCCCACACACACGGCGTTGTTTATGTTTCACTTCACAAGGCGTGCATTTTACGCAATCATGAAAGCAATTTGGCTGCTGATTGCCACAAAGCCGAATGCCAGAGCAGTGCACAAACAGCATTTTGCATGACAATCTCCTTTTTTTTTTCACCTTCATTTAAATGGCCAACATTATTGCGCGACAATTATCAATATTTCACCATGCCTTTTTCTCGGATAAACAACATGTATAGCAGACCTTTCCATAAAAGCGCCGGCATCCTGAATGTCGTCGCTTCCAGTATGGGCAAAAACAATGTTTAGCCGTCGCCATGCCCATAGACGTTATTTATGATATAAGCGTAACCGTCACCCATTCTCGTTTTGACTCCCCTCTATTTTTTTTTACAACTTGCAGGATGAAATGTTATTTTTCTCTTACCCATACCAGATATGCCTACCGGGTGGCTGGGGATGAGAGTAAACAAAAAAGGTCTATACCACTAACAGCCTTCCAAATTGGGATTAGCTAGCAACTTTACGTGCAAGTTGTTACAATTTCACTTTCAGCTGCATTCGTTTCGACAATGCAAATAAACTGTGCCAGAAAAAAAAAAAAAAAGAAGTGGACATTTTTTTTTTTCCACTTATTTGGGAAGCCAGCATGAGACACATATACCTATGATAGACCCCCTCCTCCCCCCCCCCCCCCCTTTACCTCAGAGCCCCTCCCAGGGACTTGTAACCCACCTCCCAAATTGACAATCCTGGAGATAAACTCCTGCTATTCTAAAGCTGCAACAGATGGCGAGAGGGGTCAGTAGGTTAATCTTCAAGAGGGAAGCCCGTTCCTTTTCGCCTTCTGGCAGGGAGGACGGTGGAAAGGGGGCCGTCCTCACCTTAGACACCTGTGAAGCGCCTCGCGCAAAAACAGGGCCTTGGGGTGAAGCGCGTCCAGGGTCACTGCCTCCGACCAGTCGTCCCATGTCCAGCGGAACTGGAAGTTGCTCAGGTGGTACGCAAACCAACTGCAGAACCTGCGTACAGGTGGCGCAAAACAAGACGTCGTTGCATCAAGCCACAGTGGCCAGTCTAGCGCCAGAGAAGGACCACATGACCTCGCCTTGTTCGCATATACTGAAGCGGTCAGCGGGTGTGCGATTGGCGGGTTACGACCGACGAGCTCTCCTTCGCTGCATTGTGGGTCACGGTTTCAATCCTTCGCATGCGATCCCGGAAACAGTATGTGACGTGGGAAGAATCGGGCGGGAGCATGCACGAAGGGGAGTGGACTCTTGTTGTCGGCGTTGACCGGCAACAATATTGTTGCCACGGATAACTCGGCAGACGAAACCAGTGAAACGGAGTTATATAGTCAAAAACGGGATGGAAGCGACAGGGTGTCACCTTTAGGCGCCCAGTGTCCAGCGTGCACAAAACACTGGGCACCTAAAGCCTTTCGCCGCGAATTGGGACGTGCGTGCTTGCTCGAGGCTATTGGGACACCGAAGCAGTGTCGAAGATTGGAAGCTCGCTCTTGGGGTGGGAAAACCAAGAGACTTCCCTTGCCTCTCTCACGATGTCAGTGACTACAGAGGAGGCACCGTGCCAGAGGGACCACGACACCGGAGCTGTTACAAACTCGGTGTCCACTCTGCCTGTCGTTGCAATCCGCGTGTACTAATTTTGTTGCCATACAGACATCTCTGAAGTGACCAGCGGCAGAGCGTTGGTGGATCCTTTACGATCAAAATAAAACCCATCCCCGAGCGTTTAGTTGGTCTTTACGGTAATTGCGAAGACATGCTCCAGGAGTCGTATCTGAAGCGCATTGAGCACGGTAGTGACTCGCACTAGACTTACCTATCTATGCAGTCCGTGTTCATGGTGTCCAGCCGTTCGTACAGTAGCTCCACTGCTTGCGCCAGCTATAGTTCCAGTGTCAAGCGACAACGTTTGCTTAAAAACTGTACTAGAGATTTAGTATCTCAACCAAAGCAGATCCATTTTTATTTCCGAAAGTTAGCAGAGTGGCCTTGCTGCAATCTAGAGCATCCCACAAATCGCCAGACTTCCTGTGCCTACCACAGTCTGAGAGTTTGAGTAACACTGATTTGGAGAATTTTTTTAACTGTCAGTTCATTTCAGCATTTGCATTGAGGCTAACACCATTCCTTACAATGATCACGAAGCACACCAGATGTGACAAAATCGCACCACCACTTTGCTAGTGCATGTTTAACAATGAAGTTCAGTAGTTAAAATCTATATTGGCAATCTATATTGGCAATCTGTGGTGGCACAGAGATGCTTAGAAGACCCAATCTTTCATGAATAATCAGCAATCATTATCAGTGCAAATACACGTCAAGATTTTCGGCTTCAGGCATTCATCTCTTAATCCCACCTTTTTCGATAATGTCAATGTTACATCTAGTAATTTTGCGTGTCAAGTGACGGTGTAACATAACGTCGGGTCACATGACATCCCTTATTAACACCATAACTTTCACTTTCACATAATGTCACACTGAACAGATTTGCGTAACCACCGCGACCGCATTCTGCATATGAATCAGTAGCCTGGGTGGCCCCAGGGGAAAACGCCGGCATACAGACCTCCAATTGGTGGGCTTGAACTCTGACCAATGTGCTCGCAATCTGTTGAGGGCTCACTGCGGAGAAGGGGCCGTGTAATAGAGCTTTCGATTGAGCGTCAGAAGTTCCCCACGTGATAGAAGGCCACTTGGGGATCCTCTGCTGGGCCGTGCCAGGTGCCCCTAGTTGGTTTGGCACGTAAAACCCTCCAATTTGATTTGGTTTGATTTGCATAGGGAATGTTTGGGCACAAATCAAGGGTGTGCCCCAACTTTTTTAGGGCACTTCAGAGTTCTAATCAATACAAAACTAACCGGTCCCGTAAGCAAAGCTTGCATTAGGAGTCTGCTGGAAACATGGCAACAGGCCGCCACAAGGATACGACTTGAGGCATGGTGCTTGGCTGCAGTTTGCAAAGCTCCAGGAGCAGGGAACCGTAACAGATCTCCAGGTTTTTCGAGGTAGGCAGGCGCAACAACTCCCCGAAAATCACCTGCACATAGAGGAGGCTTGGAACTGCTGCATCCAGGTTGGAAGCTTGAGTGACCTCGAAACGTCCACTACAATGCTGCCCTCTTACAACGACCTCGCCGGTGAAGGTGGGGTTCTTGCATAGTTTTTTAATAAGCTAAACCGAGGGTTCGTCGTTTCGACCGTGATGTCGAAAACGTTCCCTGCTAGACACCGCTGAGAACAAATAGTGTTTTTCTCAAATTTCAGTTGGGCCAAGATTATTTGGGAATTGTTTCAGAGTAAAAGGAACAGCTTAAAAAAATTACTTTTCACAGGCACAGACGATCGAGACAGGACTGTTTTCGTAAAGGTGTGGTCCCTTGAGTGTTTTGGGGGCTAATTTTTTTCTCATTCGTTTATTCCAAACAATATTCTTTTTTACAAAAACGTAATGGGAGCGTTTGTTGTGACAGTAGAATGCCTTGGAAAGATTATTATATGTATGTAAACCAAATTTCTGTGTGCCGTTCAAAATGTTTTGGTTTTTGTAAGCTGTTGGCTGTAAACAGCAGTCTCTTACAGGTTTGTTATGAGCGGGTTCGACAGTATTCATGTGATCAAGTTTTATGTGGTTGGTTTTAATTGGCTGAATTCCCCCAAAATTGAAGTCATTGTGACCAAGGTGTAGGTTTATAGAATAAATAAATAAAGTGACAAACAACAGACATACCTCAACAATCATGTACTCCAGTGGTAACTTGACCTTGCCGGGGAAACTCAAGAGCTGCGCAGCACTGCAGACAAAAGAATAGCCAAGTCATGACAGTGACTAGCAGAGCAAGTATATATCCAGTAGAACGAGAATGATTTTTATTTTTTAGTTCACATTTTGTTTCAAGTAGAAATGTTGAATGGGCAACACCAGACAAAATCAACTTATATAATAGCTATGTTGGTTGCAGCGCTAGTCTTACCAATCAAGGGTTAAATTCCTAAGGAAGTTGACATTTCATCGTAACCTTCTAGTCCAAGCGGAAATTTCAGTAAAAATCCAAAAATCCCATTGAAACAGCTGCAGTCTTTATTTTGACTGAACAACTGTGGTAGGGGAAGGCTTGGATGATAGGCCTTTCTGCTGAATCCCTTTTTTGCCAGAAGAATCACACCAGTAGCCTGAAATACTACACCCTTTCACGAGAAATAAAGCTTATTTTAATCATAACAAAATTTAAAAATTTTATTTTTTTACTAATGCATTTAAATTTGGTAGAGTTTACCACCCAAGTCTGCCTTAGTAATGAGTGGTACGTTGTACTTTAAGTACATTGTGCTTGAAGCACTACTTCAAGTAGGCTTAGAAAACTTGTGCTCTACTTGTAGTATTTTCTCCAAGTAATATACATGCACTTTACTTACAGTATATTTTTTTCTGATACTTTCCGAGGAAAGTATACCTCCAGACTTCAAAGTACACATCGCGACACTGTTAGCGTGAACACAACATCGGCGCATTTTCGTGTTTTACTTTTAAATAGTATTAGCGAGCATGAAATTTTATCGCTTACATTATAGAACTAAATGAGCTCTTCCCGTAACAATAATAACTTGGATGACATCCCTTCGTTTCAAAGAGAAAAACTGGGAAAACCGGCGATCACTTGTTTGCGCTAACAGTGTCGTGCTCTGTATATTCTCCAAATTTGATTTGGTGAAATTAAATTCTTTCAAGGACCACCTGCCAGCATCCTTGGCTTTCCTGGCGGCAGCGTGCATGACAAGTGAGAGAACCGCAGCAGCGTGCACTCTTTATCAAGATGTGTCTCACAAAAGCCCTGGGACCACTGGTTTCGTTTAAAAACTGTTAATTGCCACACCGCATTATCTTCACCTCCTTCAGTCCTGACATGGCTAACAACCGGGCTGCTGACCACCAGCATTGTAGGGACCCAGGCCCGTAGCCAGGATTTTGTTTCAAAGGGGGGGGGCCTGACCATGACAAAATGCTGTATGAGGGGGAGGGGGGAGAGGAGGTCCCAGCAAAATGGAAGATTTCGGGGGAGGGGGGGGGGGGGGGGGGGGCGGGCCTCATGGGCCTCCCCCCTGGCTATGTGCCTGTAGGGACCTCTCACTGTACCCAAGTGACCTAGGGTAATACAGTTAATGGTTTCCCCTGCCCAAGAAGTCTTTCCCTTTCCGTCGCAAAGAAGCGGATGTCACCGTCGTCCCCGCTAGTGTTCTCGTAGCTGCCCCAGTGTGGTGAATATTTGCGGCACTTTGAAAGGGGTGGGTGTTTAAAATATGAGCAGAATTCCGAAGTTTTGGAAATGTTAATAGTGGGCGCTCCCCAATATTTTACGGTACTTTGTGGCCACTTGACTTTATCCAATATTCGCCATTTCCAAAAATAGCTGATGTACCTCCCGCTTACCCCTTAGGCAATGCATACCAGTTAAAGAGCAAACAAACATAAAACGGTGTGTAGGGGAATGAAAGATTGTGCTAAAAAGTACTTGTATTTTACTTGCGAGGTACACTGTATTAATTTCGAAGTAAAGTACAAGTACTTTTGAACAAACTTTAACACAGTTGCACCCGGTGTACCTAACACAATTGTACCCAGTGTACTCGCTACTTTACTTGGAGTACATAACCTTTAATTTACTTCGTACTTTACTTCAAGTGCTTTTTAGATGTACTTTACCAAACGCTGAAATTTTGTGAGCAATACTATTTATAAGAGACAAGACCGCATCACGATCCGTTCCAACCTAAAATGCCCAAAGCTGCACAAGCCCCTTTCTATCATTGTCTTCTAGTTCAGGGAAACCGCTGCAGACTGACCTGTGCGTTCAACTCAATCAAGGGTGCAATGAAATCGACCGTTTTATTTTGAAGAACGGCGCATATAGAAGAAATTTAACTTGGTACAAACGGAAGTGACAACATAATAGAACGAGATAATGGGACGGATTTCCCAGTTTGGAGGGACGCCGATCGCAGCCAATCACAACCCACCAGAGCTTGCGGTCGGTGTGGTGCCGATCCAGGATGTGGCAGAGTTGCTCCTCCGCCAAGAACCGCTCCACCAGGTGGGCACCGGGCAACACTGGGCCCTGCGTAGAACGGAACCAACAATGAAACAGGATGCCCTTTTGCTAGGTGCCCAATGAACAGCAGCTTGAGGCCTTGGGACCAGTCCCCAAGACGAAAATCATCAACACTACAAGATAAAATTTACAGCGGGATTATCCTCGATATGAAATATTTGTAGGCTACTTAATCTAATTGGCACCGACTTTGGGTAGACATAGTCAAGCTAATGCAGCTAATGTGTCCATGAAAACATTCATGGGACACTATTTTTAATTTTTAAAGAAAATTCCCAAGAAAAACGTTGGCAGTGACCTTTATCTTCCAAATTCCACAAGGAATGAAATGGAGTACTTAAGAAGTGACAGCCTAAATATGTTTGGGAGACATTAAATGGTCGTTTTGGGAAGTGGAGAACATACAGTTAATTAAGGGACATAACATAACGCCATGATATCACACAAGACTACGACTTGACACTCTGATGCCATGTTAAGCAACAGACGTGCTGACATGCCCTGCCATGGGGTACGTTGAAGCATTCCACGTCGAAGCATTCGATGCTTTAAAACATATGAGCCTGACAAATACTCTTTTTAAAAAAACTAGCACACATAAAAACAAAACAAAAAAACTACAAAGACACTTAAGACTGCTAAAGTCAAAATGCGAAAGCCTTTGTATATGTAGAGTATTCCTACAAGCTGCGCACAGCGCTGAGCTCAGTCGTGCGGCATCTCCGGAGTCTGCCCGGGCGCGCTCTGCTGGCTCTGCGGCCGGTCGCTCCCTCTTACCAGCGGCCGGGCCGCTGCGCCATGGAGAGGGCTTCTCTGTGGGGTAGCGTTCCTTGGAACTATGCCGCACGCCAGCCAATGAGGTGGCTGCTACAGACTACAGGCTTAGCTCCATGGGACAGGGGAATTTAGGTGCCGTTTGGTGCGGCTTCAAAAGCTGATAACGCCGGTCCGCTCCATGGGACCAGTTAATGCTTTCGCATTAAAACACTGCTACCTGCTCTACGCTTTAGAGCCCCAGAGTTGCAGCTGATATTTTGCTAAGGCCCGCTTCAGACAGGGCAACTTTTCCAGCAATTTTGAGGTCTGGCGGGTTGTTCCCTAGCTTTCCCTAGATAGACACTGAGATCGGGTCCGGCTCGAAACGGACGAGCAACTTGAACAACTCGGAGCCGTTTAAAGCGGCAGCAGCCAATCAGGAACGCAATATTTTCACATGACACCCCCGTAGTGGTGGTCATGACAGCTCAAGACTTCGTTCTGGTTTGAAATCGATCGTTTTTGGAAAGAAGTTTTTTCAGAAAGATGAGTTAGTGTTCTCAATGCTATTCAAAGACATAAAAACAGGTTTCTAGAATGTAAATGTAGTGCAAGAAAAATCAAATTGAATGATGATGATGGCAAGTCATAGAAATTCGGTTGCTGCATGTAAATGCAGCCAGCCCGTGTTGGTGGTGCTGCGACATCAAGTTGCTGGGCGAAATTGCTCCGTCTAAAGCGGGCCTAAAAGTCCAAGCCTTTTCAAACTTCTTACTTCAGCGAAGCAAAGGCTCACGGCAAAACCCTGAACGCCACTCTGAGGCTCCTATACTTCGTCTCGGCATAACCTGGCAAACTGCGAAGGCTATGGCCCCAGTGAGCCAATAACTGTGTCAGGGGGACACATCTGACTCACTAGTTACACAGAGTGCGGTCCAAACAACAGACTGGAGAAAGATGGAGGCTGCTTCTGTACAGATTTTGGGAGACGGCCTACTCTTCTAGGAGGAGCAAAGAGACATCTAGGGCACACAAAAGAGGGTCCGGGTAAAAGGCCAGTTCCTTCTCCCCTTCGGCTGTCACATGCTTCCCCTCCATCATTCCGATTGGCTCGAAGGGGCTGTAGCATTCACTCTTTGCCAAGTTACGGAGAAACAAAGTATAGAAGGTTGCTTCTCAAGTTCCTCCCACTGACTTCGACTTTGACTACAGCACTGGCTTCGGCAACGAGGCCTCCAGGAAGTTGCGTCACAAGTCCCAAGCACCAGCTTTGACTTTGGCTCGGCCTACGAGGCTTCCAGTAGGTCGCTTCTCATGTTTCTCCCACCGACTTCGGTTTAGGCTACACCTACAAGGCTTCCAGGAGGTCCGTTTCAAGTTTTTCCGACCAGTTACAACCGCCACGGGCTACCACACCGGCTTCGGCTACGGCTACGGCATTTCTCGCCCGGGGCTCAGTGTTCCACGTGAGGGGGGGTTCTCACGTCAGGGCAGTCAGTGTAGTCGAAGAGGCGGAAGACGACCCTGGGGAACGGGTAGGTGTCCTCTGGACGGTGCGGTGGGGCGGGAAGGGGTGGCAGGTTGTGCTGGAGGGCCTCGCACAGGACCCCGTCAAACGCCAGGTAGGGACGCACCAGTTGCCGCTCCACCCACTTGTCCCCGCGCAGCTTGGACACCTGTGCCCACAGGCAGTCCAGCCCCTGCAACCGGCCAAGGATAAAACTCCAGTCGGCTTGCGATCGACAGTCACGGCTGGAGACAGCGAAGAAGTTATGCTTACAGCATTGGCACTTCGTCCCCCAATTTTCTCGTGGGCGTCACCATTCTCGTGTTTTGTGCAGAGCAAGCACCATTGGCGATCATTACAATTCGGAAATGTGACCTTCTGAGCTATAGGTGTTCAGTGTCGCAAAGCGCAAGCTACATTGTTTTGCTCTGTCGGGGATTGTTTTTAACATTTCTAAATGACAGAATACCGTTTTCTGAGATTTCAGGTAAGGATTCAGGTAATTGGCAACAATGATTCTAAGAAATGGCTATACCCTTTGTATTGGGGTGTAGCTTACATTTAGAGTAACTGTACATGCTCCGCTTGCAAAGCAGAGTATCACAGTGGTTCCGAATTTCGGCCTCCAAGAATTGCGTTAGAAGTGAACGTTGCTCTTGGGGGAGATGCAACGGGCACGAATACACGAGGCGGCGATTCACTGTGCATGCACCGTCGTGCGTCTCCAGAGTCCCAGATAAGCGTTCGCTACATCATTGTGCCGTCTGCTTGTCCATAGCCGATTTGAAACGGTGCTTGTATTATAAGAGTTAATGCAATTAGACGTTTCTAAGTGGCACACACAACGTCCGAAGGTTTAAGAAGCCCCCCGCCTGTCAGACTTTGGTGTAAGGTATACATTTCGTAAGCGTTGAGCAAAAACATATATTCAGTACCAAACCCGGCACTCCACAAGGCTGTTTTTCGCAAGTGCTTTTGGGCATATTTGGCGCATGTGATCTCTTTTCCACCAATGAGGAGTTTGGTAGATCAAGGAAGAGGAACACGACACTCTGGCTGCGCCATTTAGTTACTCCAGCTTGAGTCACCTAGTCTAGGAACATTTCCACCCATCCCCTTTTAATTTTGCTTTAAATTCTATACCTAGTTAGGTTGTCCAACCCACTAATTTTGTGTAACATTGCACGTATCTAGACCTTGTGCACCAACCTCCTAACCTGACCTCTGTGAATGTAATCCTTCGAGCGTATCTAATAATGTTGGTGGCCAGACTGTCCCTACCCCTTACCTCTTCTTGGGCATGAGGTACTTCCGCCTGCCAGACCCGCAGAGCTGGCACGTGCTTCTTTTGCCGCTTGCTGTGGGTGAAAGGTGACGCCGGTTAGCGACTCATTTTCTAGCCAGGTGTACACAGGGCGTCTTATTTTCAGACAACACCCCCACCCACTTAACTGCGGCAGCCCTGACCTGCTTTTATTATATATGTTTAGCTCTAAACTTTTGTCAATAGCAGTATTAATGGACAGCCAATCGACAACTGGGATGAACTGGAAGAAATAATAGTTACTTCAATGCACGAAGAATGGTCATGCATTGAAGAGCCAGAAAAAGGAATGTCGAGAGAGATAATTGAATAGATGTGGTAGCACTCCACAGCCGTGAAAGCCTGCATGAAATCAACTGCTGTGAGAAAATTGCTTCTTGTATCACCTACCGTAGTATGCCGACTCAACACCCCTCCCCTAGACATTGCCCACCCCACTTTCAGGGAAAAATTAAGATTTCTTAAAAGACAATGTCCACATTGCCCACTCCTACAAAAAACCGACCCCTGGGCCGCGAGATGAGCGAACACTCATTTTCCCCAAACTTTGTAACTGTGAACCGTTCGGTCGTAGAACGTTTGTGACAATGAAAAAATGAAGGAGATAACAGAGGGAAGCCTTTTTTGTTCACAAAAGAGAGCAAGCCCTCTCTACCCGCAAGCCCCAACCGCAGATTACGAAGTCAGCGTAATGACCGCCCATTCTTCCGGAATGTCGCAGCCACGAACCCCAAGATAAAAAAAAAAAAAACTTTAGCAGAAAAAAAAGAAAAAGAGATCGAGGTAAAAGGAGGAATTTTTCTTTATTTCACGAATAAAGGAACGTCTGTCTCTACGTGCAAAGCTCAACCCGCATATTGCGAGGTCAGTTCATAATTCTGGAATTATACTGGAGCCACGAACCCCAAAACCAAGGAATGACAATAAAAACAAAATCCGAGCACACCTAAGCACTTCTTATGAGTTGTGAATGCGAAAGCATCTCTGGCTTGCTGGTGACTGCTGCACCACTGGGCAGGACAACGGCAGAAGTGCGAAGCACAATGCGACGCGTGCTGAAATCACGTGTCCTCTCATCATCATCGCCGCTTTAGCTGCAAGGAGTTCTTATTCCCACACACCCCATGAATGCCAAAACTGCATTTTTTGCTAGATGTCTACAAAATTTCTTGGTACAACGGCACGAAAATGTTTGGTAAAATAGCACTGAAGCCTTATGCTGAGTGTTCATCAGTTTTAAAGGGATACTACAACGAAATTTCGGCGCTCATTTTTTGGTCTATACGTGTTCAAAAAAGCAGTATCACATGGAACACACCAATATCTTGTTAAAAAAGTCCCGAAAAGGAATTTTAAAACGAATTAAACGATTAGCAAAGAGCACCTGGTGGATGTCGCTAACGCCTCGTTTGTAATGCTCGTCTAGGAACCTTGACAGCTAGTGACGGAGGTTGTCTCGTCTCCGGCCACGACGAGAGAAGGGGGAAAGGAGGAACTCCCCTCTTCCCGAGAATCCCTTTTGTGTGTTGCAGAAGTCGCTATTGTCCCCCTAGAAGATTATAGAAGATTAACCCGTCACTCAAAATTCGTACAAAAGCAGCCACTTCGGTGGCTAGAACGACAAGGCCATCCTCTCGGCGTCAGCCTCGCCGTAGCTTTGCTCGTCTTGAGACGACCTACGTCACGATTGCGTTGGATGTCACGTGCTCTAAGCTGGGCCTTCTCTGAGCGCTTGCCAGAGTGGACCGTTTATAACGAAAAATACAGCCACCAGGATCAAAATACAAACGTGCGATTGTCATTTACGGATATTATGGATCATATTCAACCTATTTTTGAACACGACGGGAATATTTCAAATTTCGTTGAAGTATCCCTTTAAACGCTCCTGAACGTAGTCTTACTGAATACGAGTGTCCTAAGAGTATTTCTAAGTCAGGCCCAAATTCTTTTAATAAAATATGACATGACTAATTTCGGGTGTGGCGTTTTTTTTTGTGTACAGCAAGATTGACTCTATTCCGAGGAGTGAATAAAGATTTGTTCGGGCGCCCTGTCCAAACATTTGTGAGACACACTTGCCTTGCTTTCTTTGGCTCAGACTGTGAGTAATCCATGCCATGTCCACATGTACAGAGCACAGCGCACGCATATTGGTTGATGCGTAGGGAGTGAATCGAGCAAGAGGTGAAAGTGTGAGAAGTGGCAATACTGGGTGAGAGAGAGTGCTCTATGCTCTCTCTAGCATCTCTAGCAAATGCTATTTGCCTCTAGCCTGCTATCTCCACTCTCACTCTCAACCAACTCGCTTCACTGGCTGTGCATTTTCCCTTTTTTTTCCTCTGTAAATTTTTTCCTTTTTTGTGGCATGGTTTTATTTTTACAGCTTCGAAGCACAATTGGCAAACATGAGCCTGTTGGAATTTGTGGTAGTCTTTCGGTTGCGGCCGTCAATGAGCACGAAAAGAACACTTCCGCTCTTTTCATTACGTAAGTTAGCAGTGAATTGGAAGTTTATTTGGCACGATGGTAAAATGTTGTATAACGAGTGCCCCGAGCAGGAAAACGATTTGCGCATCTTCAGTGAAACCGTGCTAGATATGTGCTGAAAAATGTGCATTTTCTGGCTTTCATTTTTTGCTTTTTACATTTAGGATTTCATGCGGTGGGAGAGTGGACACTGAGTCGGGATGTCACGGTACGGGCCCCCAAAACAGCTACCGGTTGCTAAGCAGTCCCTCGATAAATGTGTCGACGTAGTTGTACAGTATATCTTTCTCCAAAACTTTCAGGCATGTCGAAACATTCTGAGGTGCATTCAAAAGCATCACTGGCTTCAATTTGCTCTTTCACGGTTGTGCACAGTTATGGACTGCCTCGATTAATTATTCCGGAAAGGTTTCTGGCGGCCGCCAGCTCGTGACGTAGTTCCATGGCAGTGCGTGATTGGCTGCAAGCAGACGTGGCCGTATGGCTCGTCGATAGGTTTGCCGTGTCATGCTCTGATATTATTTCTTCCACTTAGTCATTACTCCCCTTGTGTACAAGACTCAGAAACAGAGCAGAAGCAAAACTGCACAAATCTAACATACCCATCGATTTGCTGCTATGTACCATGGGAATAATAATAATAATAATCATAATATTAATAATAATAAAAGAACTGCTACTGCTGCTACTCTTAGTACTAATAATAATAATAGTAACAATACAATACCTGATGTAGTCATCAATGTGGCGCAGCAGCCGGTCCAGCTCCTGATCTTTTTTCTCGTAGAGTTCACGCCCAACCTGAAAATAGTGCAATCTGATGATAACCACGTAGAGATAAACCGAGAAGTGTAAAGATAAAAAAAGACATTGCAATAAAAAATCTACAAAACAAACAATTCACAAAGCAATAGCATAAAAACACAGACTGCACTAAAATGAATGCAATGGAATGCAATTAAAGAAATAACAATGCGGTCGGAAGGTGTAGCTCCCACCACACTGTCAGTAAGGGTGGGGGGAGTATAAGTCGCGACTGGAAGTAAATCAATCAAACAGAGGCTCGCCAACTCACCCAAGGAAGAGCAGTGAGCACGGCATACACGTACCAGTCGGAACGGACCTGCACCGAGTGGGAGCGGGAAGTTGAATAATGCACGCAAAATACGAGAAAGAAAAAAAAAATAGAGAAAGAGCCCTGCAAACGCAAAGCATTCACCTGTGGGGTGCCTTCTTCCAAGGTGACCTCAAGCATGCTCTCAAACAGAGTCACCAGTGACCCCACCGAGATGACGTGACAGTTGACCAGGTCGGAAAAGAAGCGCACCTGGATCGCGAAGCAAGTCGGTGAGTGCGCCGCAGCCTTCTCTGCCTCGAAGTAATATTCTGGCGGGAGGCACAGAGCGACTCACAATGATCCTGGCATCCTCAAACTTGCACTCCTTGAGGCATTCCCTGTAGCTCTTCACAAGCAGCTCCACAAACTGGAAGCAGATGGCGGCGGGTGATAAAAATGATGTGACGCTGCGCTGAGGCCTTGTTTCCCACATGTGCTTTCCACAGAAGGTGGGTATCGCCTCGTAACTATAACTGCCTGCATTTTCAAATTCTAACTTAAATTCCAGCAAAGACAAGCTTGTACATTCGGCGCTGGCAAAATGACTTAAGGGCACCAGACCGCAGCCCCTTTCAACAATACCGGCATTCAAGATTAGTAATCTTCGATTATAACTTCGTTAAAGGGCTCATGACACAAAGATAAGGAAGAGATTATTCCTTATATAAAGCTTTCATAAGGTGCTTAATATATGCAGCACGTTTAATTATTTTTACAGTTCTAGTACTATTAGGAAGGTGTTACAGAACTGACATAAGCAGGACAGTGCCCTTGCCGGTACTGCATGGTTGTTAGGCTCACTTCCTCATTATCTATTTTGTGACCGAACGTTGCTTGCCATCGATCATTCTGTGCAACAGTTCTAAGTGATGTTTGTAATTATATATATTTCAAAGGATTGTGTGAACATTTGGGTAAGAACATGGAAGAGCTGGCTCAAAGCTGGTTGAGCGAAGGACGAAGAAATGAGGCATTCACAGTACACGCCAAATTATTGTCGAAGGCATCCACTAAGGAATGGGACTATTCAATGCCCGTTCAACAAGTGACAGTAAATGTTGAACCACGCAAAAGCCGTGAAAGTGTTCACATACCTCCCCGCCAAAGTTGTAGTTCCTCGTATTGAGCAGACCGATGAGGGTTGTGTAGATCGTGGTCTTCTCGGGCATTTTGATGGCACTGGTTCGAAAGAAAACAGGAGGCACAAGCGTCAGATTCACATAAAATGCCTCGACTGTAAATTACACCAACGCAACACTTCCAAACATTTAAAATATTACTAGGGGACCGCACAACCCGAGGTACAGCCACAGAAAAATATAAACAAGGACATGTGAACACGCGTTCCTGTATAAGGAGATATCTCATATGGATGACTGTTTTCTCCCTTTGCTACCAGGTAGCACCGACAAGAGAAGAGGATGAAGTTATAAAGGCTGGCTAGGCGGCAAAGTTGCTGCCCGATTCAAAAGCACCTGTGATTTGCACCACTTTTGAATCCCCTCATCCACTCAAATCGGTTCCCCGTAGTTCCTATCGTGAACGGCCAAAGTCCCCATTTTCTAAATAATGCAGTCAATATCAACTGCTCGGAAATTAAATGGAGCCCTCCAATTGGTTGCCAGTACTCACGCCGATGCCAACTGAGTTACCAGGTTTCGTACACAAACATCTGACTGTCTAAAGAACATCAGTAAAGTGAGACAACGTAGTTCACTTTTTTAATTTTGCGTCTAATTGTTTGCAAAGCTTAGATGTAGCCAATCAAAGTGAGACTTAGAAAAAGAGCCGAGCCAATGATGTCACAGAGACAAGCTCACGTGAAAACACCTAAATGCTGCAAAACCGAGCACGAGGCCTCTTATGCCCGGAACCCGACAAAGATCTCATTTTCGGGAAGCAACCCTTTCTATGACTCGCCATTTGCTGAACTCCAATTGTAAACCACAGTGACTGGCTACACATGTGCTCTGCGAGAAAGTAGCCGTGCGGGTGTCCTTTCTAGACGGCGAGCGAAGTGACTGAGCAAATACGGAGGGAGCGTCTCACTGAGGCTTCGACGCATCGAGGTCAAATAAAAAGGGGCTGGCACCCACCATTCCGCCAAGATGGAGAGAATGTTTCCCTTGTAGCTGGGAAGATCCGCATCCAGCACACCAGCCAAACCTTCCAGGTTGCTTTCCAACGAAGAAGTACTCTGTGGAAATAGGACGGCATCGATGCAGATTGAAACGCAAAAAAAATTGCCTCGGTTAGACATTTCGTCAAATGCAACGAAAATTCAATAGATCTTGAAGAAGATTTTAACGAACAGCATTTCGAAGTGGCTTTGTGCCTACTAGATTACCATTCATAAATATGCTGCTTCTACCCTATACGCGGCCCCTATTCCTATGCAAGGGAAGTAGTGGGGGGGGGGGGGGGGGGGGGGGGTGCACTGTATATTCGCACCACTTACCCTTTATCCCCCCCACTCTCCGTGGCATAATACCATTGGCCGTACACTACGACGTCAAACCAACACTGTGCTCTAGTGCCGACACCTTCTCCCATGGCCCCGCTACAGTGTGACTAGCAGCAACACAAGCAAACAAGGTGCATGCAAGCTTCTCATACAACTACCCCTCTAAAACACAGAAGGAAAGAGATACCGTCGAAAACCTTAGCAACACAAACATGTGCAAATTTCTTTCCGTCTGGGAACGGCTACCTGCCTCGAGCAACCTCTTCACATTTTTGCAGTAAGATGGTTGAGAAGCTTACAAATGCCTTTGGCGGTAATACACATGCTCAGGACAGAAAGAGAAACCATCTACTCGATAGCCACGCAGGACTCGGAGAGATGCCAAGTATGCCTGGCACTGCTCGTTTTACATTGAAACAAACTGTTCAAACAGGAAAACATTTTATGTTGAGCGAAGGCTTCGAAGCTGGTTTCCTTGAGCTTCTTTAGTATTCTCTTTGTTGTCCCTATCCCTAAAAGATCACTTCAGCCCAAACAAAAAGTGTGATAGTTCCGAGAAAGTTGGCAAGTCATAATAATTTTAGTCTAGCTAGCAAAGTTCTGATTGTAACTCGTTACCATATATTCCGATGTACGCGGCGAGATTTTTCCGTCAGATTTATGTCGGCGCGTCTTGAACAATGGTACAACTTCTGTGCATACTTCTTTTTTACTAATAAATTTTCACTTCATTGGGTTGATCTAGACATGGGCACTTGTCCAATCAAATCAGGCACTTAACAAATTCCCAAGTTTGGAAAATGTTAATAGTGGGCTCTTGAACCAAATGGGTGCTTCTAGGGTATTTTACAGTTGAATTGAATTGGTTTTATTCAGACACAAGGTCTCGGATGACAAGGCAAAAGGCAGATGGGTTCTGCCTGACTTGGCCATATCACCAGTTTACATTGCTCAGCGTATAGTACGACACGTTGTAATATAAACACAGAAACCACGGGGAAACAGAACGGCCCACAAATAAAGATCAAAACAACATAACTTATACAGTAGTCATGTCATAACAATTTTCGGGGACATAGGACGCACTAGAATAAATGAAGCTCAACCATTGGTACCGTTTTATATTTCTTTTAAAGGTATGCTTTGATCCGCATTCATGAATCATTTCTCTTACGGCCGGATGTTTATTTAAGAAATCAGGAATTAAGTACGCTAATTGAGTATGTCCGTAATTCGTCCTTGACCAAGGTATTCGATAAGAGTCAAACCGAAGATTGTATTGTATATTTCTAGGAAGGAATGCGTCAAAAAAAGTGGACTGGTCACGATTGAACTCATTAAAAATGTGGATTGAAAGTTTAAGCTGGAATAACTGACTAATATTAAGGAAGCTATGTTTTAGAAAAAACGGCGTTGTGTGGTCGGTGCGCTCAAGATTTTCAATACAACGTACTGCTTTTTTTTGCAAAACAAACAGCCTATCAATATTTGTCTTAGTCGTTGAACCGCAGACTAGTAGACAGTAATGAAGGTGGGAATGACCTAGTGAATAATACAACTGACGTCTTAACCAGCCTGGGACATGTGTTCTTATTTTGTATAAAATGCCAATAGATCTAGAGATGCTTGCATGAATTTTATTTACATGTGGAGTCCAGCTTAAATTTTCTTCAAAGAGAATTCCCAAAAATTTGTAGATAGTGACACGCTCTATCGGAGAGTCTTGGAATTTTAAAATAATTTCGCAGTCATCCGGTTTACTTCGCGGCTTAAAAATGATATATTTAGTTTTTGTAACATTTAACTGAAGCTGATTGGAGTCTAGCCAGGACGATAACTCGCTCAGCCATGTATTAGCAGAAATTTCAAGATCACGCAGACATGGGCCAGAGAAAAATAAGCTAGTGTCGTCGGCATACAAAACTATTTCAGGAGTTCTAGGTATACGTACGATATCATTAATAAAAATAATAAAAAAGAGAGGACCTAAAATAGACCCTTGTGGGACACCGTACGAAATTTGTTCTAACTTGGACCTGTAGCCATTAAGACTAGTATATTGTTGTCGACAAGATAAGTAGCTACGAACTAAATCTAAAGCAACACCTCTTATTCCATAAAACGGTAATTTATAGAACAAAATATCATGTTTAATCGAATCAAAGGCCTTTCTGAAATCCAGAAACATTCCAATAGTGAAATGTTTGTTTTCAAAATTATTAAGTATTTTTTCTTTGATGCTAAGTAGAGCCATTTCGGTTGACTTATTCTCCGTAAAACCGTATTGCTGAGTAACAAAAGCATTTCTTTCACTAAGAAACTTTGAAAACCGTTTTTTTATAAGAAATTCTAGAACCTTTGAAAACAAAGGAAGTACAGAAATAGGTCTATAGTTGTTAATGTTGTCAAAGGAGCCTCCTTTGTGTAGAACAGCCACTCTTGCAATTTTCATGCCATCAGGAAAAATGCCCGTTGCTAATGCGTTATTGCATATATGCTGCAGAGGAAAACACAAGAGGTCTGCGACAGCTATAATTGGTATAGCCTTGATGTCATCCTCTCCAGCTGCGGTATTTGTAGATAAAGATTTAAGGATTGAATATATTTCTTGTTCATCGCTTGGAGCCAAGAAAATAGTGTCGACAGCTACAGATGAAATATATTTGTCTAAGCTTTCGTTCGGACCATGTGGCTGCAATGACGCACCTGCGTTTAAAAAATGGGAGTTAAATTTGTCTGCCAGTAAGGCATCGTTATACTCAATACCATTTAGAGTTAATGTATCGGGAATCTTACTCTTGTGTTTTCCAATTAGACTTCCTACTGCACCCCAAAGTTTTTTTGGTTCATTCGAAATAGATGCAAACTTGTTTTTATAGTACTCAACACGTGCTTTCTTGAGGTCCTTATTTAATTTATTTCTTATTTGTTTATATTTAATTAATATTGTCTGGTCCCTTAGTCGAATAAATTTATCGTAGAGTTTGTTACGTTCATTAATCCTTTTATACAGCTCGCGAGTAACCCACGGCTACCTAGACTTCTTGTGATTTATTACAGGTCGAAGAGGAAACGCTTCATTGTAAATGTGCGTTATTTTATGCAAAAATATGTCGTAACACGAATTTGGGTTTTCTTCATTATAAACGTCATCAAAACTGGTATTTTCTATCATGTCCCGGAAAAGAGCAAGAGCATTCACGCCGAAATTGCGTCGCAATACAGGAGGGTCACGGATGTTACACTTTTTCTTTTTGACCAGAGGAAAAAAACAATATATTGGCAAATGATCACTTAGATCGAATGTAAGAATACCCGAGACAACATCCTTTGGGTCATAGCTAGTAACACACAAGTCGATCAAAGTTTCACTTTCAGACGCTAGTCTTGTTGGTGAATGAATGACGTTTGAGCAACCAAAAGATTCAATGACATCAAGAAAACGTCGGCAGGAACGAGTAGATGAAAGCAAATCAATGTTGAAGTCACCAACTAAGACAATTGGCAAATTGAGACATGACACGTAGTCTAGAATTTCATTTACAAACTCAAAAAATTCATTTATATCGCCCGATGGGGGCCGATAAACTGAAGCAATCAGTGACCCAAGGCACTTTACAACAACCGACTCATAGTGGTCACTCATCTGCGTAAATTCGGGCAAGACTACATACTCAAGGTTATTTTTAAAATAAAGCGAGGTCCCTCCTCCCTTGCGATTTTTTCTGTAAACCCCTTCAGATTTATATCCTGCGAAATTGACTACGTCGTGTTCACTCGAAAACCACGTTTCAGTAAATGCCAATAGATCGATCTGTGATCTAAAGAATCCAAGGCTGTTTCTATTTCAAACCATTTATTTTGTAAGCTTCTTATGTTGATATGAAAGATTGACATCTTATCACTTCGAAGCAGAAAAGGATCGTGCACAACAGAGTTAAATGACGTGCTGTCAAGATAAACAGTTACTGGTGGTTCTGCCATCACAAAAATACAAATAAATGAAGCTTCTAACTTTCACTGATTCAGCGGATCTTATCTAAATCAGCCTCACACTCAATGACGATTGCGCGTTCGCCCGCTGCCTTACGCACAAACAAGAGACCATTCTTCTGCCAGGCAAACTGGTACTGTTTTTCCTCAGCCTTAACCCTCATCAGCCAAAGCAACTTCTTATTCTGCGGTGTCAGGTTATCGAGAAAATACACGTTGGATTCGATATTCTTTAGAAGACCCCTTTTTGCCATCCACTGGTCACGTGTAATGCGCGACAGTTGGCAGAGCACCCCCCTCCCTCCCCTTTTCCCCAAACGATCCGCTCCTCTGGTGGCATAGGTGCAACCACGCCAATAATTGTGACTTATATACCAACTTCTTTGTGAAAACAGACATTTATGAGAGGGTGCAACATATACAATGGTGCAACTTATAGACTGGAAAATATGGTAGCAATTTAGTAACTGGAACGAGTTACTTTCGTGCAGTTACCGTTTACACATCTCGCATTTTCTTTGGGGCGTACGAAGTTTGTAAACGCCAGATGAGATCCCACCTTATTCACCTTCACAGCCGGATTTGACTGCTGATCCCCCAAGTTTGCCCCTGGCTTGAGGGAACTCACCTTTTCGCCAACCCTCATGATGAGTGACTCCAGCCTGTCCTCGATTTCTTTCGGTTCCGAACTGACCCTCCGCCTCTTGCGCAGACGGAAGTCTAAGAACAAGAACATTGGAACTTGCTGGGACTTTGAAAGTAATAAATTACCCTTTCTTTTTAGTCAAAATGACGTTTCACAGCTACTTTCACATTTTACACTCATATCAGAACAAAAAGTGTGGTCCCTGCACTCACTTCTGTGAGAAAAATATGCCACATCATAAAAACTGAAGTTCCAAATCGTTTTGATGTTACCCTTACAACATTCAGTGAATAGTTGTTAGATAAAATCACCAATTACAGGGGTTGCCATCAGCAAAGTGACAGAAAAACAAGAATATTGTATAAACATATTGCAATAAAGAAAAAACTGTAAAATATCCAGGTGGGAAGTTTACAAAGTAATGGATGCATTTTATAAAGCCAGTATATAATGTTAAAATCAGCTTTTAATCACAAAATAAGAGGCTAACACCGCTTCATATTTCTTTTTGAAAAAACAATGCCGCCCACTTCAGTATCACCTAGAAAGACCACACATCAAATATTAGGGCATAGTTCTGTCTAAATGTTTTTTAAAAGGTCCGGCAAACTTTGCAACTCCCCAAGTTGCCAAAATTGGCTGACTTAAGCGGGGGCGTAGCCAACATTGAGCTAAACATCATCACCATTGCCCCTTTTTGCTTGTTTCTGTGTCTCTGGCCAAGCGTAATGGGTGATGTGAGAAACGTTTCTTCTCGGCGCTCTGCGGTGTCCATGCGATTTGCCTAACATGCCCGCACAACGCGCTTCTTGGAAGCCGTCCAGCCGCCCTGTTGTGGTCCTGCCGTTACCGCCGTCTCCCACGTCACAACTGCCGTCGTCGTCTCACCATTTGTGATTATTGTCTCTTGGAGTTTCGTCCACACTACGGACACTTTGCGCGCAGATAAGACGCAGTTATAAAAACGTCGTCGAATGTTATAGACACCAAAACGTTGTGAAGAGTGCGGTGCAGACGACACTTGTGCCTGGCACAATTCTGCCCAATCCTGCCCGTCGTTGCGTAAAGGACCACGTGACATCTCGTTCCACATGATAGCCATGTTCTTGGCAGCCCAAGGCCAATATTGCCAGATGGGGCTGAAGTTTCAGTTTCAATTTCTGCCTGTGTTTAAAATTTGATTTAAAAATATATATCCTATTTCTTGCAAAGCAAATGACGTAGTGTCTTTTACTAGGGCTTACTAAACAGGAATGCAACAACGCCTAAATCTCAAGCTCGCCTTACAGACGAAGAGCAACGGATTCTAGTCCTAACATTTGGCTAAACTGCACTGCAACGAATCCATTGCTCCCTGCGACAGATTGTCAATTTACGCAGCTCGAACGACGCCTGCTTCCACCCTCACGACATTGGGTAATATTCAGGGTTCCTCACACTTTTTGATCTTGAGGACCTTTCCCCACTGCTCCCCTCTTTCTTGATTGATTGACGGCTGAGGAGCCCCTTATGGACTCAGAATTGATGCAATGGAGTAGTGAAGAATCCTACAAACCTTTTAAACAATAATAATGTACAAAGTGTCCTTCCAAAAGTTCAATTTTTTTGTTTGTTTTTTTTGTTTTTTTAGAGCAAAAATAATTTAGGCATCGCCGAATGCTAATTTTTCTCCCAAATGTAGCCCTAGCAGTTTAAACCAGATGCCGAAATTTCAGAACTTCGGCTATAATATATATATATATATATATATATATATATATATATATATATATATATATATATATATACATACATATATGTGTGTGAGCGATTAAAATGGCTTCCGACGAAGCTCTCGAATGCATGGAGCTGAATGGAGCCAGTTACCGAAAACAAGCCCGATTATCACATCGGAATTTTCAGAAATTACTTATAACCTTTGAATGAGCTAACGGTTAGTTCTGGAACTTTGCCCCTGGCTCGGACTGCCAGCGTTACATTTGGACGGAGAATGAGCGTTCGGCCATGCGTAGTTTATTTTTGTATTAAAAAGACATGTATTTTTTTTTTTTGGGGGGGGGGGGGGGGGGGGACATTGTGCACATTAGGAATTGATTGGCTAATAGTTACGCACCAGAGGCTCAGATCTAGAATAAAGTTTAAATGGCAAAACAAAATTACTTAGGGGCACGAGCGGTTAAAGAAATTTGAGAGCTCGGAAAGCCCAGATTGAGAACCCATGCTGCATTACATGCAACATAGGGCTCTAGAATCTAAAGCGTCGGAACAGCGTGCAGTCCGTTAAATTTCCGAGTCAATCAAACTTAAACATGCCACCCATGTAACGCCCGGTCTCATGTGTGGACAAAACGTTATTCTGGTCCCTCCAAACGATTCGTCGGGAAGGCTAAATCGAACCGATCAATGACCTAGGCGGTAATGCCGTGAAGGTTTTGGGTCACCCGAGTGCGTAGTCGAGCTAACATTCGCAGTGTTTCGGGACTCGCTTACCGTCGTCGTCGTCATCCTCGTAGGGTCGGCGGCGACTCATCTTGATGCGTCCGAGATCGACTTCGTGAAGTTACGGCGTTTTAAAGCACAATCAACCAACTTGGCTACAAGTTCAGAAAACCGACGCGACGAACGCCATGACAGACCGGCGTGAGATTGGATTGGACTCGGACTGGATTGAGCTTTAATTATACAAACCATAAAACTACGAAAAACCTCAAAATATTAAAAATACAGAGTGAAAAAATACATCTCGTGCAATTTTGTATTGTTACTCAAAATAATATTACATTAATTTTTTTTGTTGTTGTTAAATATTCTAAAATATTGCCATAGGATTGGCTAGGCTTGACACTTTGCCGTTTTGATTCAGGAACTGACCTGTTTCCATCCAGCACTGTTAGCTTTCGGCTCGTAAAATATGTCCCTGAAAATGATCAGTGGCTCAGACTTGAAGTGACTGAGAAAACATTTTACGACCGCTAGTCTTAGCAAGCCCCTCGAAGAACCAAAGGGTTCTTTTGGCCCTTAGAAACCTCAGAACTAAAAAATGTTCGAGCCTCCTAAACTTTTTTCTTACAACTAAAAGGGTGCTACAAAACTTAAATCACCCTTTGCTTCCTGGTCGCTTGAGAACTCACGCAGGACTTAAATTACCCTCTGCTTCCTGGTCGCTACAGAACTGAGGGTACGCTGACCCTCAGTCCAAATCCAGCATAACAGGTGCTCCCATATCACCTTAGCCATAGCCTTTATAATACAACAAGATTACATTTATTTACAATCTCGAAAACAGACACGGTGGGACATTCCGCCTTAAAACTTCCGCCAGACACATTCGGGAACTGGAGTACCTTTATGATCATGACCGCTGACCACATGCGTAGGACGTTCCATAACAAAGAGACATGACAGGATGAGTGTTGAGATATGATCAGTCCACAGAGGCATGAAAAAATCTGATGCCATGAATGTCAATTGGCTCGAGGGTGTCCAAACACGAATTTGTTTGATCAGGAAGACTATAAGCAGGGCACCTATCACGTAACAGACTTGTTAACAGCATCTCTGCACGGCCTCGTCGGGACGTAAAGACGCCACCACAGTTCTTAAAGAATACGGCATCTTTTCCCTTTGAACGGCCGCGAAACCTCTAAATGCCCTTGGATCAGACGTCGTCGGCTTTCCCTCGAAATTGCACCAGAGGACCGGGGCTACCAGGACGATGATGACACTTAGGTTCCACGGGGTACGTCCTCAAAACCCGGTGGTACCCGGACCGTTACCACGTATCAGACCGGGCACCTCGTGGCTCGGCGTTTCACGGACCGACGTCTCACAGCCAAAAATTGCAGCGGTCGGACTACTGTGCCGGGAACGCATCTTCGACCGGTGTGCCTAGCGTCCCACCTTGCCCGTGCATCAAAACCAGTCCCGAAGTGGCAACAAATTGCGTCACGAGAGCCAGTGCGTTGTAGTGCCGGATGTCGCGACTCTGGTGGCAGGTTGTAGATATGCAGGCGAAAAAGGCGAACGGACGCATCTCCTGTCTGCATTAGTTTCCGCTAACTGCCCAGATGCAGAGTGACCCGCAGCCGAACAGGCATCCGGTTCCGCCACAGTGCCACCACCAGGGTCACGCCGGACTAGGGCACAACGCTCGCGCGATGTTATCGGGCGGAAATCAAGAGACCGTTAAGGAGGGCACAGTGGACGCACTGGTCGGAGAAGCGCTCCGGGTGCCGCGGCCTGACTCGTTGGAGGCCGGCACCCCACGGCCGGTATTGCATCACGATTTTCACCAGGTACGGTTTAGCTGCCGAACCGGACGGTCCGACGGATTGCGCAGCGGCGCAGCCGTCCCCGCTGCTCCGCGCCGGCGCGGGGCGGGGAACGGGAGGAACGATGGTGGGAATCGCGTTTCTTTGGCGACACGAGGCAGACGCGCGCAGCGACGCACCTCACCTCCCGTTGAGGCACTCCTGAAGCCTGTCCAGCGTCATCGGGTCGAGCGCGCACAGGTCAAAGTCAAACGATGCTTCCGTCACCTTGTAGAGTCCCGTACCCTCCACAAGGTCCACTACGGCCTGCAGCCGGTGTGGATCTTCCAGGTTGAGTATCCTGCTCTTGAGTTCTCGGAGCTCTCGCAGGTGGTCCGCGACGACAGGGGGGTTCGCCGCGGCGGGTGCCGCGTTTGCAGTGACGGTAGGCATCTCTTCTTCTTCTTCTTCCCCCTCGTCCTCCTCTCGCGGAGATGCGGATGGACTCGACAGTGGGGACAGGAGGTCCTCCTGCTCCATCTCGAGCATGAGTGCGTTGAGAGGACCCCTCGTTGTTGGAACAGACGACGGCCGGGGACTCTCGGGTTCCTCTTTGATGACGGGTGCCGGACTTTCGACCTTGACGGCAACCGGTGGCGAGGGGGAGTTGGGAAAGGGTGCCACACACTGCGGAATTGTTGGCGATGGAACTCGGCATGGCTGAGGCGGTTCCGGAGGCGGCTTTTTGTCCGGCAAGTCCGGCGGCTTCTTGGGAGAGTCCTTGACCCGATGGGACGACTTGGACTCTTTCTTACGCCGGTCCGGCTCAGACAGTTTGGGTTTCTTCGATGGGGGAGGAGGGGAGGGTGGACGGCGGGGGACCGCCACCGCCTTGTTGTTGCTCGAGTTTGTCTTGGGTGCGTCGCTCTTCACGATTGCAGTTTCCTTCGGAGCCGGGCAGGTGTCCTTGGATGCAGGACGCTCCTTCTTGTCCTTGCTGCTCGACTTGTCTTTTTCCTTGTCCTTGTGCTTCTGGGGAGGCTTCTCGGACTTCTCTGCCTTCTCAGATCGTCGCGGCGTTTCCGCCGCGTCGGAGGGGGGTCTGCTGTCGGGCGTCTTGATGTCGGGTTCTGGGACACTTGGGGTTGTGGGCACGGGGGGCGGTGGTGGTGGAGGTGGTGGGGGTTTCGGCTCCCGGGGCGGTTTCTCGCGGTCGCGGGCTTTGTCCCTTGACGTCTCTTTGTGGCGGTCTTTGTCTCTTGAGCTGCTTTTGTGCTCCTTGCCCGACGATGAGGACTGACTCTTGTGGCAGCTACTGTGGCTTTTGCTTGGCTTTGATTTGGACTGTTGGCTGCTCTTGGAATCCTGCGCAAACGACGGGCATGACATGAAAAGGAGAAGCAGACAACGTTGGTCCCGTGTCTGAAAGACAAGGGTCAATGTCAGACGGATTGTTCGGTAACAAGACTAAAAGGATATATGCATAAAGAGACATTGTCAGACACCACACAAGCTTTAGGTGAATATAGGGCGGTTTTATGTGACATACTGCAGGCTTGAGCTGTCACCGAGAATCCATCCACGCAAACAATTCCCCAAATTCTGCAACCATCATGAATTCCCTCAAATTCCCAATCTCTTTACACGTCGCATAGATTTCCCCCAGTCCCCAAAAATGAACCCTCATACCCGGGTTTATCGAACACACCAACTTCTCTTGGGGCCCTAAACTCTGCAACTCCTACAGACTTGATAAAATTCCAAACGCACCCTAGATTTCTCAAAACTCCACCAACTCTTCAAAGTTCCCTAAAATTATCCAATGATTCCCAGGTTTCCTCCACCCGAATTCCCCAACAATTCTCACATGTGATGCACAGGTGATGCAACAATTTCTTGTACTTTGTGCAAATGCCGCTTAGAATGAATCCCTCACGTTAATGACCTATAAAACATGAGTTAGTGTTTCATCACACGCAGTAGAAGTCGCAGAAAAAATGAAAGAAAAGTGAGCAGCGGTCACCCACACCCCAAGTCGCAGCCAGAGCAAACTGCCACGTGATCTGGAGCCGATTATATGTCATCAATGTTGATCATAGCCACGTGCTGGGGCTGGCAAAGCACAGGACACGCGCTGAGTTCCAGACATTGTTATTGTTTGCCTATTGTCGTCATTGCAGAGATTGGACATGGGCGACTACCTGAATGCTTTTCGAGCTACTGATTATCACGAGCCCAAATCAAGTGCTCACGCGATGCTCGGGTCTAATCTATGAGCCGCATTCAAATATTGTCACTATGGGGTACTGGGACCCCCCAGCTACGTCGTCAAGTTTTGCGAAGGAGAGATTGAAAGAAAACGCTCGCTTTTGTCCTTGAATTTACACTGCAACAAAGGAGTCCTTCGGTCAATGGCGTTGCGTACGAGAATACTATGGTCCCGCTAGTGCCAGTAAGCTCGTGCAAAAGTGAAAAACATTCCAAGCTAACATTGTTCGCTTGGAATGTTTCTAAAATTCCCCAAAAATCTCCGAATCTTCTCCTTAAAATTCCCCAATAATTCCCAGATTTCCTTCCAGAAATTTCCTATAATTCCCCCCCCTTCCCGGTTGGTAGAAACTGTCTCACACGGCTAAGGCGTTGATGCCAGACTTGTACGTAATACGTCCCAGGTAACGAAATTATTTGTAAACCCTTATATTTATCAGTAATTTTCTTACTTATACAGTAAAACCTCGTTATAACAAAATGGGATATAACAAACTAATGGATATAACAAAGCAATCATAATTCCCCTTGCTTGCTAGTAGGGAAGAAATGGACATTGGCTATAACAAACTAATGGTTATAACGAAATAATTATGATCGCTCCTTCAACTTTGTTATAACGAGGTTTTACTGTATAAGTAATGACTACATCGTAAATTGTTACTTTTTATTCATAGAAAAGAAAGAGGGAAATTTGAAATCAAATACTCGCTCCCTCCAAGTAAGCAAAAGTGTTCATTTCGGGAAGCTTTACCGCAACCACGCAGTCACGCGAATTGACAAAAGCAAAAAGAGAACTGGCATTCTTCTGTTGCTTTCTTTAAGGGGGGACACTGGCTAGAGCTCAAACTTTTTAACTACTCAAGTGATTGGAATGAAATTTGCAGGGGAGATTTAGCTTCAGATGTAGGTGTACCGTGCTAACTTTCAGCTCTCTAGGACAAATTTACATACCTGCATAACATGATGTGTCGCTTTTCATTAAGAAATCTATGATATGCAAATCAAGCTATTAAGCATCATTTTGACTGCTTGAATATAAAGTGGGGGATATGGGACCTTGGGCTATCTAGTTTTAATAACTTAAATGTAAATATTTCAGGAAGAGTTATTACCTCAAACTATGAGATGCATATCTGTCCTCTGTCAATTTTTGAAAACTTGGTTTTTTATCACTGAGGACTTCAACCTAAAACAAAATAAAGTAGATAGCCCGATTCCTGAGTAAATTTCAGTTCAGAAACATCTTGATTGTGGTATCAGAATACTTTCACCTTCGAACAAAAGATTCCTTCATATGAAATTTGCAGCAAAAAGTGGAACTGAGAAAAATGCATTCAAACATTGAACTCCTTTACTTTGTTACTGCCTCACAATGTGTTGAAAATATTTTATATCAACGTAACTATTTGGCATATGGTTATCAAATTTGGTGTAAGGGTGTATAATTAGTTTCTAAAACTGAAAACCTCAAAATTAAAAAATGAATGTTTCCAAAAATATTTAAAAGTTAGGCCCATGTCCCCCCTTAAAATGCCTAGCCCATTTTTTTCTGCAGACTCTATTAAAGTTAAAAAGTACAGGTAACTATAAGAATATATGTTCAAGGTGCAAACAAGCTGACAGCGTGTATCTTTTTTTCTTTAGTGGCTTTGTTTTTTATTTGCAATCGAAGACAGGAAGAGGAGGACACCAAGTGATTGTTTGCCTTTTCGAGAAGTTCAAGGCAGTAAGTGCTTTGGGAGGAATCAACAATGCCCCTCTCAGTTATTGTGAATACAACCGTTTTCATAATGTCACTATAGGAGGGGACGCACTGAAAGCGAGGTGATAATAACTGAAGGTGTTACATCCACAAGCATCCTTGTTCATTGCTGCTTAAAGGACATTAAAACACTTCTCTTCTCTTTAAGAACAGGATGTACAGTTTTTTTCATACTGCTTTTCATCTTATTCGACCAAGACAAAGCTGCTTTTAAAAGCTCCTAGCAATTCTGTAGTCACACCTCTAGGACTGGCCTGACATTATCTGGATCCCCGTTGTAGCCCTTTTCGTGCTTCAGCTTTTAGTGTGCTCTCTAGAAATCATAATGGTCTTTTTTTTTTACCACTGCAGGACACATCTTTTTTCGCACATGAATTTTTAATAATAAGAAAAATAAAATAGTATGTTAGATATTCCACACTTGAGGAGGGAACAAAACCCGCGAGTGGGGCTTAGATCTCCGCCTTTCACGCCGCCCGATGCCTCAGCGAACGTCTATCTGAAGAGCACTAGGGTGTACTACTGTCGACCCGTGCTCTGTGCGTTTTTGAATGGCATCAAGAAACGGTACGTACGCGTAAAGAGACGTTGTCAGACACCACACAAGCTTTAGGTGAATATAGGGCGGTTTTATGTGACATACTGCAGGCTTGAGCTGTCACCGAGAATCCAACCAGACAAACCATTCCCCAAATTCTGCAACCATCACAAATTCCCTCGAATTCCCAATCTCTTTACATGTTGCAGAGATGTGCATTTACATTGTCTAGCTTTAACCGACATTACAATTATGTTTTTAGGAGTGTCCTGGTGCTTTTATTTCTTTCTAATTATACATAAAAAGTTTTATCCTAGTTCACCGACGTCTCAACCGAGGCTCAACCTGTTCGGAGCCAAGGGAAGATGATTGTAGAAACCATATTTAGTTTTTGATTGTCACGCGCAACTACCCTGTCTTACTAACCTTGTGCACCAGTGGCTGGTACAGTTAGATGTACACAAATCAATTCTTATTCCAGGTTGGCCAGTTGCACGACGACTTCTACAGCTTTGCCGTCCCGATAGCATAGAGCAGGGGTGGCCAGGCTGACCCGACCTAAGAGCCGCAAACGAAATCACGAAACTTCTAAGAGCCGCGGAAAGGGGGGGGGTCAAACTTAAACTTTGTTCAGTCTGACTGTACTATGTATGGGGTCACAGGCTGCACGACTGTACGTATGGGGGTACAATGGGGGTACAAGGCTGCCAAACCGCGAGCCGTGCTTTATTCTGAAATCCTTTCTTTTTTTTTTCCTAGGGAAACGCAGAAAGGAGCGGGGGAGGGGAGGGGGGGGGGGGGGGGGGTCCCCTTACGGGGGATCCGCGAGCCGCACTTGGACCAGCAAAGAGCCGCATGCGGCTCGCGAGCCGCGGTTTGGCCACCCCTGGCATAGAGCGTCGGCTGCAAAGACGCTTTGCTCTGTCTCCGCGGTAAAAGTCTTCCCGTCGCTTCGTTGGAGAAGCACGATGCTGCGCATCAAGCATTTGCGAAGGGTGTTCGGCGTGGCAGTCAATATCTTCGTGAAGGACGTCTGACGAGACTTTTGAGAGTCGGCCGTTACCCAGGACACACAGTCAACGAAGCGTTACTGGCAGCAACCATGAACGCTCAAATAACCCTCGTTCCTTTTGTCCCTTACTCAAGGACAGCAATGTTGGAAGTAATGCCACAAAAGTAATGGATTACTTTCTGGTGTAACGGTCGCTTACTTTTACAGAAGGGTAACTGTAACGGTAATCAATTACAAATCAGCCTCGAGTAATTGTAAACGTAATTCCTTACTTTTTTTTTTTTGAGTAATGTGCTATGTTACGGGCTTCTGGCAAACTACCACAGGCAATCGTTGCCCGGCATTCCCAAGCAAGACACTCACTTTCGTCTTGGCAGGCTTCTCGGACGTCGCCTGCTCCTTCTTGACGGGGGCCGCAAAGCGGTCGGGCGGGGGCTGAAGTGGGGTTGGGGGCCTCGGAGGGGACGGAGGAGTGGGAGGCGGAGGTGGCGGGGGCTCCACGGGAGGGCTCTTCACCATGTCCTGAGAATAGAGACAAAACATGAAACCGCTGGCAGAGCTGGAATGGGCAGACAATGGGAGACACCTCCTACAGTCTGTTGCAGGTCAAGAGTGCAGGACAAGCACCTCCCCACTCCACCCTTTCTTTTTTAGAGCGCAGCTCTTAGGCGCCCGTTACCGGCTTGAGCGGCGTCGCCGTCGCAGTAATTGCGCGGTGCATTATGGGAAATGTCCCATAATGCACAGCGCAGGGCTCTCGTGACGTCACATGTGATGTCACGAGGGTCCCGTGCAGTGCATTATGGGACATATCTCATGACGAATGTGACGTCTTGAACGACAAAAACACGCTACCCTTCAGACCGGCTTGTTTCAGCCGCATCCAATGGAAAGTGGCATAAATTCGATGAGCCACCATCAGGAGACGACAGCCAGAGCAACATTGTTTTTAAATTGCTGCATTTGAAAAAAAGCGGTAGGTTATCGGAAAAATTGCAGATGTTAAATGTTTGACGCGAAGCCCACGAAACTGGTCGTCTGCCAGGCGGAAGCTCTGCGATTAACGGACCAACGAGTGAACTCACGCTGGACATGCGTGGCTTCTTGTGGCCTTCGCTTCTGGACCTGACTGGAGCGGTGCTTCCTCGAGTGGGACTCCCGGAGCGATCTGCCGGGGCAGATACGGTGCCCCCGGGAAGGGGAGGTGCAGGAGAGGCGTTGGAGCCGCTGCGGTTCGCTTCCGTCTGCAAATGTGTGGGTGCAGCCACCTTGAATTTCGGCACGCATGGGTGTAATAGTCAAGCAGCAAAACAAACAATTAATCTGCAAAAGCAAAACCTGCTAACCAAACACCTCAGTTTTTAAAATGTGCCAACCATGGTAAAAATTTAACAGTGCACAAAGAAAGTTTGCTATAATTATAAGTGTTTATTGTAAGAGGATTTTGTCATAATGGTGTTCCTTAAAACAGGACTTTGTCATAAACATATTTGTTAAAACTTATAACCAGGGTTGCATGTTTTCATGCTACAGCGATGAACCCCGAAAAGTAACACCCAACTTTACCAGAATGAGAAAAAACTGAAAAACACCACATTGGAGCTGCCCTCGAATAAAAAAAAAAAATCATGCTTCAAGTAAATAAATTTTTTTCTACAGCTTTATTTTGTGTTCACACAGAACAGCCTTCCACTGAACAATCGCAAGCTTGCATCTTTCTTCGAGATGCACATCCTTAGCTTCGCTTGCTTCCTTTTTTTGGTGATGTTTCCCAAGCGTTTGGGTGTGATTTATAGAGAGATAGTTAACGACTCTGACATTTCCGTCCTTCAGGTTGATATTAACAACATCTGCAAATGGTGCAAGGAATCGCTCAGGGAGCTTAACATCACTAAATGTACATCTATGAGAGAATCTCGTCATAAGAACACTTGTCCTTCCTACTCCATCAACAATTCTACTCTAGTTTCTGTGTCCTCCTGTAGATATCACGGCATTCACATAACCAACGACCTCTCCTGGAATATCCACGTCCAATATGTCACTAACAACACAAATCGACTTTTGGGCTATCTCAAAAGTAAGTTTTCGCTTGCTCCCCTTTCGTTAAAACTACTTTTCTATAAAACCCTAGTTCGTCCTAAACGTGAATATACAGCTTCTATTTGGAACCCCGGTATCGCCCTTGCATCAGCTGTCCAATCTATACAGAATTGTTCTGAACGTTTCATACTTTCGAACTATCATCGCACAGTCAGTGTAACTTCCATGAAATCGTCCCTCTCCTTGCCTAATCCCTCTTTCAGAAGAAAAATATCTCGTCTATGTTTATTTCGCAAGATTTATCACTCTAACCCCGCTGTCCGTCAAGCATTGTTTTTAGAACCATCGTACATATCATCACGTGTAGACAATGACGTAAAGGTAGGGATTCCCCATCGCAGCACCTCCACTCTTAAAGGGGCAGTGCAACGATTTTCAGAGTTTGGCCAATTAACTGCGGAAATTAATCTGCGTCACCTACAGAACGAAAAACAGAAAACCGCATTTTTTTGCGAGTGCTAGTTCTTATTTAAAAAAAATTAAACAAATCCAAGGTCGAAGTGCCTCTCAACTCTCCACGTCGACTTTCGAGTGACGTACTCTGGGGGTTCACATAGTTTCCCCTTGGGTGTTCTCTTCAGAGACCAGACACTTCCTCCGCGATTATCGACTTTTAAAGGATTAGCCTCATAGAAGGTCGCGGCGAGCGACGAAAACAAAGGATGGTTCGCCACGGGACTGACGGCGAGTGTAGCAGCGGAGGGGGACAGGGTTTGTTGACTTCCGCGTACCCCCAGAGACGCTGTCATTTTAGTTCCCGTAGCCGCCACAGGCGGCTGCAGATTGGCAAATAATTTGTTTTTTGCCTTGCGATTACGCAGCAGATTAACAGTTTTTCGGGGAAAGGTGACACGTTTTTGGTCACTACGGCTTGCATAAACAATATAAAAAATGCAAAGTGGCAATTCTTTTAACATTAAAACCGTTGCACTGCCCCTTGAATGCCTCTTTTCTACCCCAGACCTCCATTGATTGGAATTGCCTACCCGCACATGTAGTCTCAATAACTAACACTGTTGATTTTAAAAATGTTGTTACCAACTTTTTAACAGATGTTGCTTAGCGCGTGTTTTTTGTTTGCCTCAATCAACTATGTTACTTTTATGTGTTTTGAATAACCACCCACACCCCTCTGTAGTGCCTTTGGGCCCTGAGGGAATAATAAATGAAATGAAATGTGCACGTTTCACAAAGTCTCCAGCTGAGACTTGTGTGCATTCGGCGTTTCGCAGCTTGAACACGAGCCTTGGTCAAATGCTGACACCGCATTTGGTGACGTCAGCTTGTCCGCCGCTCACAAACAAAAAGATGATGTTATTGTTTCCCGACGGGTGTCATTCTCAACTTAAATCGAATTTGGGTGTTTTCGTGTGCCAAACCGACGAAGAGAATCTGGCACGCTCCAGTGGAGGACTAAGGATTAGCTTTGACCACCTGGGGACCTTTTGACGTGCGACCAAAATCTCGGTAACTGGTTTATGGTGTAACAGTCACTTACTTTTATTTAAGGGTAATTGTAACAATTATTAATTACAATTTAGCCTCGAGTAATTGTAAATGTAATTCCTTATTTTTTAGTAATGTGCTATGTTACAGGGGCGCTTTCTCTGCAACGAGCCTCCCTCGGATAGCGGGCACCTCGGCAGGGATTCGAACCCACAACCTGGGGAAGCCCCGGAGCCAACGAGGCGGCCATTCTCGACTTAGCCGCTAGGAGTGTGGAAGTGGGGTCTCTTCCCCGACACGAGAGTAACAGGAGAGGCGCGACGATTCGCAGGCAAAGCGCTCACCCCTCCGGCCTTGAGCAGCTTGCGGCAGAAGTCATCGGGCGGGTTGTGGAAGGTGAGCTTCTCGCAGCGTATGTTGGAGATGGGTGTCCCGTCCAGGGAGAGGTACAGGTCGTACACAAATTCGACTTTCTTGGGGTCCTCCCGGGTGCGGAAGTACACCTCCACGGGCATGTTGAAGCCTGCGTAGCCGCTCTCCGAGACCTGGTACGGCGGCTCTTTCAGCACTGCGGCCGTCGAGAACAAAGGGCGAGGTCGGACGGGGCGCCTCGACCGCGAGGTACGTGCGCCCCGGCTCGAACCGAAATGCAGATATGAAGGGTGCGAGGGGCCGTTTAACACATTTGCGATAGAGTGGGATGGAGTGCGCTACATACTTAGCAACTGCTTCTGGCGAGAAGATACAATGGCGCCATCTATGAGGTGGCTCTGGAAACACTTCCAAACTGCGTATATAGTTACCATATTTTCCAGACTATATAAGTTCAAGATTTGTAATTTCACACAGCGCGAACCATATGGGAATTTTTTTTTTTTTAGATCCGTCACAAGGACGAGACGGATCTGGTGGGCAACGGATCGCCCGTTAATGACAATTTGTAATGACACGAGTGTTCTTGCGTGCCTATAGCACTCTTTCTGGCATGCCGCGTGTGGGAATCTTTTATGCACAAACTATGCTCCAGGCTCGGGCCATCTGAGGAAAAAGTTTTTCCTTTTCGGCCAAAATTCGCCCCAGCGGACCGCACGGCAGGCGTGGACAAAAGTACAGAAAATATGATTTACCATTGTTTAGGCACCAATCTTTCACTGTGGGCTTTAAATAATTCTGACGATGTTATAAGTAAAGATTTCTCGTAAATATTGCATAGGTTTGCATGGAGCGTGGGTCGGAAGCGTTCCAGAGCTACCAGATAGACTATGCCAGCGTTCTCCTGTGGTAAGCAGATATAAACAGTTGCAATTCAGTCTTTCACACTCAAATGCAACTGTGCATATGATTTCAGGTGTTTTTGGGGGGCACACAGTGTCATTGTCCCTGTAGCTCCCACCCACACGCGCACAAGTGCCCTCTCCCCACTTGCCTCTCTTTGGCTTGGGAAAGCTCTCGTGGAGGAAAAAGACCACCTTGTCCACAAAGTGCTGGATGCTGCAGTTGTCCGGCCCCCGCACAAACACCGTCCAGTCGTGGGTGAAACCTTCTGCCGTCGGCCGGGCGCGGAGTACCGCGCGGTGGCCCAGCTCCAGTTTCACTTCAATGGACTGCGTGGAGGACAGCAATGACGATTAAGGGGAGACACCCCCTGGGAGGGTCAACTTTTGAACCCTTGGCTTAAAATTAATTAAATTTACAGGGTAGGCCGGTGGTCATGCTAGAGGGTGCATAACAAAATTTAAGGTCTGTCGGCTAAGTGGGAAGAAAATTAGGGCAGCTTCTATCAGCAACACCCCTACACTGTTTAGTTAATCTATCGCCAGAAAACTATCACAATATTAAAGATTTTTATTCGCTACCTATGTAGCAGAATGCCTAGGAGGTGCGCCTATGGAAAGGTTTTTGTGAAAAGTAATTGATTTCTATCAATTTTCTCTTCTGCGAAATTGGTCAACTTTTTGGTCTTCTGTGTCTCCGACAAAATGTCAACATTTTTTATAAAAGACGTCCGTAAAGTGACAAACAAACTCCATAGGCGCATTCCTTATTAAATTTCAGTCAGGAAAAGTGAAGAACGAGCCTTGCCAGTATTTCCATTCTCAAACGATAGATTGACTAAAATGGAATTTATATAAAAAAGTGGAACGGAGAAAAATGTGTTCAAAGTGCTCCAAACCCTACGTTTCCTTTAGCTTTGGTGGACAGAAAATAATTTATAAAAAATTAACTATGCAGTGTAAACTAGTGAAAATTTCTGGGAATACTCTCTGGATGTAGATGGATGTAAATATGTAATTTTTCAAAATCAATGTTTTTTGAAGAATCTTTTTTTCTCAGGGTAGTGATGGTGCACTTTGATGAACTGTGTCGGAAGACAACAACGACGGTTAAGTGTTCAATGGCCGAGAGATGACGTAAACATAGAGACAGGCTTTTCAGACGGTGGTCCGTATTATTAAAACGACATCTGATGTTTTCACTGCAAAGGAGTGATTTGGCTGGTGCGATACGACTATGGTGACACAAGTCCCCCGCCTGCCCAAAAAATACGAAGTTCAAGATCCGTCCAGACATCAACTTTAAAGAAAAGTTCCAAAGCTGCTTGGATCTTGTTGCAATCTAGATACTAATTTATCAACGGCGACGAAGGTTTAAAGAGAACTACCGCTTCGCCTTACTTAGACCGCAAACTTTCTTTTATTTTCGTAATCGGGGCTGTGCGAGTACTTTGGCTCGCCGTACTAAAATCCACAATTTTGGAAATGACTGCTCCAAGAGTACCTTCTAGACCATCTGCACTAATAGACCTCAGGCAACGAGCCTAGGTACAGTCGGCAACAAAAATTTATGGACCACGTGCGCCGCGGCCGAAATGCGTTATTGCGCTGCCCTGCGGTGCAACGCCTGTGGTTGAGACTCGTAGTGCACATTAACTTTCCCACTTCCTGCCGACACCTTCTTAATCTCACAAATATGACACCGGGTGCCGCTTCAATGGCCATGGTTGGCAGCCGTGCCGCAGCTCTATCTCGGTAGCGCAATGAGTGGCAAAAGCCAAGATGTCAAATCTACCTCTTGCAATCCAGCACGGCATCATTTTTCCCAGCTCAGTGGCCAGGAAAACAGCCATTCTGCCCTTTCTTTCTTTTTGTCTTGTTTCAAAAGCCTTTTAAGCTTTTTTCTGCACTTGCTGCCCTGTCAACTGGCCAGTGACAACAAGTAATCCAGAAAGCGTAATTTATTGCATATTGCACGCATTACTAAATAAAATATTAAAAGGACTTAAAAAGCTTTTAAAATAAAAACAGAGAAGGGGAAAAAAAAAAGTGGAATGGCCGTCTTCCTGGCCGCTGAGCTGGGAAAAACAATTCCACGACAGACGGTGCAAGACAGAGTTGATGTCGCAGCTTCTGCCAGACATCGCGCCACCTAGATACAGCTGCGACACGGCGACGCGTTCGTGAGAATAAGAAGGCTTCGGCCGAAAGCGGGAGACTTGACATACCTGCGAGCACCAAAGTATGTGCATGTGCGCACTATGGGTCTTGACAACAGGCACCGCGCCGCAAGGTAGCGCAGTGATTTAACTCACCCACAGCTCACATAGTCCGTAAACTTTTGTGACCGACCATACTCCTGGCTCCGCTGAACTGCAGTGACCTAGATGGGGCTCCCCAAACATTGGTTTTGTGTCCACTGTGGATCGATTAGCCCAGAGGCCTTTTCCTCTCGTCTCAGCCAATGGAGAGAAGGGAAGGAGAATGAAACACTCTGGACCACTATTTTGACAGGTGCTAGCAGTTATCGCGAAAATTGCAGACTATATTGAACCGGGGGCGGACGCAGGTATTTCCAGGGGGGGATCAGGCAGTGGTCAGCATATCATATTCTTAAGAACGCCCCCCCCCCCCCCCCCCCCCCCCCATACAATTTGCATGCCCTAAATTTTCACTAAGCAAAATTCACAAGAGAGGGTCAGGACATCCGGACCCCCCCTCTGAATCCGCCACTGGACTTCCATCACTGTAACGAGAAAATACAGTAATCACATACGACTTCTAAAAAGAATTATTGCGATCCTGGCCAAAACTTAAACCTACCTTAATTAATGTGCAAAACTATCCCATCGCATAAAGCATCAAAGATATGTGGTGCCCTTAAAATCCCCGCAGCGCTTGGGAGCAGCTAGGCAACATTCCTAACTGGCTTAGGAGCAACAGTTACTGCTGAAAGTCAGACCCTTTTCTAGAGTGTCTTCTTTGGACAAAGAAAATAAAAGTAAATATCCCAACTTGTATATCTAAATAGACTCCAGATTTTTTTTTTTTCAATGGAAAGGTCAATAAACATCTTCCTCATTCACTCTGTGGAAACAATGTGGTAGAAAATCCTTCCCTACACTGATCTGTAACATCTAACCTTTTTTTAAATAAAAAAAAAAAAGGACATTTAAAAAAAATAAACAAATAAAAGGCGCTAAAAGAAAGATGAGGCATCATACCAGAAGTGGATGTTCCAAATTTCGAGTTTCGGGAGAAGCGAGGTTTGTCAATGCACCTTGAATGAAAACAGTCTTCTCTCCCTCTCAAAAGAGAGTGATCCTAAACTATCAATCGCCTCAGGACCGTGAAGCGAACGCGGCGCGCTCGATCTCGGCCTCAACTAATCAACCAAAACGAAAAAAAATAAAAAAATAAAAATATATATATTTTTGTGTGATTGTGTTTTGATCGGACCGATGATCGAACGTAGTACAGCTTTCGAACATGCTCTTCTCCGCGTTCGTCAGCTGCTCGCCACTATTCCAAGCTCAGTGGCCTTTCCCCCAAAGCGCTGTGAGAAACGTACATGTGCAAGAAGATTAAATTGTGTTCTGTGACGTTACGCAAGGAATTCAACATGCATTGTGTTCGTGTCAAGCGCCGGAACGCAAAAGATCATCGCAAAAGACGGAGTAGGCACTAAGCTAGCAGGCGATCGCGAAACTGGGTGCCTCCTCCGCATAAAAAAAAAAGGTGCCCGTGATTCGCAAATCGGCCTTAACCCCTTACAGCACGTATCTACTAAAGGCGAAGATTTAAAGTCACTACCAAACCACAACGGTTGGATGTGAGGATCGCGACGAGTTCTGATGATGCGGGATCCAATGTTTACCGGCGGCGGAGGGGCAAGGCGCAAAAGAACGAACAGTGAAGGGAACAGGAAGAGCCGGTCGGCAGGAGTCCGTTGGTTTGAGACAACTGATTGTACCGACGGTCTGTCTGTACATTACGGTCGGATTGAGGGCGTTAAAGGGTGCAGAAAACTAACCTTCGTAGGCGATGTCATGTCTACTCGGAGATCACGCACACGGCGTCGCCATGTCGTTTAGCGCCATGAATTGTTTGGACTGACGCAGCCGCCACGCCGTATTAGCGAAAACTCATATAATCTTAAATTAGACAACGGTTATCTAGCTAAATTAATAACTAAGAGTTTTAAATATATTTTATAAATTTAATAAAATTATTAAAGGTTTGTTTTAAGCTTACTTATGTCGGAAGTTTGAATTCGCAACCACCCAAGATGAGTTCTCTGCGAGTTTCCGTCTGCTCTTGGAGGCGGCCGAGATTTGTGCGCCAGGACGCCAGGACGCCGGAGTGCTCCGGTCTCTGCGGTCGGAACGGTGTAGTATGGCTGTAGGGCAGATTTGAGCGGTTCCGAGCGTCTCATCGTCCCAAGATGGCAGGGAGGGGACGCGGTCGGGGCCGGGGAATGTCCTTCAACGTCGAGCAGCTCGGACTGACTCGGGCGGACACAGCATTGCCGCCGATCCTGCAGCCTCCGCCAGCCTACCCGGTCAGTTGACATTCCGCCACAACACGTGGAGGTCTGTTTCGTCAACGGCCGAAGCGTGTCGTCGCTCAATGTTGTTTGCTAACTGAAAAAGGACTGACGCGTTTTTAACGTATACAGGAGATTGATGGAGCCGCGTAATTTAGATTCTCATAAGTTGTAATTTTTTGTTCTATCAAGGTTTGGTACTTGAGGTGGTGCACGTGTGTTCTAATATATATTTTTTCTTCTTCTGCATTTACGTTTGCGGTAACCGAAAGCTAGAATGAACAGAATTTTTCAAGATGCAAGAATTTGAACGTTTCATACCGAGAAAAAATTTCTTGCACTTCGCGTTCTAGGCAATAGTAAACGTGCTGTCCACATAACACCCGTTCAATATACCTTTTCTACGGGATTCAACACGCTAAAAATACAATTCACGCACTTAACATTGTGACTGAAGGATTGGTATCTTTCACCTTCTCTCTCTCAAACCAGTTGTTATATGTAGAAGAGAAGCTTCTTCATTTCACAGTCTCGGCCCAAAACGTGTATGGCACCCATTCAGTGTCTTCTCTATGTGATGCAACATCCTAAAAATGCAGTGAAGATGTGCAACACAGGGTATATTTCACACCCATTCACACCCATCTGTTTAACCACCTGTTGCACCTACTGACCATAGTTTCATTGATTATACCATGGGCACCTTTGTCATCGTATGTGGTCTTCAAAGAGGAAATAATCGAAAATATGCAGATGAACGAGCCATATTTGATTGAATAAATCAACGTCTATGAAGCTGCCAAAAAACAGATTTATTCGATCAAGTACAGTTCATTTGTCTGCATATTTTTGATAGTTTCACCGATACACTACATTGGGAGGAAAGTTTCTTACAGTTCGCAATCTAGGCAACTTCTTGCATAGTAAACACGCTGTCGGAATGTATGTGGCATCCGCATACAATATATCTTCTCTGCGTGAATAGACATCCTGGGGGGCTATGTTCGACAAATGTTCCGTTTCTCTTAAAAAGAAACTGAAGTGGCAACATTGTGTCTGCTTGGCTAGAAGCTCAAATGACGAAAGAGAGATCTTTTGTCATTTGAGCCTCTAACCAATCAGACGCGATATTGTCACTTCCGCTTCCTTTTAGAAGAAACAAAACATTTGTCGAACATAGCCCCCTGCACATACACTTCTTGTGTGCAACATTAGCGACTGAAGGAACGGTACCTTTCGCCCCTTCTCTCTAACCACTTGTCGCAATTCCGACTACTTACAACGGTACACTGCGTTAGAAGAAGAGTTTCATACATTTTGCAGTCTAGGCAATTCGTATACTAAACGTGCTGTCAGAACGCATATAGCATCTGTTCAATGTATCTTCTCTATGCGACTCAACATCTTAAAAGTACACAGGATGCACAACATAGTAACCAAATTATGCGTCCAGGAGCTTTTGAAGAACACGCCAATCGGAGCAAGTCCCCACGAATACGTACAAACGGTCCATGCATGTGGCTCGATGTCTGTCGAAGACCACAACTCACAAGACCACAACTCACTAATTGCCCTTTCTTTCCTGGACTCCAGCCCCTGGAGTTCTCCCCCGCACCTCTGGTGAACTCGGAAGAAAACATCTACTTGGCCGCACTACTGAGAGACCAGCGGAGAAACATGTTCGAGTCTGGCTTCAACGTGCAGCCGCTTGCTCCGCCCCAGTTGGTGGAGCGGTATTCGGATCGGTACCAGGCACCCAAGGCACCGGAGGTGGTCTACGGTACATACCCAGATGCCAGAGCTATGGAGCTCTGCGACTCATTGCAATGGACTCCTTTCAAAAATCTGTGCCATCTAGTAGCTCGACTAGCAGTTCAACTTTTGCCGCACTCGGTAACAAACATATAGCATCTCATCAGACACCGTCGGTTTGAGCCAAACTTTCCCCCCCCTCAAGATTGAATGTTACAGCAGACTACAGAGTTGCTGTATAGAGCTACATACCCTTTCCCAACATTTTATTTTTTAGAACAGAACCTATGCAACCACATGAAGCACGTTTACTGGTTCCCAAGGAAAATGCAGAATACTCTCCCTTCACGAAATGGTCATCGACATCTGGACCTCTAAACTCGTCAAACATAAAGTTGGGCCAAAGTTGACGAAGCGCACCGATTGGCCTATCCCGACGATGACTTTGCTCTTTTTTTGCCGACGTCCAAACGGTGCACTCCGTAAACTTTCGGCTCCAACTTTGTGTTTGACGAGTTTAGGGAACCACTTCTTAATGTACATCAGTTCGAATGTTGCACAAAAAAAAAAGTTGACAAACGCACAAGAATCTCGAACACAGCCAAAGGTTGGTTTGACTGACAACGCTGTTTATACCTACCTGTTCTTGCGATTTCTGCCAGATCAGTTACTATCATGTTTCAGCATCGTTCCTAGTTTTCCATTCTGCATGTCTTCCTCATAAGCGCGTGTCACACTGCAGCTGCATATGAAACACGTGCTACCTCTGGCTTTGCTCCCGGAAGTTTGATTTCAAAGGTCAAGCTTCCGGAACGGAACCAATCCGAAACAGAACCTCTTTGATCTATCTCCGCACAGACCTTTCCTACTTCCCGGCTGAGCTGCGGAGCACCAAGAAAGTCAAGAAGCGTCCGAAGGTCTCCAAGCCCTCGAAGGCTACAAACTTGGATGTACAGAAGAAGCTCCAGGTGAAACAAGATCCCGGCATGCCCTCTTAACAACGTACTGCACCGACTTACCTCGGGTCGTTTATCCGTTGGTCGGGCTGCCCCAGTGCACCCGTCTCTTTCCCGCTTAGTCGGTCTCTGCACACGAGTCTTAAACCGTCTTCATCTTGCCCTTGTGCCCCCTTAAAGCAACTCTACTTGAATCTTTGACCATTTCCGTATGTGTTCGATAGGTGCTCTGTGCCCCGCAAACTTAACTCCGGCATAGGACTGCAGAGACGTCGTGCGACAGTTAGCGGTTCGTCAGCCTTTGTACCGGCCGGGCCAGTTGCTCCGGGTCGGGTGAAGTTATTGACAGAGCAAGAACGGCACGGCACGTCTCTCGAACTCCCGACCTCTAGCACATGCTCCCGTGCCTTCAGAGGTGCCTTGGCCGCGTAGCAGCTCGAGGTGCACACAAAGTCGAAGCGTCGTCGAAGGTCGGAAGCTCGCGCTGGAGGTGGGACAAGTGCCGTTCCAACCTGTCGGCGACCATAACTAGTTTTGACTGAACTGCGAGAGAAAGCTATTCACACCAAAGATTACAGTTTCTCCCTTTATGCGAGTGCCCGCACAGCTGCACCCGCTTTGAGAGGCGAGCACGCTCGTCTTTTCGTGCATTACGGAGCGTGCTCGTAAGACAACGGACGCCCGTGGCTTTGAGCGGTGGGCTCAGTGTCCGAGCTCTTGTGCGCTGAACGCTTGTTCCGGTGGTTGACCCAGGCTCTGGAAGAGACGGAGGCTAAGGCTGGCAGCGCTGGAGAAGAGGAGGAGGAGGAAGAGGTGAAGAAGGAACCCGGGACTGGGGAGGAGGAGGGCGAGGAGGAAGAGGAACTGGACGAGGAGGAAATGGAGGAGGTGAGAAGAAGGCCCCCCTCGAGACTGTTGGGTTTCCCAGAGCAGCTTAAAGGGGACACTAAACCACCCAAAAACTGTTTTTTGTTAAGTGCATGGATAGGACACACCTGTCACAAAATTATTAGCGTAATGTTTATGTAGTCCCACATTTTGAATTGGGTGCCATTATAAGATTTGTTCCCTATACGGAGTGCAAGTTCGTCTGCTTCTTGAGCAGGGGTTGCAGTGATGTCAAAACGTCGATCTCAGATTGGCTCCGATTGGAAGCATAGTGGTGAGACCTCAAGGCAGCTAGCATTGAGGTCTACCCACTATCCCTCTATTAGAGCCAATCAGAGCTTGACGTTCTGACGTCAGTGTAACCCCTGTGCAAGAAGCAGACAAACTTGCGCTTCTCATAAAACTGTCTAAGAAGAGCTCTGCCTAATGTACATCGTGCAGAGCATTTATTATCTAGAGCCCTCGCATTGCAACAGACGAGGTGCCAACTCCAGTCGGTGCTTTCAATTCTTCCAGGAGACGGACTACGCGTCGGGCTATTTCGACAACGGCGAGAGTTATCTCGATGAAGAGGACGACAACCTCGACGACGGACCAGTCTACTGACGCCTCCACGTTGGGATTTCTCTGCCCACTCGGTCCCTGCACTTTGCAGAGCCTCCCACTGTAAATAAACGCTCAATACTTTACGCATCCCTTCCTCATTCTACCCTTTTCATTTGGGCCAGAATGTGAAAACGAATGAGGGACATGCAGGACAATACAGACAACAGATAGAAATCCCGTGTCGTCTGTATCCCCAGGTGGCGGTCGTTACGCAATGGCTGGCTCAAGTTTTCCGATCGCCGAAGAAAAGTACAAACGTCTAGCTCTTTAATCATATTTTAGATGTCGCTAAACCAAAAGGGTATGGCTTTGTGTGGGATTTAGCTTTTCTAAAAAGCGCATCTGCGCAACGGTTCTACCGTCCTGGATGGTCTTCAAACATATGCTCGCATAAGAACGGCCTTGGAATGAATTGTCTTCAAATACTTGGTCCACATTTGTCCATTGGTTCAGTTTCTACATTGGCATTAGAAAATAAGATTGGAATGAACTGATTGATTTCTTTAACATCACAAAATGAGTCGACAGTGAGCTTATTTATGGAAATATGCAGTATATATGAATGCCAACTGTTATTTAAGTGCTGGTTTGCTTTGTAGCACTGACTTAGAAATAAGTCAATGTCAAAGTCACTGAAATTTATTTGCAATGCGTTGGTCACATCCTAAAATACCTGGTACCATACTGAATTTGTGTTATTGATGCATTAGCAACAAAACTAGTGCCAGAAACCCAGCTTGCGTAGAAAAGGAGCGTATGCAAATAAATGTAAAAAAAAAGGAGCAAAAAAAGTTTTTTTTTGTTTTAATGAGGTTTGTTATTTCTAGGCTATTTCAGTAAAATATTGCATCAATACCTTCCCATTAAAATTAAGAAGAAAAAAAAAAGATGCTGGAGCGATTAAGAAGCCCTCACTACTTTGCACCAATCTGTTGGGAGTAGCAGCTGACAGCCACAGTGTCCTAGTTAGCTCGATGCTCAGCTCGAAAAGTCTGCTTACACGTCAACATTCTTGGCTATGATTATAGACCATACCCCAATTACAGGGTGTTTGTAGAAACGTGAGCAAAATCGTTTTGGTGCGAAAAGTATGCATCACACAGAAAAAAAGGTTGGTCCCATTTTGGAAAGCTTATAACGCTTGGTATAATTAGTGGTTTATTAATTTAAAGTTACTTTTTATTAGGGAATTTATAGGTATGGTTTCAATTTAAAACTTGCCGGGGATCATTGAAAACCACTAAATCAACACTTGTCAGAATGACAGAGTGCATGGACAGCATTTTATGGTGCACTAGAAAAATATTTAATTTAGACGTGTCAGTAAGAAATACAATATCATGTTCTTTCTTGCTGACAATGTTTTGCACCATAATAGATGCTACAGGCACCCACAATCTGAAATTTAGGTTTGATTAATAATAGTCTTAGGTTACGTCGTTCCATGTTACGTCGTGTGCTCGCACCCTCGCATTTTATCACCACTGCTAGCGTCACATTCTCACGGAATTTGAGCTTTGTGCGATGCATAGTTTATTTATGCGGGCCGAAAAACTGGGTCTTGTTTTCTTGACCGATCCCCGTAGCCTACCTTTCCCGCGACAATCGTGCAGATTTGCCGGCAAGTTTCTCCTTTGCCGACGAAAAGTGCCGACACACTTCAGCGATAAAAGTTGAGACGCCACGGCAACGGAATGCAATAGCTTTGCCTTGAAGGTTTAATCGGTGGTTCGAAAAGCATGCCCATTTTGCGACGCTAGTGTCTCGATTAGCTTGTGAAAATATGCCGGCACCATAAATTGGTCTTGGGGTAGGACTCAGTCTTGCGACGACGGTTCGGTCACCTTGCGCTGGTTGAGTTTCTGCGTCAACATGTTGTCCCAAAGTAGGAACTGCTTCGAGATGGTGTTCACCTGGAAGATAAGGTTGGCGTCAACAGATTCATTACCTCAAAGCAGTAGCCCCACCGCCCGTACATCGTACAGAAGGCACGGTGATCACTAAAGACGTGATGACAGAATCGTCTCCGGACATGCCACGGGCACGTTCGAAGTATGTTTGCTCGTACATGTGTGTGCTTCAAACGTGTGTGCAGACTAATGTGACGTCATACAAGGAAGACCTCAGATAGCGTCAGCAGACTGTCTTTTGTACGATGTATATTAGCACCATGACCGCGGCTTCGTGCGGCAGCAACTTGACAAGGCTCGCAATATCTCAGAAATGTACTTTTAACGTGCTGGAAATTAATTGTCTAGGACACATTTTAAAACCGCCGGTTACAGGCTAACGTTGCATCTCTTTAACGCTACTTTTAATGTGCTGAACATGCATTGTCTTGGCCACATTTTAAAACCGCCAATAACAGGCTAATGTTGCGTCTCTTTAACGCATTAGGAATGCATTGACAATATTTCGGTGGAAATGGGCAATTTATGTTTGTTAGAAATACGGTGTATAGTCTGTTACAGGTCAAGAAGGTAGGGCGAGAGAAAGGATGGTTGGGGAGGAGGAGGAAGCAAACGGAATGCTGGAGAGGAGAGGGGGAAACCTCCTCCCCGACCTTGCCTTACCTTCTCAACCTGTAAGTTACTATAGATGACGAGCATTTGAAAGTAATAAAGATCACACTTAAAGCCTGTCAGCACTGCACGTACTAAGGGCATTAGTAGTACTGGTTGGTGATGTGACAATGAGTATTTAGAATCTTGGCAAAGCATTTGCAGATTGTGGCAGCTCACTTAGCAGAACTGTACTTGAAATAGATAATTAATTAATTATAAATAATTAATACACCAACTATGCACTCAATATGTTATTTGCAACATATTAACACAACGGTAAAGCGATTTGGAAGCACATGTATGTGAATTATTCGAAAGCTGATCATAAAAGAATTTTATGTTGCCTTGTCATAGACCATCCCCAGCAAGCTAACATTAATTTGTAAAAAATAATTAAAAAAAAACTTGGGTTAATTTACTTTTTTTGCTCGTTTAAAGCAATTTTAAGTAGACCTTATGACACATTAAAGAAACACATTCACTTTAGTGTACCTTTAACTGGTTGTGACCTGTAATTTCTGTATACTTTTTATCAAACAAAATCTTTTTTCAAAAAGTTAAGCACCAAAAAATTAACTGATACAACTGTTTATAAATAAGCATTTTAGTCAATTTGTGATGAATGCAGAAACACACTACACAAAGTATGAAGCGGACATCGTAAAATGTTTCTTTTTGTTAACTACTGGTTAAATAGTTTGACCACCACTCATTAATACAGTGTCACATGTGTACAAACCACCTCGGCTAGGACCTCATGCGAGCTTGAAAGCTTACCAAATCATTGTACGTTGACAACAAGTGATAAAGCTTCTGCGTCTGTTCATCAACTTCCTCCTGTAACAAACAGAAAAGAATAAGAATAATAATATGGCACTCATACACTCAATGAACTAAAGTAATCATAATGATTCGAATGATGCTGACAACCTCGTAACACGCATGTCGGGGCTTCACTATACCAGTATTCTACGCTCAAGCTAGTACTTGAAGCAAACATCCAGACATATAGGTTTAAGCTTAATTAACAGATTTGTTTAAAAAAAAGCAGTGAAAGCTACACTAATCTGGTTTGTGCAGGTGAGTTATAAGGCCAGGGGGACATACCGTAGTATGAGGAGCCGATCGTAACAGTCAGTTTACTAATAACTAAAGTCCAGCCTCATGCCCGTTGCACGAGGCTGGGTTTTCGATGACGCTTGCCAAGTTTCTAATTTGAACCATATGCTATTTTCACTATTTAAAATAATTAACAAATTTTAGTGATTTATTCGACCTACCGTGACAATTAACTGCCTACATTATGTCCCCCTGGTTGTGTAACTCGACTGCACAAAACGCATTAATGCATAGTTTTCACGGCTTTTATTTTTTTTTTTTTAAACAAGTCTGTTAAGCTTAGAAAGAAACACCCTCTATATAGGCTACTGAAACGAAGTAACCAGTTATAATTATTTGCTTAAAAAGTAGCTAAGTATGTTACTCGTTACTGAAATTGAAAAGGAATTGGTTACTTCAGTCCGTAAGTGACGCATTACTTTCTCGTTACTCTGAATATGTTAATTTTGAGAAGCAGTGGCCGCCTTCCAACATGTAGCATCATTATTCATTCCTCGCATTTTAACGCATTCATTCAGGTATAACTGTAGCTATACTGACATACCTCGTGCACATCTTTTTGTTGGCTATCGAGTTTCTTCCGCCATAAAAATCACAGGAGTGAGCTGAAGTGAGGACTAGGTCGGGTAACTGTGCTTTATATGTTCCCCTCCAGGAATAACTGAATACCGTCGCTCGTTACTCCATCGAAAAGTAGCAAAAATATGTTACTCTTTCCTTCCCTTGAAAAGTGACCAAGTTGTTACTCCGTTCCCAAAACAAATAACTAGAAACAAGTGTAACGCGTCACAAGTCTGCCAACATCCCATCAAACAAAAAGCAATTGGCACTCTATAGGGTATATGAAATGCTGAGGCTCGACCTAAAATGGGCCGTCAAGATTGGTGCGTGCACGTAGCAATCTAAACTTTTTGTCAAAGGTGTATTTCACAGGTAGGTAGGTTGACCTTGTAAAGTTACAAGGCACAGCTCCCGTTCTGTAAAAGATAGGGCCAAAAGACTTGCCAGGGTCAAGGGCAGACGGTGATGCAGAAGGGCGAGTCGAGTGGTGGGGCACATTTAGCGCGCATACTGACAGATGGTGTCTGAAAGTGTAGCCAACCAGCGAAAGAAAGCGGACGACACGCAGACGAAATCCGTCGGCAGCAAGAGCGCCATCGCTATGCAACATTGTTTTCTTTTATTCTTGTTGCTTGAAGTTTTGCTGTCATTGGCTGCATTTATTTTTAAACCAAAGGTATATGACAAAAAGATTGCTAATTTTAATGGTCCACAGTCGTCGCGAGCAGTCTCAATATTTTTTTTAAAAATAAAGCCGGAACAAGGAGGTAACGCCATCTATCAAGACATGCGTCAAACGCGCCCAGCCACTCGGTCGTCTGTGTTGTCGTCCGCCCTTGAGCCTGGCAAGTTTTTTGGCCCTATTTTTTTACAGAAAAGAGAGCTATGCCTTGTAATTTTACAACGTAAAAACTACCTGTGAAATACATCTCTGACAAAAAGTTTAGATTGCTGCGTGCAGGCGCCGATTCTTACGGCCCACTTTAGATTGAGCCTCGGCATTTCAAACACCCTACGTTTGAACATGTATGCACAATATCAGAACTTGTGTGAAAATCGCTTGCCTGTTGTTCGAGATGAATCGCAGCCAAGGCGGAAACCTTTCCAAAAAGGCTGGGTGCATCTGCAAATTAAAGCATCATTCCTCCTTTAATTTTCTCTCCAATTATGTGCGGTGTACACACGTATACCTTTGATGTGCTCGCTGTCCAACACCGGCTTCAGGTCCTCCATTTTTTGGTAGGCAGCTATCACCTGGCGCAATCTGTCCTCCTCTGAAAACAATGACCGCACAGTTCTGAGTACTTATTCTGTGCCGTGTGTGCGTCATTAATTACCTGCCAAAATGAGCTGCAGTTTGGCCCCTTCTGTGAGATCAATCTTTTCCTGATACTCAGCATCCAGGTATCTATCAAGCTCCTCGGCTGCGACGATAAATAAAGTACCAATCAACACCCTCACTTGCAGTTTATGTAGTTTTCATGTGCCACGTGGTAAGGGTGCAGCGAGCAGACAATGCACTCTGTCGTCTGCTCGCCGCACTTATCGAGAGATGGCACCACAAGTCAGAACCACTGGCAACTTGGACATCTGCGAACACGTCTGCCACTGCCCGTGGAAAGCAAGTATGTTGGTCTCATTTTCCACAAGAAGAAAGGTATGCATTCAAATTCCACCAGATAAAATGCCCCACTCAAATGCATATTTTGAGAAAGTTTGAGCTTTCAATGTGAAGGTGCCGATTTCACAGGCTCGTTTTACAGCGCTAGGATTAACTATGACACCCTATAGGTGTGTCCTTTAATGGATGCAACATCGGCATTCCTAATCTGGTGCATTCATTATATATACCGGGTGATTCAAGGAGACGGCAGGCTCTTTAAATCAAACGCAAAATTTGGTTTCTTAACCTATCGCGCTACGACTTTGTGCAGCGTTGCCCACAGATGGTGCATTTTTTTTGTAAAATTTGCAAAGAGCGAATTTACCTGAAGAAAAAGTAAAGAAAGAAAAAGGCTTAGCTCCTATGGAAACGCAGCGACGCCACCGGTCTGCAAACAACACGGCGCCGTTTCGCACGGGAGACAAGAGATGGCGCAAGCGGTCGCGACGCCAACTGCCGCCAACGAACGAGCAGACAACACCGAGGGCCGGCGTATTTAGCAGACAAGGAACTGCACTTCCTTGTTGTTACTGCGCCTGTTTTTGTTTCTGCGACTGTCGCCGCCTGCGGAACGCGCGCCGCTTTTGAGTCGAAAAGATTGTCTGCTAAAGACGCTGGCTCTTGGCGCCGCATGCTCGTTCGTTGGCGGCGTTCATTGCGCCATCTCTTGTCTCCCGTGCGAAATGGCGCCGTGTTGTTTGCAGACTGGTGGCGTCGCTACGTTTCCATAGGAGCTAAGCCTTTTTCTTTCTTTACCTTTTCCTCAGGTAAGTTCGCTCTTTGCAAATTTTACGCAAAAAAAAATGCACCATCTGTGGGCAACTCTGCACAAAGTCGTAGCGCGATTTAAAGAGCCTGCCGTCTCCTTGAACCAAACTGTATGTAAAAAAAAAAAAAATCTACAGTCTGTGACCGGTTAGGAGTTCAGGTGAAGTTCCTCCCCCCTCTTTCCACTTTAGCAAAGCAAACGCTGGAGAAGAGACTTCCTCTCCAGTCAACATCCTCACTTGTAATTTACGTCGTTTTACATGTGCCACATGGTAAGGGCGCAGAGAGCAGACGACGCTCTCTGCCCTCTGCTCGCCGCTCCTATCGGGAGATGGCACCACAAACACAAGTCTGAACCATCGGCGACTCGGACGTCTGCGAACACGTTAACCACTGCCGCCGGCAGTGGCAGGGGCAATGCTAAAATCGAAAGAGGTAGGAGGAGTTTCTCCTGAGCTCTTTAGGAAGTTCACCTTAAAACCTGCATAACACTCACATCCCACAAACATTCTTCTCGTCGATTGAATGAGCCGTCGTTTCACTTCTAGTTGATGAAACGAAATTTAACAAAACTATTAGCACAATGTCGTCATAAAGTACACATACGCAACGTGCACATAGAAAACATATGCTCACTCTTTTTGAGGACGGAAAGCTTTTCGCGTGACGCTACGGCAGCTTGAATCTTGCTGTTGACGTTCGCTAGAAGCTCCTGGGAAGAGATGCGTGCCAGATTAAACAAAACTATGAAGATTATCTGCATCAAAATATTTGCAAATGTATTTCACCGTTATAGTGGACTTGTTCGGGAGTTCTTTGCCCCAGTCGTTTCCCGCTAGCCGCATTTCTAGCACTTCAAGTCGCTCCTCCAAAATCTTCAAAACGTCGGGAGCGGCCATGTTTGTGATGGTCTCTTGTGTCATGTGACTTGGGAGCGTGTTCGCGTGTTCATATCATCGTAATGTGCCCATGTTTCAAATCATCTTCAAATTTTACTCGGAACATGTCATGTAACAATACAACCTACAGCAAGCTGCTAGAGCGACGCTGTAACTTCAGTGTAACTCTGGAGCGAAATCGAATAAATTTTGGAACACGGTCATCGGCTGTCACATGTTAAAATACGTGATCGAAACTAGTGATGGGACGAATCACCCGAGATTCGGATTCGGACAGATTCGGAAATTTCCGAACTTCCCTCGACGAATATTCGGCAGATTCGGAGATTCGTCCGGATCGTCGCTGGTTGCAGGCGGCAGCATGAACCTTGTCGTAAACCTCGCGAATGCGGTCAGTTGTGCTTTTCTAGCTACCGTTACTGCATATAACCAGAATTCGTCTTGTTTATTTCAACGTATGGTATGTACTGTACTGTCATTCTAGACCCTGGCACGCGCCCAGGTCCAGCTGAGCTGATCGGTGTGGTTGACGTAGGCCTAACCAATGCACGGTCTCGCTTTCTGTGCTGTTTCGCGGTGATCGGTAAAATTTAGCGAAACGCTGTGTATTATACGTAATGTGGCGCAACGAAAAATAAATATATATTCAGCCAAGGAAATGATTCGTCTCCTTCTCTAGAGCTGCGTATGCCTGTACCTGTAAGTCGCGAGAGCGAGATACCGGTGGCAAAGAAAAACGTGGCACTGTCGTTTCTCTGTTCTCGGAAGCAAGTTTTGTATACGTGAACTTTATTTGATGAAAAAGAAACACAATATAGGGGTGTCCAACGCAACTTCATTGTTCGGAAACAGACACTAACTAAATCGGATAGCATGCATTAACGAAGTTTCAGATTGTTTCCCGTGTTCCGATAGCAATACCTCAGTGGATAGTCGATCGTTGGAGATAATCGAATCGAACATACTCACTTGTGTGGTGTGTGCCACACTGACAGTAATTATCGGCACGAAATGTGTCTGTACCGAACAGCACTTACGGCATCGATCTCTTGCGGCGATGAAAACATGCGCTTGTATTTCCACGTGCGTGCATCAAGCATGCCTATTTGGGTCGTAATCCAGAACCGAAACCAACTTTCCCGCGATGTCTGGCTACCGTTCTCGATAAACATCCAAAATAATATAAACAAAGTGGAAAATTTTATTTATTACTGTGATATTATATTACAATAATCTTTCGTGTACTTTGTAGAATTTAGTGAATTTAATATCACAAAAAGTTGAAACACACATCAACGTGATTTAGCAACCCTGGCAACGCTCCGAATCTTTCCGAACTTTTCCGAATCGCTTGAGATTCGGCTACTTTTCCGAATCTTTCCGAATCTGCAGATTCGGCTCCGAATCTCGATTCGGATAAAGATTCGTCCCATCACTAATCGAAACCATTGATTGCTCTTTCTGAGTAATGATGGAACACAGCTCGACGAGGAGCTCGTGCCCGCAAAAAGTTTGAAACGGGGAAAAGGTTTTATTTAAAAAATATGTCATGTGTTGGTTAATGGCTGTTGGTCCCGTGGATAATGAGAGTTTCAACCACACTCCAAAACAACAACTGGCAAGCTTATTTTGTAAACTGTACGCGTTATTGAACAGCAATCCGCTGATGATCATAGGGCTGATCTTTGACATTTTGGAAAATAACAAGAGCAGCAACGACTCTCCTGTGGTCTAGTAGAATGTCCGGTAGTCAACCCAAAATCACCAATTTCTTTCTTTGTCAAAATAACGCGGCCGCAAACAAAGCCCCATTAACAGTCGCCGAGTCCCCAACTAAACCGGCACCGCGTAGGAGCAAGTTATCGCTCAAACATAAAAATGTGGCGGCGATTTCGAATGATCGGGGCAAGCGACTCAAACCCGATCCAGCGCGTTGTTCGAACGGCTCAGATTTGAAGGAAAGAGCTCCGCAAGACGCCTGCCAAGCGTCGGCAAGTGCCGAAAGCGTCCCAGAATGCTGCACCTCCCAAGTTTTGCGCGGTGGTACCAGCGGTACAGAAAAGTCCCCTGTTGTAGGTGCAGATTCTTCAGAGACCACCGTTTTAGAAACCGATTCTGCAGAGCGCGCCGCTACCGAGCCCAGAGTGCCCTACTATCTCGAAAACTTAGTGTTGATCGTCAACAGTGTGATGAACAGCGACGATTGGCGTCTGTTCAGCGACGAAGAGAAGCAAATGTTCGCCACATTCCTGGATGCGGATGGTATGTTCGCTTAATCAAAATATGTTTCGCCGTCGGTCTACAATTTTCTCATCAGTAACCTCGTAGTACATAGTATCGTATTAACACACTTTGTAGATGAGTTTCATCTCATCATAAGATACAGATTCATTCAGCGAACAAAATATAGAATAATACAGACTACTGACTACCCTCATTTATTGACAGTTGTACATCATTAACATTGACAGAATTTCACTTCATCTACAACATTGGCAAGATCTACGGTCATGTTCATTGAACCTGATCCCAAGCTTGGGGCACCCGATGTGTCCTGCTAAACCTTGATGCAGCAGTAATGCCCAATCATGTGATGAGATCAGATCTAATGAACATGACGTTGCAACTTTCCAATGTTCCCGGTATTTCACACTATAAAAATCCGTCTTGCAAAAAGCTGTTGAAAACAGGGGCATAAGCGTGTGGCATCAGAAAGTGCATTCTTTGCTTGAGTGCTCATGCCCAACGGAATTCCAAGAAACTATGTTCTTGTGCATTCAACTCCGGTAATGTTGTGCATAACTTGTGCGATAGTGTACATATGTGACATAGAGAAACAAAGAAACAAACAGGTGTTACAATAATTATACGAGAAAAGGCCCACCCGGAATAAGGGGCAAAATTGGCAAAGAATGGAGCAATGGTCTGTGTTTCCTTCAAAAGGAAACACAAACAAATTCAGATTTTTGTTTCGAACCCACATGCTTGACCCAACAGAAGAAATACGAGGTACGACCCAAAAGCTCCGGGAATAGTTTTGTAGGGACAAAAGAGAGAGCAGCATGGTGATGCACGCGCAGCCGTTGAAGGCAGGGACCTTCACGAGTCGTCGTGCCAAAGGGTGTTTTGTAAACATTTGGTGCTGCGCCGCACAAAGTTTTGTGACCGCGTGCACGAGCGTGTTTGTGATTTCACCATAGACTGCAATAAGGACGAAAAGTGAGTGTTGATTTTCCATCAAATTTAATAAATATGGTACAGGTATCTTTTGAAGTGATTCAGCTAGCTTGCCGAAAAACCAGTGAGTCGTGCAAGGCGTTTTGAATGACTCAAGCTTCGAGAACGGCAGGACATCAATGCAAAACTAAGAGGGTAGGGAAACCTTGCTCGAACGGGTGCTTGAACCGGGGTATCCAACGTGCTGTTTACGAACGAGTCGGAGTTTGTCTACACCAAGTGTGCACAGAAACTGGAAGTGAAGCATTTGCGCGTGCAAAGCAGTGCCATTGCCTTGCCATTTTTCAGAGCCGCGCATTGGTGTGTACAGCTCTGACGTCCGAATCAATCGTATTCATTTTTTTGTTTTATTTCCAGAGAAGTGCCAGAAGCTGCTTGCTCGGCTATTGCAGCGGAAACACATCTGGAGGAAAGCTTCCAAAATCACTTACCCCGACATAGCCGAAAATCTCGAGTCTGTTCTTCTTGCACTTCAGGAAAAGGGATACTTGGAAGATGGTAAGCTGTTAACTTTCTTTTTCAGTTTTGCAAGCTGCCACGTTTTGAAGAAGTGTTACTACTACATACACCGCAAAATCACACAGGGTGTCCCCGCAAAAAACTGTACAGTGTTTTTCTAATTGCAAAGACAAACTATGCGCTGCCGAGCACCCAGTTGTCACCAAAATGTAGCGCTATAGCGGTCCAGACCGGATGCCAAAGTTTCAGAAATAACTGTTGTCTTATTCAAAAAGTTATAATAATTTACATTTTAAAGTTTTTTATTGGTGAAATCGTGACAAACAAGGCACACAAATACATGGGGCTGACTACCAAAAACCAAAGTGGAAAGAAAGTATGATTAAAAAATAAATACATAAATAAGATTTATTTGATTTGAATCGGATATATTTTTTATTTGAATCAGATTTGTTTGATTTAAATAAGATATATTTGATTTAAGTCAGATTTACTTAATATGAATTACTCTAGCTAAAAAAACATGACTCTTTGTCACTAGATGAATTTCTAAACATGGCTGATTGATTGCTCAATCCGTCCGATCACTGAAAACAATGGAAAAGAAAGAATTACAGTAAATTTAATGTACAGTTTGATTAACAATGTTTTATAGATGTATACATCACCATATTAGAACACAAGCAGCTTGACCTTTAGGTTATTGAAAAAGCTTCATTCTCTTACTTTCACGTTCTGATTTGCTTGCTTAGGAAGATACGTAACTGACAAACAGAGCTCAGCGCTCCGATTTGCTCAGAAGAGTGTCACTTTTTGCTCGTGTTGAGCCTGTGATCAATCTTGCTTGGTGATTCTTTGATTTAAATACAAAACAAGTGCATATAGAAAGCATCATATGATGAAAAAACAGCAAATGAAACATGCTTTGGGGATTATTTAGTGGGGAAGGTTTGATTTAAATCAGCATAGTAAAACTGGTACAATTTAAATCATGTTTTGATTTGCAATTTAAATTGTGTTTTGAATTGCAGTTTAAATCATAATTTAAATCACAATTTTAATCATCTTGATTTTTATTCTCCAACCTACCTAGAACGATTCCTTTTTTCCTTTTGAAAGTTTAAGAAAACTAGTTATAACTTTTGAATAAGGTAACGGTTAGTTATGAAACTTTGGCACCTGGTACATTTGGGCGGAGGCTGAGCATTTGACAATGCATCCTTTATTTTTGCAGTGACAAAATCACTGTAAATTTTTTGGGGGGACGATGTACATTAAGCACAAAGGTAGTCGGGGCTGGTACGAGGATCTCAAGAAAGAATTGCCAAGGAGCGGTAGTCAACGTTTTGTCCAGAGACCCAGTTTCTTAAAGGGAGGCAAACATCCTTCTGTCGTTTTTGGTCCAAAGTTTATATTAAATTGTCACACAAACTGGCTGTTTCAGCAAGTCCTTTAAAGGCTCCTAAAAATAAGGTAGTTGAGAAAAAAGAAACTCTTCTCAGGAACAAACTGCCAATCACGACGAACATTGAGAATTGCAAGAAAACATACTAGTTAGCTAACTAATGTCCTAAAATTCTGCAATTTGTAATAAACTTAGTAATTTGCACAGTTTGGTGGCCGTTACTAACAGCGAGTTTGTAGCTGCGGTGGAAAAAATCTTATATCCTTTTTCAAAACAGAGAGAAAGTCCTTTTTCCCCCGAGTCCTGCAGCGGACAAAAATCTTAACCTTTCTTTGTGGAAAACCGAAATGCTACACTTGAGGAGCGCATTAAAAGTGCTCTCCCCACAGAACTTTATTTTGCGACATGCATGCCTTACAAAGGTGGACATTGCCAAAGCTTCTAGACTATAAAGTAGTCAATCTAAGGGCTGCGCCAACGATAACCTAAACTCGGAAGTTCGGTCGAAGAGCGTGTGGCGAAGGCCATCTCTATTCCCAGTGGCACATCTCAATGACCTGGCCACTACCATGAGCCTGCTATCTCCGATGGAAACCAAAAGCCTAGCACAGATGTTCCGGCTGAAGACCTCGGGACGAGGCAAGGGCAATCTTGCCGAGTCACTTTTGGAGCACTGCAGCAAGCAGCAGTCGGTGTTGGCCGGGTCGCCACGGAACACACTGGAGCAGCTGGCGCTAAAAAAGTGAGAGATATTTGCACGGTGCTTCGTGCCAGAAAAACAGAGGGGCAAAAAGTGAGGGTCAACGCTGGACGAGGTGCCATTTTGTTTCTCGCACCTTGTCCCGCATTGCCTGCCACTTTTTATTCTCGCATTTTTTTGGCAAGAAACCCCGCTATGATTCAGAGCCGGCCGGGCCTTCTTGTGGTCTTAGTTCCGGGTGTTTCAGCCAACTTGTGCCTGGACTTGAAAAAAGCTGCACGCTACGTGTGTCGAACAGACACAGTATTGTTCGCAGTTCTATTGAGCAAGTCGAGATGTGTCTTGCAATGTACCAAACTGGCTAATTAATGCAGACTGATTAGCTGAGTTTTTTAAATATTAAGTTGTGCTCAAGTGTCATATTGTTTCACCTTTAAAGGAAGCATGCAAGATTTAAAAAAGTCCCAGGTGCCCAAGGGCACTAACATCACGGTTCACTGCTCATGTGCGAATAATGAATTTTGGGTTCAAAGCAAATAGTGATTTTGGCCGTATATTTTATGTTTCCTTTTAAATACTCCAGGTGTGCGCGTGCACCATCTAGTTTTGAAAGTGTGCTTTTCTCTTAATCAGGCAATTGCAATATTCATACTTTTCCAACTGTCAATTGCGGCAGGTTTCCCCGTTGAGTGTGCTTCTTACCTTGCACCGGTGCACCGCGGAAAAGCAACATCCGCAGAGCTCACTTTTACAGAGGTTGCTTCTCTGCAGTGCACCGGTGCTCGCCAAGAAGCGTGCTCAACTGGGCTATCCTGCAGCAATCAAAACTTCGAAAAATAAGAATATTGCAGTTCATTTTGAAGCGAATATTGAATAGTGTAATATTCGAAACTACTATTCAAAATTTCGAATATTTGCACACTACTACAGTTCACTAGCGATTAATAACAAAAATGTTTTCAATTTCAAACAAGGTTTTCAAGTTTCTTTTTTAAGCTTGAAAATATTAGATTCACAAAGGCTTCCTTTATCGAAACGACATGATGAGATGTTTCTCATTGCGCTCTACAACTTTTGTGTTGAAGGACATGTGCACAAATCAATACTTAAAAATTTGGCTAATTTATTTGTGTTAATTTGCCAGTTTGGCACATTACAAAACATTTCTTGCTCAATAGGACCGTGAACAATACTGCATTGGTTCAACACACGTGGCGTGCACAAGCTTTCTTTAAGTCTTGGCACAAGTTAGCTGAAACAGCCTGCATAGTTGCAAGGATGCAATCACCGTAGGTAATCGTGCCATACGGTATTTGTGGCTAAAAACACATCTCTTAAGGTAGCATTCAGCACGTTTCTTGTCATTACGTGTTGCCTCTCAATCATAGACGTTATGTGCAACTTATGCACTCGTATCTTGTGGGTGGGCAGCCGTGACTGTGATGGACCTTTATTTCGAAGTTTCAGTGGTTTGGACAAGTTTGGTGCGCACAAAAAAAAAAAACAAGCTACCGGTTTTTGTCTTTTGCTGCAGAGCTCTGAGTCTTCTAGGAGCCGCCTGGCGGCTACGTGACGAACCACGAGACGCTTGGCGCCGTTTGCTCCGCCTCTTCTCCCTCGGAACACCGTGGGATGGTGAAGAAGCGGGTGAAACGCCTCAGGTGTACGTAGATCTTAGACCTTGCAAACATATGTAGCAACGAAAGAAATGCATTTCACAAGCGTTCCCAGACCTCGACGGAAATTCTTGCACTCTAGAGGATAATTGGTCATCTGAATGGAAGGCATGAATTTATTTCTCGGAGGCCACATGTGTTTGATAGAAGCGTAAGCTGACCCATACTATTCTCTATGTACAAAAACTGAAATTTAATACCTTGAAACCATTTGCAAATTGTTATTGTTTAACTGGTCAGTGGAGGTAGGCAGACATGGCATACTTTAATACTATTTTACTTTGGCAATAAGTTAACTTTGTATAATCTTTATTATGAATGTGCTATTTTCATGTGCTCCACGATTTTAACACATTCTCTTTACACACTCTTTATATCTCTGCTCTTCATATGTTTTCCAACATGTCGCATATACGCTCCACAAGATGTCCTGCGGTCTATAGGGATCGGCCAGTTTGAAGATCTGCGAGATAAAATTTGTGAAGCCTGGGGTTTATGATGCAGAAATTGATGTTGTGTAGCATGCTCCTTTGTGTCGTTTTGGTTTTCCCATGAAATATATCAAGAACAACCTTTGTGCAGGTATGGCCTTCAGCTGGTCTCAGCCGGAAAGATGGCCTTTCCGGAATACCAGGTCTGGCGGAAGGATATCCTCTTCGCAGAGCGGGAAGACTTGATCAGGTGAAAAACTCTTAAGGTTCAGGTGGCTGTACAACATGAAATAGATTAGTAGAAAGCTCTCTAATTGCTGCCTGGGAATAGTTAAAAAATAGGCATTTTGATAGAATGTCAAGCCAATCCGCCTGCAAGAACCATGCGCTGAAAGTGAAAAATGAGTTTAATTTCTTCATTTAGTGCTATGTAGTGTTTTAACATCACTTTAAAGGGGGGGGGGGGGGGGGGTGAGGGTTCTTCAAACTTTTTCCTTGTTTATTAGCCTATCTCACTCAAATGCAATATATAGATGTATCTTCAAGCTCGTTTTGAATCTGCAGTCAGATTTAAAGTATGTTTTTGCAAACAAAGAATACAACAAAATATATCATCCTCAAGAAATTAAAATGGTGCAAGGGACAAAGGACCGGATTAAGAAAGGCACGGACGACTTCAGCAGCAATCGTGTAACCCTCATTAGGTTATTTCTTATGGGTCGTTAGGGTAATTTCTTACTAGAAGGCTTTTCTTCTAACCACATACAATGATTTCCAAAGGTTCACCATGCATCCTAAAACTAGTAGAATTTATAAACGAGTTTTATTTATTATATATAAATCAATTGTGAAAAGAAAGTAAATGGCACAATAATTACCTTAGGTCGCAGCTCAGTACTTTTTATGTACTGAGAAAGGTCAAAAAGTAAAGCTTTAGTGTGCAGTTGAGTTACTGCAAAAAACAATGATATAAAGTTTATTGAAATCCATTCATGAAAACATTGTCAAAACCCCCTTAAAGGGGCACTGACAGGGTATTTATGCTCGACGAAGTTTTTAGATGTACGTGACATATGAGAGCCCAACTGCCCGGAACAGAATTTGCGGCTCGAAATTTGGTTTCTTTCCTCCCGAAAACCGCCGATCGAGAACTGGCCGGTTTGAGTCGCACTCACTCTCTTTTCCGTGGTCACGGGCCGTTTTTTAACGTTTAGACACGACCACCAAATTTAATCAAGTCGTGGGTCATTGAAAGCACACAGTCAACATTAAGAATAGAAAAAAATATAAAACCCATTTTTTGTGGCTTCCAAAGAGCTGCAAATACGTTGATTGAAAAAAAAGGTTGCACAGACAACCGGAAGCATTCTGTGCGTTCACTGCATGATTCTCAACATGGCGTCGTTTCGCATATTGGGGGACTCTCGGATGGCAGCGGACGACGGGCATGGGACCTCTACTTCAGAACTGTTATTCACGGTACCGGCGAATTCTGTCTTCCATAAAAAAAAATGTTTTGGACTGATCAAAAGAATTGATATTCATCCCTTACAACACGCCCGACCAGCAAGCCGATTGCACGAAGACGTCGCCAAGCCGTTGTCCCTTCTCGTGGCTGAAGACATCGCTCGCTCAAACGTCGAGCACGATGTGCGTACTTCGAGTTGAATACGCACGCGTACGGTTTCTTTACTAGGTGCGAATGTGTAAAATGCGTGGTGCCGTCTGACTTCGAGCCGGGAGTACAAGTACTGGAGGGAAATCAGCAGCAAACCTTCCAATCTACAGTCGACCGACTGCATTATTATGAAGAGTTCCCTCAGTAACTTAGTGGAAAGATCTCCGCTTCACACGCTGTGGGCACGGGTTCGATTCCTAGTGTGGGCGTATCTTTTTATTTTCTTTTTGTCAAACATTTTGCGATGTTTACATTTATTTTTTTTACAATTATCACTGAAAAAAAAAAAAAAGAACAATTGTGGTGGACGATATGTCGCTGAACTAAATGGTATGGGATTCCCTTTTTGACACCTGCGGAGTCAATGTAGTCACTTTCCACAAAATGCAAAGAGCATATGACTCGGGTAGCGTCCGCTTTCCGAGGTGTCCATAACTGTTCTACAGGAATTGCAGCCAGCCATTGGTCCCGATCCCGTTGATTTTTCGGACACTTGTGCAGAATCTGCCGCACAACGCCACTTTCAGATGCAGGACATGTGAGGCAGCTCTTCACGCAACGTCTTGGGGGTGTCCTTTTCGGAAACGATCACGGGAATTCCCCACGGGCACTCACTACTAATTGCCAACACTTAAATGTACAAAACAACTCATCTTGAAGTACATAACAGCGAGCTGAACGAACGTAACTACAAAGAAATCGCACGGCGAACGGTTCCCGCAACACATTTCGTCTGCTGCGCGCAAGGAAAAAACAAAACAAAAAAACGCACGGTTGGGTGTAGCCACGTGACTTCCGCCACTCACTCTCCGCTCTCTGACCTCCGTGCAGTGGTTTCGCTTTCGGTTTTGAGCAGTTGCGTTTTTTGGCTTTATTAAAAAAATACGCGACTCTATAGCAAAATATTAATTGGGTAATTTTCCAACACCATAATAAATCGCCTGGCAAAAAAATGAAAAAAATGTTTTTGTGGGGTGTAGGTGTCCCTTTAAAGGGATACTGAACCGAAATTTCGAACTTACAAAACAAGGCTGGACAGATAGGCGGGACGATGCAAAACCCAAAAACATCACTCATACAGCGATATCTCTAACGGATCGCCATATTTTTAGAAAAGAAGCGCCCGACTAAACCCGGCCGACGAGGCCGACAAGACAAGGCACGTCCCGATTCTTATTCCCTCTCCTCCTCACTACGTCCCGTGTCGAGCTGGTGAACCGAAGCGAGGAGGAGAGAAGCGAGGCCGCTCCCCCTCATTCTCAAATTCTCCCGGAGGACAGTGATGTCAGAGGCCTCGCTTGATCGCGCCCTTCTTTTCGAAAAGTGCGGCCATCCGTTTAAGATATTGATGTACGAGCAATGTTTCGGAGTTCGTAGAGTCCCGTTCAACGCTTCCAGAGCCTTATTTTGCGAAATTCAAATTTCGATTCAGTATCCCTTTAAGGCAGTGGCACTTGAAAAAAAAAAAAAGTAGAAACTGAAAGAATCACTCTCGAAGTGTCTATTATACTTAAACTCTAGCTCCTTCAAACTTAAATTTCTGTCGTTTTTTTTTTTTAGAGATGGAAATGAGCAATTTTTTTTTGGGGGGGGGGAGGGAGGGGGAGGGGGAATGTTTTATGCTGTAAAGATCAAAACCAAAACAAATTATTGTTTTAAAAACTAACAATTTTGAAATTTTTGTTTGCTATTTAAAGATTTTTGTTTTTCATTAATTTAACAAAAAAAAAAAAAAATATATATATATATATAAATGCAGTACTGTTTTTCTTTGCTCCGGCATGCCCATTTTGATCCCTGGTGATTTCCATCAGTATTCCTCTTCCGATGCTCCTATTTAAAAAAAAAACGTTGAGCCTTTCCACTCTCGTAAAGAGGGAAGACCAGCAAAGCTGTACTCGATACATTGCTGCGACGCGCACACGCCCGTTTCCCGCTTCTTCTTGTCCAACACACCGCCGATCGAGGATACGTCTCCGGCGAACCAGAGTCGGTTGCACACGGAGCACGTGACGACAAACGGGTTCTCCACGAACTCCCTTCAGAACCTCGCCGTCGCACTTGGGAACTGTTCAGCCGGTATGGAGTGCAGTCGTCGCCGGGCGTCGCGCTTGCGCTTTGCCTCTGTGGCACGATCGTCGTCCGTGGCATTGGCCCGCCAGCGCCCTTTACATCGCTGGTACTGTTCTCGGTGGCAGCTGTCCAGGCGAGCGATGTGCTCTTCTTTGGCAAGGGAATTTGAAGCGCTGGATGCAGTGGAAGTCGAGGCGACAGCGGCTTCGCGGCGGTTGCGGACCCATTCGCGCTGCTGCGTATGTCGCCGCTCCTTCCGCAGCCTGTCTCCTTTCCCCGAAAAAGTGCGCGGCCGACCCGTCCTGAGTCCAAACCGAAACTGATAAGAGCGTAGGAAACAGCGCACAAAACAGACGAAGACGAAGAAACACATGTGACAAGCGCTGCGCTCGTTACGTGTACTTCTTCTTCGTCGTCGTCTGTTAATTAAAGCAATAGCTTTATGTGAGAAGCCTGCATGGATCTTGGCTGCCTGTGTTGGTGTTGGCCATGCCGCAGCAAAGAAGGCCATGGCCAAGTACCGCAGAAATGAATGCCAGCGTCAGCAGTGAACTGCAGGAGTGCCGCCGTTGGTTTGACATCACTGTGTGTGCGACCAATGGCATTGCACTGCCCCCCACCCTCCAGTTCTGCGGCGTGTCCCCCCGAAAAATGAACAGTGTTTTGGTCACTGCGAAAATGAACTGCGCATCACCAAGTGCTCATTCTTCACCCAAATGTAAAGCTAGCGGTTCAAGCCGGATCCCAGAGTTCCAGAATTAACAGTAATCTCATTCAAGAGTTGCAGGTGATTTTCTGAAAATTTCGATGGGAAAATGGGGCCTGTTTTCGGTAACTACCGCCATTCGGCGTCATGTATTCGAGAGGTCCGTCGGCCGCTATTTTCCCATTGAAAGTTTAAAAAAAATCGCTTATAACTTTTGAATGAGATAACGGTCAGTTCTGAAACTATGGCATCTGGTTCGAACCACTAGGGCTACTTTAAGGCGGAGAATGAACGTTCGGCAATGCATAATTTGTTTTTGCGGTGAAAAAAAACAACCTTGCAAACTTGGCGGTGAGGTAGGAACTGTGCATTAGTGCAATCGCACCTTCATTATCTTTTCCATCTTGGCTTGTCTGCGTGCTTCCATTGGCCGCTGGATGGCGACAGAGTATAGCTCCCAACAGCCACTCCTTTGGACCGCAGGTATGAGACAGCTAGGGTTCTTGAAAGCCAGCTGATGCAGGCAGCACTGGACAAAAAATGGGCCAAGGCCAGGGAGCTCCTGGACAATGTGGAGGCGCTAGCGCGCACCCCAGACTCTGTGCAGTGTGGAAAGAGGCAAGTCGAGATCACAACAAGCGTTCTGGTATACCAGGATCTCTGTGGCATACCCGAAGAAGTGCTCGGGGTGCACAGTTACACGCATGCCCATGGCTTTGACCACATTGCCGCAGAAAGTTGTGTCCGGGCAGAGTATGTGTAAACCTTGTCAAATGTATAAAGGCTTGTTGTTGCTACTGGCAGGAATAGAGGAATGTTGTGGATGGAACGTTCTGTGATCTCATTTCCAAGGGGGGGGGGGGGGGGGGAAGCTTCTGAAGCATCGACGGAAATTCCTGTGGGCACATGTTTCTGTTTCCTGCTAGCCTTGCGACTTGTTCTGATGTGTCGAATTTTTCGCAAAGCTTTGTTTCTAAAGATCTTGCGGTAGATTTTAGATTCGGACGATTCCTTGGGGGTTTTTTCTTCGTAAATAAAAGGACCTGAAGTTAGTGACTTTCTACTAAGGTTGTTAAGCAAGTGTTTGCAAATCTGAAATTGAGAGAATGCACATTTTACTTTTTTAATTGGCAAGCTGGCCAGCTTTTGAATTTGCTGCTGCAAAGTTTCGGACTTTCGCCAGGCTTGGGTCGTGCATGAAAGTTTAGTGGTCTGCAGTGCTTCGACAACTTGAACAACAAATGACAGTGTTGTGTTTCTGCTCAATGGTTGTTACAATAATGTTTTCCTTCTCAGCCCCAGAAGGTTGGTTGAGTATAAGTCCGATTCCGTTAACGCACTTCAGAAAGAAAGGCTGATTCTGATATTCACCACTATACGAGGCCAATCTTTGTCAATGCGGGTGGCACCTGCAGAGACCAGGCCCTGCCACCCTTCCTACGGCGCTTCACAACCACCGGTGTTTACACCCGGTGTCGGTGCCTCGGAGTCGACGTGCTGCAACGGCTCAAGGAACACCGGCGCGCCGTGCGACTCTTGCGCGCTCTGCTCGGACAAACGGTGAGTCGCACGAGCATTCTTTAAAGGAAGTACTCTAGGATTACTGGCCATCGTTGTAACCACCCGACTTACTATGGTCGTCGTAAAGACCAAATTGTCTTGCCGACCATCGTCACTGTTTTAACAGAGAATGTGTCTATATGCTTATTTCCATGAAAACCTTCAACTCTTTGCTGGAAAACTTGACCGTCATGCTTGACCGTCACACATAGGTTAGAGTTACTGTAAAGCAAAACGGCCCATACCAACCCCCCACAGTCTAGTGGCTCAGCATGTTTTGCCAGGGTGATAAGCCAGGGTGATAAGCTGTATACTTTGTGCTGGAATATCTCGCTCCAGCGCAAGACATGAACCGAGTAAAGTTTAAGAGGCCGAATTGTGACTTTTGACGAAAACCGCTGGGGCGATGCAGCACTTCTGCCTGAGCCGTCGTGGTCATTGGTGGGACCGGCTGGCTCTCAACCTGGACGTTCACCTGGGCAAGCCAGGTGAGGTGTGTGACATTCTTTGTTCACCTTATTCAGAAAGGTTTTTATTACTTCCTTTTCTATAAAAGTCCACGCACGGTTCTGCGGACTTCCTCGGGATGTTATAGCTAGGGCCTAGTGTTTCCGGTAAATACCGATAGACCCCAAAAATCAAGCCCCGAGCCGGTTTTTATCAAAATTGGGGAAAACCGAAAAGCCCTAAATTAAATTGCGTTCCTTGCGTTAAAGGAATCTAAACTTCACAGAAAGAAACCTTCATCTACGGCTCTATTTTGTATTGACTGGGAACACAGCCTTCACTGAACTGTCGTTTGTGAGGCCGCTTCCGTCTTCAGGATCCACAACTTTCATCTCGTTTCATTCTTTTATCGATACTGGAACATTTTCTAAGCATTCCGGGCCTAGTGCGTGTTCTCTTTCTTCAACAAGCTTTTTGTAGTGTTGATTGCGGTGGGATAGCCCCGTTGGGTGCGCTTCTCACCGAGTACCTGTGCACTGCAGGGAAGCAACACCCGCAGAAGTCGCGGGCTCTGCGTGTGTTGCTTCCTTGCAGCGCACAGGTGCTCGATGAGAAGCGCACTTAACGGGGCTAACCTGCCGCGATAATGCAAGAGTATGTTAGGCAGTCGACGTCTTGACAACCCGCTCTCACCATTCATGGTTGCTTTCTTTGTTGTCAAGTTTGGAATGAAAGAATGTTTGCATATAGCAAGCAAATTTATAAATCCCCCTTTGATTAGGATAGCTGCGACAAATCTGTTGTTTATGTGCCACAGTTCATATAGTTATATGAAAATTAACCGAACTTGGAAGTGGACAAGGGGAAGGTTTGGAACAACCTTTATGAGTTCAGCTGGATTTTTGTTTGAGCATGGTGCACAATAGTGGAAGACTCTGTATCTCTGTTCTATATTTGATTCAAAATCATATGGCCAAAACCACTATTCGCTTTGAGCTCAAAGTCCACTTTTTGTGCACAACTATCTGACGCCGAAAATTGGCCAAAAAAAAGCTTTTGAATTTGTGGGAAAAAATATATCCAAAATAATCTGAATTCGGAGAAAAATAAACACCAAAAACACAGAACCCTAGTCATAACGTCCCATGAAGCTCCTATAAACGTCCGTCGTCATTAAGCACATTAATGTCGTAGCCAGCGCCCTAGTGCTCCAATAACTTAAGTTAGGGCAGAGATCAGGCTGTTTGATGACATTTCGCTTCATCTCCCAAACAGCACTTGGTCCGATTAAAACCATTTTGATTTGGGAAAGGCATTGATGAGAGGACTTTGTTACTGAATACAGCAAACAAACTTAATATATTAAATTTAAACACACTGAAATGTCATGCTATCCTAGATTTGTGTCATTTAAATGCTGCAGTAATTGAGTTACTGTAATCTTAACGTGTTTCTGGGTAACTTGGTAGCTTTCATATACACTCAAATTTCAAAGCTCAATATCTTATAGTTATGATTTTGTGTTTTCGAAGTTTATTTTTGAAAAAAATCAAAAAACATTTTCCAGATTTTTTTTTTTTCAGGGTTTAGTGTTTTTTGGAGCATTTGTTTATGACACTTGACATTCTGAGTCTTTAGGAATGTTTAGCAAATCAGGGTGTTTCTACTTCAAATGGGGTCATGTTTGAGAGCAGCAATAAAGGGCTGTGTAACTGCAGATAGAATTTTATTCAGTCAATATTTAGAACATTTGTGACAAAAACGAATGCTTGTTACAACTTGTAATACACCCTGTCTGTCTATGTCTCTTCTTGTCCTTCGTCTTGTTCGTGCTGTTTTTAATTCTTCAGTATGCAAAACCCAACTTGCCCAAGTCTTCACCCTACTGTAATACACAAAGTCACATACGGGCTTACGCTTTCATTGGCCAGCCAATATTGCGGACTGACGATGCGAAACATAGAGAACACTCTCTCCACATTTGCACTGGAGACAGGAAAAGCTAGTAGATTCAGTGTGCAATGTGAAAGAGTGGGCTAGTCTTGCACATGCATTCTCTAGACTAGTAGTGGTTCTACTCTTTCACAGTGTACTCCTGATAGGTCAAGAACTCTGTCTCTAGCTGGGACATGCCATGGTCCTGACGCGAAACGAGAGCAAGCAAGCGCTCTTAAGTCTCGAATGCTCGTGACATTTCCGCTTTAACTTTTGGGTTACTGATTAGGACACAAGACCAAAATGAGTCGCTGGTATATTGCAAGTTGTGCACAATATTACGTTCAACAGAGCGGCTCCATCTCTCGGCAACAGCACTGTAGTACTCGCGGAAAGTATCAACAGTGTTAGAGCGCTTCTGCTCGTCTACAGTGTCGAGCATGCAGCCAATTTCCATTTCAAAGCTTGTCAATGAGGCATCCGTCCATTGGCTTAGCAGAGCCTTTAGATGGACATCAAGTAAGACATACACTTCATACACCAATGTAGATTCGGCTTCTAACTGTTTGATTAGGGAGAGCACTTCGTTTGAGGCTTTTTTAAAAATCTGAATCTTGGAAGAAGTTTTTCTTTTTCTTTTTCCAGCTGAGTTTTTGAATTTTGAGTTCGTTGGATAAATTCAAATTCAAAACTATTTTTACCGGCGAGTGTTTTTCGGCTTTTATCAGATTCATTCGAAAACACAGAACCCTACTTGTAGTACCTAAATACTTTTGTGGCCTTTATAGTACCTTGCAAGTTCTTCAAAAATCAGTAGGATTGTGCTAACCCTATGTTTCCACGTGTCAAGTTCTCTCTGTTATGTCTCTGCTTCAGGGATCATCCTCTTTCGCAAGGACATTGGAAAGCAGGCTTTCTCTCTGTGCCAAGTGCTTCAGAAATGACAATATTTTTCTTTTTTCCTTTCCACTCTTAAAGGGGTGTAGTTCTTTGTACAGTGCAAGTTGAAAGTTCAATAAAGTATCTTTATTGTAAAGTAAATTTTTTCAGAAAAATTCTCCACTATATCAGTATCTTTACTATACCATAGAATACCGTGCATCTGCCCATTCCGCACTAAGCACCCACCCTCAAAATTTGAAACATCTGAAGAAATATACACAGCACATATATGTAAATTTGATGACCTCAAATGCACCCATCCCCTATTTTTTCCTTATTACCTTCAAATGTTGAGTGGGTGCTTGCTCGGTATTTTACGGTTTATTAGTACGCCAAACGTTTGTACCGGCTGTTACAGGCAGTCTTTGCTTCACTACTGTGATCTTGAAGCTAATGGGCCATTTACATTTTCAGTATAAACTAGCCTACTTCACTACTCTTGTGGCTTGAGTAATTGGTGCACTATGGTCACTGACAAGATGGGAACGGCAGGGCATTTTTTTCGGCTATGGCTTTGGCTCTTTTGGCTTTGGCTGCGCGTGCACTCTCGAGGCTTGCGAGACGTCAAAGTGTTATTGAAGGTGAGGAGCTCGTACTGGGGGCGGGACGACCGAAACTCCTCCCTGCCAGTCTCACCGCGCCAGTGACTATAGTCACTGCTTTTTCTGTCACCAAGTAACCATGCATACTGTCGTTCCTAGTGTGCCCCTTTATTTCTCCCGGAATTTCGACGAGGCGATGATGAATGGGGCTGACTGCAGGCCATGGATGCCATCAAGGAAGCTCTGGGGGAGAGCGGCATCAGTCCAGCCTCGCGCCATGCCCTGCTGACCAGAGCAGCCAGGCTGGCGGTCAAACTGCCAGAGCATCCGTCGGCCTCTGCGCTACGGGATTTTGTGCCGTCCGACGTCACAGCCACGCCAGAGGTGCGACCTGACAGCACTTTTGCATGCACTTTCTCTCTGTCCTCTCTTCTTTGTATAGTGTCCGCATTGTCACGGTTATCAGGCGCCCACGGTGTCACAACATAGTCTGTTTTCCGGATTCCAGGTCACAATACAGGGACAGTTAGCGGAGCGGATGGTACCTGGACGCACCAACATGTTTGCGGTGAGGGAATCGGACGGCGCCCTCCGAGTGATCCCTGTGGAGGAAGTAGCCCTGCGGCACTACAGCGAGAAAGGCTACCCTCAGGGTAAGCGCGCTCTCTTGCACCGTGACGAGCTTAATCTAAAAATACAAACGTACAGTAGCTTGGGCTTGCGATAACAAAATTTTTTTAAACTTGAGTCGTCACTTTCGACGTACTCAAAAGTACTGATGCAATCTGTCTTGTACTCTAGCGTTGGCTAATAAACACTGTGTGGGAACATTGACACACCAGCGCAGAAATCTAAAACAAGTGGGCCACATGCGGCTCACATGCTGGTACATGACACACAAGCATCTTGCGCCTGCAAGCCCCCCTTCCCGTCTCTCAAGCGCTATGTGTGTTGTACATGATAGTCTCCTGTCGTCGATTCATTTCCGCTTGGAACAGAACGCTATTCTTATAATATGTTTAATTTTTGCTTCTCGGCTCTTTCTTATGTCATTGACATGTATGATGACCCCACTGCTAGTGTACAAGCGCGAGTTATTTGCTCTAGGATGTGCCTCGGCTGCACAATCTCGGCAGGAGCAATTGCCAGTTGCTCAGCAGGAGCCGCTGCCAAAGATACAGCTACGAACTTGGGCTTTTAGCCGTCAAAAAATATGATTGAAGTGGAAGTATTTTTTCGTGACGCTGCCATCACAATCGTCTGTGTCTAAAGATAGACGCAACACAGTTACTTTATTACTGTTGGCAATATAGAACGTACGCCTTCTCGGATTTGTAGGATGAAGCGTGAATATCCAAGGTTGATGCACGACCTGCGACTAGTGGCGCACGACTGCACGCCGGTGCGACGCTCATCCAGATTGAAACGGGCAGGGTTGGGGATTGAGTCAAGGATTACTGGGTTCAGCAGCGCGAGCTCTCGCTCCACGTGCTCCAAGCAGCAATGCGTTAAGACACTTGGTCATAATTCCCCCCCCTCCCCCCATTGGGGACCTCCGTCTGCAGGGATCCACGGGGAAGGATCCACATTCCACGCCCTCTTTGGGATCCTGTGCTGGGACGCCATCTATGCGGACGGTGTGCCCGACGCGTTCCGGTCACCCTACCAGGCTTTTCCGATGGACCTCCATTCCGACGGATTCTTCACAAGCAGGGAACAGCGTTTTCTCAAGGTCTTTGAGAACATCCGCACAAGCAGCGTTGAGGTGATGCCCTGTTTTTTTTGAGAATCGGAATAGTTTCTCGATTGTCTCGTAGCAACATCTGTATTGGAGCGATGGCCACCTATGGCAAAAGGGAAGAACTAATCCTGTATGATGGGCAGTTTCGTTCATTACAAAATGTGTTTAAGGAGGGACATCAGCCTAAATTACAAATGTTTTTGAAAAAATTAATTTTCTAATTTTGAGGTTTTCGGTTTTAGAAACTAACATACACCCTTACACTAAATTTGATAACCATACGCCAAATAGTTCCGTTGATATAAAATATTTTCAACACATTGGGAGGCAATAACAAGGTAAAGGAGTTCAATGTTTGAATGCATTTTTCTCTGTCCCACTTTTTGCTGCAAATTTCATACGAGGAATCTTTTGTTTGAAGGTAAAAGTATTCTGATACCACCATCAAGATGTTTCGTAACTGAAATTTACTGGGGAATTGGGCTATCTACTGTTAAACTCCTCATTGAGAAAAAACAATTTTTTTCAAAAATTGACATAGGACAGATATGCATCTCATATTTTGAAACAATCTCTCTTCCTGAAATATTTATATTTGAGTTATAAAAACTAGATAGCCCAAAGTCCCACATCGCCCACTTTATGTTCAAGCAGTCAAAAATTTGCTCAATAGCTTCATTTTAAATATCATAGATTTCTTAACGAAGAGTGACACATCTTCTTATGCAGGTATGTAAAGTTGTCCTAGAGAGTTGAAAGTTTGTACAGTATACCTATATCTTACATTAAATCTCCCCTGCAAATTTCATACTGATCACTTGAGTAGTTCAGAAGTTAAATCTCTAGCCGGTAACCCCCTTATATACCGTAAAATACTGAGTAAGCGCCAACTCAAAATATGAAGATAATCACAAAAATTGGGGAATGAGCGCTTGTTAGGTCATTAATTTTACGTATATATCTACTGTGCATATTTTTTCAGGTGTTGCAAAATTTTGGGGTGGGCACTTATTAGGGAATGTGCAAATGCTCGGTATTTTACGGTATACCGTAAAATACCGGGCAAGCGCCCACTCAAAATTTAGAGATAATCGCGAAAAAATGGGTGATGGGCGCTCTCCGGTCATCAATTTTACATATCGACGTACTGTGCATATATTCTCGGATCTTACAAATTCGGGTATGGGCGCTTAGTGTGGCATGGGCGGATGCACGGTATTCTACGGTATGTATAAAACTTTCTAACTATTTTTTTTAAAATCTTTGTTAGGTTGTTATTTGTGGTTTTTACAACCAGCCACATTTCTTAAATATGGTGGTTCTTGAGGTATTGTAATTCATTATATGATATTCGGTTTGCGACACATTTAGTTAGCGCTTCACGCTGGTAAAAAGGGGTGCTAACCCATGTGCGGCCAGTTTTGCACCACCTCTTATTCAAGTTAAAGCAAGTAGGCAGGTGAGCTGGTTAAGGATAAACATGGTAACCCTGGAGCGAGGGGACAAAAAAGAACAGACAGACAGACCGAACGCAGCTAAAGATTTATTTTCCAGAACATCTCTTTAAATAGGCCCACAAATCCACAAGCAGACACACGCTGCCCAAGGCCACACAACCGTGGCAACTAAGAACCAAGGAACAAAAGAACCCGGCGACCGACAAGAGGACACTAGGATGTAGGGACGCAAGGAAGCCCCAAAAGAACCAACGCACTCTCTCAAGGCAAGCAAACCACCCTGGGCCTCTTCCACTGAAAAGAATAACTAAGGAGCCGCTTGCAAAAACCGGTCCTTGACAAGATCTCCGACAACCGGGTCTAATTGATACACCAAAATATTGTCTACATGCCTATGAGTTAGCACAACACTAGCAGAAAACTGTGTGAGCAACTTAGCCACAGAAAGGTCAATAATCATTAGATATATTTCATACAGGACAGGGGCTGTCCAGGAACGTATACAGATCCTGTTCTTCTGCAAAAACAGCTTTGCCTGAATGTTCACAGTAGACCTTAAAGGGACACTGACAGGGTATTTATGCTCGCCGAGGTTTTTAGTTGTATGTGACATATGAGAGCTCAACTACCCAGAACAGAATTTGCGGCTCGAAATTGGGTTTCTTTCCGCCCGAAAACCGCCGATCGAGAACTGGTTGGTTTGAGTCGCGCTCACTCTCTTTTCCGTGGTCACGGGCCGTTTTCTAAGGTTTCGACGCAACCACCAAATTTAATCAAAGTCGTGGGTAATTGAAGGCACACAGTCAATACAAAAAAAAAAAAATAATAAATAAATAAAAAAAAATATGAAATCCATTTTTTGTGGTTTCCAAAAAGCTGCAAATCATTGATTGAAAAAAAAAAAGTTGCACAGACAACCGGAAGCATTCTGTGCATTCACTGCATAATTCCTAATATGGCGTCGTTTCGCGTTTCGTGGGACTCGCTGGTGGCAACGTATGACGAGCGTGGGACCTCTACTTCAGAACTGTTGTTCATGGTACCAGCGAATTCTGTTTTCCTTCGAAAGAGAAATTTTGGACAGATCAAAAGAATTGATATTCATCCCGTACCACACACCCGACCAGCAAGCTGATTGCACGAAGACGTCGCCGAGCCGCCGTCCCTTCTCGTGGCTGAAGACATCGCTTGCTCAAACGTCAGGCACGAAGTGTGTACATCGAGTTGAACACGCACACGTACGGCTTCTTTACTTGGTGCGAATGTGGCTAATGCGTGGTGCCGCCCGACTTCAACCCGGGAGTGCATGCACTGGAGAGAAATCGACAGCTAACTTTCCGACATACAGTCGACCAGATGCATTACTACAAACGAAAGAGATTCTTCAGTAGCCGTCATCGAAAGAGCAAAACAAATCCTCAATATCTAGTGAAAACTTCTTTAGCGGCTTACAGTGGAATGGTTGAATATCAGCCAGTAACTAGTCAGCATTCTTCAATACAAGAGGGCTTGAGCACTCGACACCCTTAAGACAACCTTGGATAAAAGTAGAAACTACCCTCTGCCAAGAGCCCTCCTTGTTAACTACCACCCTCAAGGGCAAATCAACTTTGTGATCCTTAAGCAAGAACTTTACGCAGCAGAAAGAACTCTCACCAGCACTCATAATCCTGTTAATCCTGTTAACCACGGACGGAAACTCACACTCTTTCAGAAGTTTTGTTATAGACCACCGACAAGGCTTGAGCGGTCCTTCGAAAGGGAGAAAAAGGGAGCCAACCACCTTGTCTGCTCTGTCGTTGAACGCATTGATCGGAAGCACGCCATACTTCCCGGATTTGTCGGTTTCCAACAAAACCAAGTCTGCACGATTCAAGTCATCCCTCATCTTTCGTACAAATTTAATTCACTGAAATTCTCCTGTGTATACAGTTTGGGTCTTGGGTTGGGAAAACAGCTACGTAGACTGTCTTTGGCTGGCTATAAAATGTTTCTTAACACTTTATTCTTTTGTCCTTTGGATTACCGTAAAATACCAGGCAAGCGCCCACTCAAACTTTGGAGATAATCGCAAAAAAATGGGGGATGGGCACTTGTCCGGTTATCAGCATATTTTCTCAGATCTTATAAATTTGGTAATGGGCGCTGTGGAATGGGCGAATGCGCGGTATTCTATGGTAGTGTCATCAGGTCGACCGCCAGCAGGGGGAAGAAGTGTGGTTAAAGTGCTAATTCTTTGTGTTTGCTTGCCTTTAGAGTGTGCGTTGTTTCTTTCAGGGCTTCCTTGTGTCCACACAAACTAGTGTCCTCTTGTCGGTCTTTTTTGTTCTTTGGTTCTTATCTGCCACGGTTGTGTGACCTCCGGCAGCGTGTGTCTTCTTGCAGGTTTGCGGGCCTATTTAAGGAGGTGTTCTGAAAAGTAAATCTCTCTAGCTCGTTTGGAGTTTCGTGTCTGTCCGTCCTTTTTTTCCCCCTCGCTCCAGGGTTACCATGTCTTAGTATTGAACACTTCACAATACTTTCAAGTGCCACCTGAGTGGAAACATCTTCAAGGTTCCCAGACTTCAAGCTTATCCAGAATGCATGTTTTTCTTTTTTTGCTCACAACTGGCTGAATATTTGTGAGCTAGTGCACAGCTCACAGTGTTTTTGGTGTTGGGGGTGCCCTTAGAGTTGTCAGGGCATTTATATGGATTCTCTGTGCCTCAGGAACTAGCAGAGCAGGTGGCCTCAACCTATGACAGCCACAGCGGCCAGGCAGGATTGGTGCAGTGGGAGCGCTTTAGTTCTGTCCAGATACAGGCAAGTGGTTTATTCAAGGGCTTTGTTAATGCACAATAACTTTCTTGTAAAAGTGTACTTGGATAGTGACCTAAAGAACGAAAACAGGACAAAAGATGTTTTGTCCTGCCTTCACCCTTGATATCCCCTGAACTTACCAACATGCTGCAGTTCGTAGAGCGTTATCACTTCTTTGCACGTGTTCATTCATTGCTCGCGTGCCAGAAGCCTTGCTCTTGAACATAGGCCAACTGCCGCCCCAGTGAAAAGCCATGCAGACGTCGTACGAAGTAAATTTATTTCAGAATACACGCAGTTGTAACGTTCAAGTCCGACATATCACCGTCAGCTAGAGAGATCTCATCCTTTCACAACCCATAGTCGGGGAATATTAATTATGTAACCGGAAACCTTAAATATAACTGAACCTGAGCCAGCTCATCTGCACACTCCCTCTCCTTTAAACTTTCCTGTGTTGTTGACAATGTAAATGACTGTATTCAGATACAAAATGACATCTGCTCCGTTGAACATTGGTGCTTAAAAAATAGGCTTCAACTGAATCCAAAAAAGACTTGTAATGTCCCTTACCAGGAAGAAGGGGAGCATAGTCTTGGACTACACTATATTTGAAGAGCAAGTGCTGCGGGTTGTCTATGTACGGGATCTTGGTGTCTTTGTGGACTCGAGATTGGATTTTCGCCTCCACGTCTCTCGCATTGTTGGTCAAGGACTTCGCCAACTAAGTGTAATTTCACGGCTGACAAAAAAAATTTCGTCGCTCTGAGTGTCTTTTATGTCTGTATTGTGCATTGGTTAGATCACGCCTCGAGTTCACGTCTGTGGTTTGGAACTCTGTAACGATGTTACATAGTAATCTTATTGAAAGCGTTCAGCGTAAGTTTATAAGAATCTTATACGACCGATATATCGGCCGCCGCCGTTTCTACAATTACCATTCCCTGCTCACTGACCTTGGTCTAGTGCCTCTGCACGATAGCCGAACTGCAAGAGACATGCATTTCCTGCGTCAAATTGTGCATGGTCCTCTTGATTGCGCCCAGCTGCTGATGTCGCTGAGGTTCCGGGTACCGTCAGGAGGACATCAAAATGCAGAGACACGTTTTATCCTGATGTGCGGGCCACTTGCCCAATGACACGTCTGCAACAGACTCACGATGCCTTTTTTGGTGAAAGACATTTTCGCCTGATTGTGTTTTTATCTCATACTTTTATGTATCTGTGTACAGGACAGTGCACTGCTGCTCAGGCCACTTGGCTGTTCGCAGGCACACAAATAAACCCCATCTATCTATCTATCTATCTATCAACCGTAAACCGCCTAGAAAGGTAGGGCAAAATTTCGTGACACGATTGGCTGTGGACAGTCTGAAATTGTTTGCATCAGACTATATGTGGAGCACAGGTTCGTCCGCATTTTGTGCCGGGGTTACGGCGACGTTGAAACGCCAAGTTCTGATTGGCTCCGATTGGAAGGATTGTTGGTAGACCTCAAGGAAGCTAGCATCGAGGTCTACCTGCCATCCTTTCAATCGGAGCCAATCGGAGCTCGGTGTTCTGACGTCACTGTAACCCCTGCGCAAGAAGCAGACGAACTTGCACGCCGTATATTCGCCGACATGGTGAGAACGGTCTGTAGAAGCTCCAGTTGTCCCACCTCCAGTGGGAGCTTCCTTCCATCAAAAATGCTGGAAACGTCTCTTGCACTTCAAGCACGCACGCACAGCCAAAGCACGGCGGAAGGCACAAAGATTGAGCTGGGCACTAAAAAAAACACGCACAGTCGTTGTCATTCCATTTACACCTAGAGTCGTCGAAGCTTTTCCGGGCAAGCACAATGTCAATGTCTGCATGGTGCAGCGAGGCTCTACAGTCATGGAGCAAGGTCCTCTAGAGACGTGGGGACCTGGGTTTGTCCGCAGGAACTGGTGCGCTGCTTCGGACCAGAGGTTCTCTGGCGGCTGTGCGACCTGTTGGCACGGAACTTCCGCCACAGACGGAGCGGCCTGCCAGACCTCGTCGTCTGGAATCCCGTCGACGGACACCTCAAGGTAATCGTCGACGTCTCGCGATACGCGCTTATGCTACAAACGAGTTGGCAGTCGTTCGTGCGCGAACACTAAGAATTGAGAATGACTGCACAAAGTGTGCCGCGACCAACGGCAGCCGCTGTCCCATCGTCGAAAGATACACTAATTGAGGAGCTTCGATTTTAGTTGGAGAACCCTTCCCGTTTCGGCTTGGACGAGCACCGGCGTGCGGTGGTGTATCGCCACTGCGCGGCACATGTTAAAACCCCCTCCTCTCCTCTCTTCCCCCCCCCCCCCCCCCCAGACAAGCGGTCAAACTGCGCTGACAACATTTCCCACCACGGCGGAGAACACTGGGCGCCCGTTGGGGTTGGCTAGATTCTCGCCGTCCAAGCAGACACGTAACGTGGTTACAAAAGTCTACGAAGGCGGCGTCCGTTTTTTCGACAGGCCGCGGAAGTCAAGGGTCCGGGAGACACGCTGTCCGCCAAGCAGGTCGTCTGGTTGCGGGAGCTGCTGGCGCTAGGCATCGACTGCGAAGTGTGCCACGTGACAGGTGCGCTACGCTGGTTGCCCTAGTGGTAAGGTGCCTGGAATGTGTCCCCAAATGTGGTCCCCGATTTCCGCCTGACGTTGTCGTAAAAGCGGCACAATGGCGGAGGTGGATGCAGCAAACGCCCATTCTGCTGTAGGTTGCTCTGCCGCCGTGGGAGTCGACAAGAACTAAAGTGGTGCGACAACGGCAAACTTGGCGTCTTCTCGCCTTTTTCGCCGGCGTTTCTATGGCCCACTCTCGGGATCTTGACGTCAGAAGAGCACGACGTGCTAACTCTGGCGGCGTAATTTGTTGCCACTTGGGGGCTGCTATCGTGCACCATGCTTAGTGGCGCTTTGGGGGTAACGTCGACAGCGTGGCAAGTACTTACAGCGAGCTCCCGTAGTTCTGGAATTTTTATTAATGCGGAATGTGTTTAGTCGGCCGATTTTCATGGAGTTCTGTTGTGTTTGGCTGTAACAAAAAACCAACTCGGAAAAGCTTTACGCCCATAGGGAACTATATAAAAAGACTGCCATCCAGGGTCAGTGGTCAGAACATGCAAAAAGAAACTCATTTGCGCGGCGCACAAAGTCGTGGTCATGCGCTTTGCCGCCTTTCTTGCCGCGCTGCACCATCTCCCGGTGTGCGTCAAAAACGAGAGCGAATCTTCGGTAGGTGGTGCTGTTCAGGCGCCCTTTTGTTCTTCCCTGGAAGGCCTGCGACACATTCTGTGGTCGGCTGGGTCAAACTTGTATAATTTTTGAGGGGGATCCCAGAAATTTCAACGATTTCATTGACCTGTATAGTTTCTAGGCTTTATAAAAACAAGGAATATCGGAGAAAGTGAACAGTAAACGTGCACACGGCTCTCATGTGACATAGGTGTTAACTCCCAAGGAGCCCCAACGGTGTTTTCTGCAGTTTCAGGAGACCCTTTTAATGCAAGAGCATTAACTGTCTCATAAAGCGAGCTGACGTCATAAGCTTTGAAACCAGGCCAAACGGCTCTTAAATCCTTCTCCAGGTCAAGCCAGCTCCCATTCGCCGGTTAGCCATGGCACCTTTTACACTGCTTCGATCCCATTGGCTAGCGCGCGTCGATCAGGGTCCCATTCGCCGGACACGCAGCACCATGGAATGGCCTTATGGCGTTGTGTGTCCGTCAGTGCTAGAGTTTCTGTATAGGCTCCCTAAGGGAGCCAGAGTTGCGCGTCTGTTTTCCACGTGCCGCCGCGCCGCTATTCGCCGAGATCCGATCATGTGAGGAGCCGGATCAAGTGCCGCGCAGAAAAGTAGGCGCTGCACGCGCCCCGGCGTACGTTTCCCTGCCTTTGAGTGCACCGCGCGCCTCGAACGTTCAGCGCTGCTGTTCGCCGGGTCCAGTCACGCGAGGAGCGGACTATGACTGCCGTGCAGAAAAACCGGCGCCACGGGGATGAACGCACGACCCTGGTTCCCGTAGGGAGCCTTTACAGGAACTCTAGTCAGCACCAGGTCAGCGCCAGTCAGCGCGCCAACATTTGTACAGCAAGAATGATGTACATGCTTTCGCATTCACAACTCTTCAGAAATGCTTTTTTAGACAATTAGAGTCATAGCTCAAATTAAAAACAATTGCCTTTATTTGAACATGAGGTTACAGACCAGCCAAAATCTTCCCTCATTCCACATTACAAGGCACACCAGGCAGAAGTGTGGACTGAATATGTCGAAGGCCTGTTTTCTTAACCAAATCCTAAAAGTATTTACTGCCAAGTGGTTATCAGATCTTTATCTCAAGCTTACCAATATGGTGACAATGAAGAGGCAGTGGAATATTAAGCAGCAGCCTCGCAGCTGGTGTCGTGTCACCAATGATACTGCAATTAAAGCTGTTAATCAAGCACGAAACAGAATGGATTAGACTAAGTTAACAGCACAAAGTTGAAATGATCTCAAAATATTTCAAAGATTGGTCAAGTTTTGTAACGTCATGATGTAGCAGCTGTTTTTTTCCCTTTTCAGCTACAAGCTCCAAAAGGCTGCGGAAACAGGAAAACTTCATTACGGACAAGGACACCACAACAAAGAAATAACAGTCCGACCGGTTAAATCTAGGACCTATCTCCAAAATAAGAAGCTATTTTTCTCGTTTATTATTAAAACCTGTGATGTTTCCACTAATGCAAAGCATGTTTAATCAATGCATTCAGCACAGTAGTACCAATGAAGCAAGAGTAATGTCGCTGCTTTTTTACGGGGACACTGAACTACAGGGAGTGCCTTATCCAACTTGTTCTCTACAGCGCTCAGTGTTTACCCAAACAGAAGGCCCGTGCACTGAATCCTTCACTGCCTCCCTAAGAGAGCCCAGCTTACTACTTCATTCCCTAAGAGACACAACAATTAAAATAACTGAACCGATTCCCAAATTTTGTTGAAAGAACAGCGCATTTGTTTAGTATCAAAACATTCACATTTTTTCGAAGTTTCACAGCATCACTTCTATTGAACTTAAAAAAAGACAACCAAATTCACTTCCTGCAGGTAGGACGCAAACAGGTTGGGGTTTTTTAAAAGTGAAAACTCCAAGAACGTACATCAACCATGCTTTCTACAAACGCAACCTTTCCATTTATTAAGTTCACATGGTAACCGCAAAAATGCTCCAGTGTAAAAAAAAGAAACACCTTTACATAAGTATAAATGCTGGCAGCATATTGTCAGGACAATTCTCTGGGACCAGTTTAGTACAAACGGTGACACAATCACAGACTCGTCACACACGCTCACAGAAGCAGCTTGCGCCGGTGCGTGAGCAAGACGAAAACTTCCAGAAACTATATATATATACAGGTTACTTCATAATCAATAAAATAATATAACAATTAGCAAACACAAATATAAATGCAGCGGATTCAAAGACTAGCATTGACGTCCTAAAGAAACCTACAGTTGAGGAGCCTCGCAGTGCTGTGAGCTTTAAGTACACTCGCGGAACGTCCAAATGTGAAACAGCGTCGCTTGGACTAAAACGAGAAGTAAATGCACGTCACTGGCACGACGGTGGCACATTGCATAAATGAGAAAACTTGTTCACAAGAACACAGGCACAAGGTGCGTGATGAGTAGCTACAAAGCACGTGTGTAAAGGCTGGTTCACACATCCACGTTTCAGTGTGCTCGAGTGCGAACCAAGAGTTGCACGAAATGCACACTAATAATAATAATATTAATATGAAGGAATGTGTGTGAAACAACATAAAGAGAGTTGTCTTAAGTGGTAGTAAAGTAATCACCACTCCATAGACACTTGCGAGACAAGCATTAGTGTGACTTGACTGTGGGTGCATCGGGAGCATACTGACAGGCGACCCGAACATCCACAGTTGAGCATCGCGACCAGATCTGCCGCAAACGACCGCAGAGACGGCCGTGAGGAAGACAAACGCTTCGAACGGGCGTAAAGGCCTGCCCGTGGTTTGTTCGAAAACGGCAGTAAGGAAGGTGGCACAAAGCACTGGTTTGTATATAGTAGTTGTTTGAGCAGTGAGGACAGGCTTGCTTGCAAGTTCTTTGTACAAATTGTGTACAAGGCACCGTGTACCAAGATGCAGTGCATAATATAAAAAAAAAGGGCATACAGTACACAGCACCGTGGAACTTGCACGCGGTATATAGCAACGTATACCAAAATGCCGCACACAATACCATATGAAGTGCACATGGTGTTTCACACGCTACACTGTGACACGGCACACGATACCACCAAGTGTACACAGTAGGGTGCATTGAAATTGTGTGCAGGAAGACAAGCGTCTGGTTTCTGCCAAAAAGGCACAAGGACACTTTGGAAAGATAAAATATTGGCACCGGTGTCGCAGAAACTGGGGAAAAATGTAAAGAGCGAGCAGGCTTATATTATTGCCGTACAGGTTAGGACTAACTACTTGGAGATGCAGACACCAATGTGGAGAGCAAGTCGTCCGATTCTTGCACAAGGGTTGCAGCGATGTCAGGACGACGCCAAACTCCGATTGGCTTTGATCGGAAAGATAGTGGGTAGATCTCAATGCTAGATGCCTCGAGGTTTACCCACTATTTTTTTAAATCAGACAATAAGATCTCGCGTTCTGACATCATCGCAACCCCTGTTCAAGAAGCAGATGAACTTGCGCTTCGCATAGACTTTTTGCCAAATTATCCAAGCACCAAGGAGAAAGCCTGAAACATACACACACACTGCATGTGCTTGCACTACTAGTATCAAAGGTCTAAAATAAATATTCAAAATACGGTGTTGACGAATGCACACGCAAAATGCGACTTGTTTGAGGCTTTTGCTTTAGAACATTTACCACTGCAGATGCCAGCACTTGCAGCACACTCAACTACTCGCAGCATGCTCCTTTGTGCTTGGGTGATTTAGTAAAAGGTCTATAAGGGGTTACTCTTTCAGACACCATTCGAGATAGGCCACATGTTTCGAGGCATTTACAGAAATTGTGCCACGCATAATGAGGGCTTGCACATTGGTTGCTTCTTGGGCAGTGCAGAGCTTGTAAGGATGAATGCCCCAAAGGCCCACATTTAGGAAACACCGGATACAATCCCTCCAAGGTTATCTAGACAGCATGCATCAACAAGATGGCCCAACTATAAAGGTAGCCACATGGACAATTCTTTCGATCCAAGGTCCAGGTTGTGGCTTGACCAGAGTAACCTCTGAGAAAACGGTCCCTTTGAGAATGCTCCACGTACTGCAACAGGCTAACCGAGCGGTATGTACGGTGTCATAGGGTTACTTGGAGCGGCAGTCAATGCCATCTTTAGTGGCTTTAAAGACAATGGGCAGTGCAAAAGAACATAGTCTGAGATTTCTTCTAGGTTAAGTAAGTGCATAGTCCTGTATGATTTCCTGGTTTTGCAGACCTCGGAGGTATCCCTCAGGAGACACTGCTCGCCATTGAAGTCTGAGACAATTCTTTTATGATATTTTCTTAGTGCACACCCTAAGACAAGGCACCTCTTGTGACACACACAAACACACACAAAAAAAAAAAGTCTAAGGGGAGGTGCTGGTTGAAAAACGTAAATATATTTTAAACAATCATTTTGGGTTTTATGGTGTTTTATTATTTTTTAGTCGTTATATGTTAAATATAAAAATAATAAGGGTCAGTTATGATCGTGAAATTAGTTAGATACGCACATGAACTCCCGGCAGCCCAGAACGGCATAAATTGTAAGCCATTTTTGTGTGTGTGGTTCTTCAAATTGTGACGTCGCCCGCCATCACATTTATGTTGAGAAGTGGGCCTAGCCACCTCCCCTCCATTGCAGTCTCATGTAGCTTAATTTCTCTCAGAAAATTATTAACAAAAAATTCCTTTTCCCGTCGAGAAAGAGTGTCGCTACACATCGTGATAACATTTGAACGTGTTTATCTGTCTAATTTTGGGGCATCTTCGCAGTTTGCACACAAGTATATTTGTTCTTAACTTTGTCCTATCACCACTAAACTTGGCATACATATGCTTTAGGATATGTAAAATACAACTATGAAGGTTTGGTAAGAATGTATATTTTTTTTATATTTATGAAAAATTTAAGACACTTTCATTAGCCCTTTGGAAAAAAGAGTTTTTGTGATTTTTAGTTATTTTAGAATTAAATAGGTACTGCACACATTATTTTTCTTCATTGCACCCAGTGGCTTAAAAGGAGCAAATCAGATTATTTTACTAGGCCCTTTTAGGCGTGTTGCCATGCCCCATGTGAGTGCAAGAATGTTTTTTTTTTCTGCATAGCATCCAGAACATAAAAACAAGCTATATTAAAACCAACACCAGATTTATAAAAAGGAAATCAAGCACTACAAACTGTAAAGATTTAATTCAGTTATCGTAAATAACAAAAAAAATGTTTTCCCCTGGCACGTCCCCTGCAATTTCACTTAGAGGCAAGACTGGCTTCATTCCCAACACAACCCTCCTAAACTATACACCTTATCCGCCGTTCGTGGAGACGTAGTTATAAGGCACATGATTGTGAGTCTACCCTTTGGAGGTGACTCTAGAGTTGTGTGCTTGAACAGTTTGCGGAACACCAACTGCCATGGAGGATAGGTTACACCAAGGCACAGACTTACGAGGCTATATTTTGGGGAGTACGTCCCAAGCCAGGCAACGCAATCTTGGAGACAGGGTAACAAACGACCGACTGCCTCGACTGAGATATAATGGAGCGACTACCTCCTTGAGCGCCCTCACACACTCCGTTTCACCTTACGACAGATAGTAGCGGATGCAAAGAGCTATCCAAGCCAATCCAGTGCAGCGAACGTTTCACACGACTACATACCCGCGCACTGCTGCAGCCTCCTGAAGGTCACTTGACATTCACATGGCTTTGGATTGGCTTTGTCAGCTCGTAGCGTCTCCCACGGTCTATTGCAAAGCAAAACAAAGTATAGCAGGGCATTAAGACCCAGTTTTCAAGAGGCTACGCTGAAACGGCAGCCTCCAGGACTCGTTTCATTGTCCTCCGCTTGACAGAAAGAACCGCTCCGCCATATCCCAGAAGCGAGATTTTTAGCGACGACGAAGACAAGCAAAGTGCAGGTGCGAGAGCCTGGTCGAACTATGCCCACGCTGCGATTGTTGGTGTGTACTTCCGCATTCAATATGAGCCTAAACTGTCCTTCGTGCTTCTTTGGTGTATCTGCCAGGTTTTGAGAGAGTTGTGGTTGGAACTATACTCGTTTTCACCTCAAGAAAAAAAGGAAGTTTTGCACACCGTTCTTACGCCACGCAGAGTAGTTGTTACAAGATTTGGTTATCGGAGGAAGAAGCAATGCTTTTGGCATTTGAAAAGTGCACGTTTTGATAAGACGACGTACATCTAATCTAAAATGCACCTACACATATCTCAATTATCTACATAAAAGGGGGAAATAGTAATGCTCCGTGTGAAGCCGGACATTTTTACTACGGTTCTTGAGGGGAAGATGAGTGTAGGAATGGTATGCAAAGTTGATGTTGCATATTTTAGACTCCTCACAAATAGAGAGATCACAGAGCTTGTGGAGACAGGAGATGCAGAAAGAGGCCGAATCGGGTATTTCAAGTCATACCGATCGCGATAGTACACAGTTGTGACTCGGTGTCACGAAAGTCCTAAATGTGACGTCTATGAGTTGCTAGCAGGCTGGAATTCGCAACAAAAGTGGCGACGAGGATGGGATGGAGGTGGGAACCGGTGCCACGGTAACAAAAATTTTGAAGCGATTGCAGAAGCTTCAAAGCAACTGGCAGTTTAGCTCTAAGGAAACCCTTCTCAGAGGCTACCCTGGTCAAGCGCCTTGTGCAGGTCTGCCACCACCCTTGCGAGGGAGTCCCGATGGACGCTGTCCGCCCGGAACACGGCATCCAGCGTCTCGGGTGTTCCGAAAAAGCCAAACACGTGATCCACCCTCACCAGCGACTTGGGGGTGAGGTGGTGCCGCACCAAGTCCTTGAGGAGGGCGCCGCACTCCTGCACGGCGCCCAGCAGGTACTGCCGGTCGTACGAGTAGTCCACTTCGTGGAAGCTCACCACCGACATGGCGAGGGAACGCAGCTTGCGCTGGAGGTCCCGTCCGAGCTGGAGCTCCTCCGGCGAGAACTGCTCGTTGCGATGGAGCACGCCAACTTTCACCACCATCTGGGGGACCGACCGGGCAGAAAAAACGTCGACGGAAGTATAGTCGTTGACACATTATTAAGAAGCGCAACCTCTCCAAAGCATTGATGTCGCTCCGCGGCCAATAAGATTGCGGCATTCACCGATAAGAACGCTGAAGAACCACCAATCACGAAGCGAGAAGCGTACACGTCATGAGCCGAGCCTCGCGTTTCTTAGAATGTCAGCGAATCTAGCTACAACTAGGGTTCGGAGCCTATGAAGCTCCGTTTGTGACGAAATCTGAATTATCCCCTCTAATTATGTTTTCTGCAAGGAATCCCGGGTTCTTTTTTTACAGCAGTTGTTTTTGTCTAATTTTTTTGCGGGTGGTTGAAATTCAGAGGCAATGAAACTTGCAAGGCCGCATCTTCCTGACAAATTCTACCGGGAACGGTAAAAAGAATTGTTTGACAGTGGGTGCAATGAGCAGTAACAGCTATCTGCTTTGTTTTCGTTTCTATATCGATCAGGCCTTTGTTGTCTCGCCTGTTGTGCAAACTGAAAGATAAACGTTGGAAGGTATGTCCCAAAGTTCTCGATACCAGTTCCCTTCAAGCAAATGGGTAAAACAGACACCAACAGGTCATCTCGTAGCATGCTGCGGAAATGCAACGCTGGCGTACGACGACAAGACACCATGGCATCTTCTATTATGAATAGGTCGGTGCGCAAAGAATAACAGATGCACTGTTTTCTGTGTGTGTCCAATTGCCACTACAGGCGATGTACCACTGTGCTCCAACCATTAACTCTGTGCACACCAGTCACTGTGCCTACCAAATTATTTTCTTTTTTTATAGTGCAGCAAATGGCTAATTTTGTCAAATTTATTAAATCAGATGTCACGTCACTACTAGCAACTGGTGCCCAAAATAAAATCGTGCTCTCACGAAACTTGCTCAATGTGGGCACTTCTCGTTTTCTAAAACCACATGTGACGAGAGCAGTACGGGGGGTGCACAACAAGTCCCTTCAAATACCACGAAATAATAAGTACTCTTTTGTTAGGAAAGTAAAAACAGGCTTCCTGAAAATGTTAAGTGTGACACACTAGAATCGTTTGAAAAACGCTTAATGGTATGTGATTTTGTACTAATTTCTTACCTTTGTCGCACTTCGTGAGTGGTATAATGTAAAAAAGTGCGGCTGTGCTTTGAAGAGATACATCTCTGTTATGTATCCTATTTTGTACATACCCCTCCTGTAATGCATTCAATAGAATGTACAACATTTATTAAAACAAAAACAAAAACTGATTTGAGAAGTGTGGAGCAAATAGCAGGTTTGACTAGAAGATATGATAAGGTTCAGATTGCTTTGTCCTTTGCAGCTACTTTGTCATCCCAAAACAGAACAGTTATTTGTACACAATGCACAAGGCACAAAAAAAAAAAATGCTTTGATGTTAACAGAAACAGGATTATCAACTGCAAGGTGTTTCTTTGGGCTTTACAGATTAGTTTAAAAAAAGCCATCAAGTCCAATCATCCACATTCGCACTGCCAGTCTTGCAGCTCTCGCTGCTGTGCTGAATCCTGCTGTACCAAATCAGCTCTGTACTGAATTAGCACTACGCTAAAACACTGGTGAGCTGATTCAGCACAGCGCTCAAGTTTCAGCAAAGATGTCAGCGGGACCCACCTTGATCATGTTCTTGGTCAGCTTCTCAGCGTCCTTCTTGTTCCCCGTGAGCTGCTTGACCAGACGGTACAGGCTGTCCAGGAGACCAGCCGACACGTCATCGATGAAGGCCTTGGCCACCGTCTTGTTGCTCATGCGACTCAGCAGTTTCTTCTGGGCACGCAGTCCGATGTCCTTGGCTCGGAACTCCGCCACTGCACCGTTCACAAGAGATTCAATGGGGCGAGTTGCTGGCATAGCTAAAGGCACCAACAGGATAAGAATGGCAGGGAGGTCTATCAGTTGTCCTGTGAGCTTTGAGTGTGAACGTGCAGACGGAAGGCGACAAGCATATGCTGAAGGCTGAACATCCGAAAGAGATGTTCCGCACTTCTCGTCCCGTCTGTGACTACAAGTGCTCGTGCCTGCAGTAAATGTAAAATAGAGTGAAGTAAAGATTTCTATTGTGGCCATGGAGTGGCGCCGTAGTGGCTAAAGAAGAAATAGACATTGCAAGGGTGGACGTAACCAAACGGAGACTATAGTACTAGGCGGCAGAAGTCGAAGGAAGGTTACATGTTTTCTTATTCTAATCCTGGATACTGTCGAGGATGTTCCAGCTAAGAAAAAGAGGGTCTTCTGTTGTCACTGTCCAGCATGTCTTAGGGTATGTGGTATATATCGGCTGTTATAATTTAAAATGGCACGAAGTGGCACCAGGAGGTACAAGCTGCCGTCCGACCGGATTCATTCAAGCACTGGTAAGTCTTGAGAGAAGCATCCACCTGGGACACCAGGCAAGCAGAATTAAGTTCTAAGATTGCTCCTAAGATTTTCTCCTTCGAGACCGACTTGGGTGAATCACATGACTGCTTGCATGCCTTTTGTTCATGCCCCAAAAGCCACCGACAAGTTACCCCCCGTTGGGATAGGCCCCTGCGGAGGCCTCTTTCTTTCCTCTCGCCCCCCCAGGCGGGGGGATGCCGTCCCATTAACAGTCAGCAACCGGCCGTCCGAGCCGCTAATGACTGGCAACACCACCTGGCACCGCGACACACCTGCGCAAAAGGTTAAACCGGTCTCTTCAGGCTGACAGAGTCCCCGAGTTCAGCCTGTTCCAGCGGGTGCGAGGTGGGTGTGGAGGGAAGAAGACATGGGCAGGGCTCGCTTCGCTACTACTGGCTGCGAACATTACTGCAGGGACTCCCTACTAAAAGGTGGGGCCAAGTCGCCCTTTAAACAGATCAGAAAGCATCCGCGACTGTGTGCTCTCGGACGATGTAAACACTTCCGTAGATGTGTATTAAACAGAGTTTATATAGCAAAACACCCTCATATCTCCTGACGTTCCTGTCTGGAATCGTCCCCCAGTTCCTGTACTGGCGGTCCTACCCGATCCTGCTTGGAGAACTGTTCGGTCCCAACAGTACTCTCCTCTTAAAGGGGGGGTGCAACGATTTCCGGACTTCGGTCAAAAATTTGTGGAAGTTGCCCTCTGACACTTCTGAAGTAAAGAACAGAAACCCGTTTTCGCCTGTGTGTCCTAGTTATTGCGTAAAAAAAAAAAGATAAATATTGGCATTTCGGGCACCCCTCAACTCACTCCCAGTCTTCAGGGTTACACCTGGTCATATCCCTAGCGACGTCATTCGGAGTGCCGTGTAGGTTCCCGTGTGCTCTCCTTGGAGAACGCTTCCTCTCCCTCTCTCTACTGACATTAGCAGGCGTTATGCTAAAGCTTAGAGCCGAGCGAGGTCACGTAATCTTCTCGCCATAGTTCCTTCCGCTGCCACTTGGCTGCAGGTGGGGGGAAAAGCTAGACTTTTGCTTTGCAATTATGCAGCAGAATCACAACATTTATTAATGAAGGAGATGTTTTCTCTATCCTCCGGGACACGATAAACAGCATAAAAATGACGAGATGCAAATTCTTTTAACATAAAATCGTTGCACCCCCCCTTTACATGTTTTCTGAATTATGAAGCACATCGACCTCTATTCACATGTGCCGAAAGGACACACATACAATGGCCTTCTGCACAGAAAGCCAAACAGGAAAAGCACGAACATTACTTTGAGTACTATCAGCCTGAAAGTAACGTCTTCGGAACAACCCACCAGGCCACGAGAGAATCATTTGAATCCTGCAATGCCATCAATGCAGAACGACTACTGTGGTCTTTGAATTGAACAGATATACTTTTTCCTGTTTCCACAAAAAAAGTGCGGCCAGGTGGATGACAACTCGCGCATACACCATAGGTACTTCGATATGCATGCACAGGGCTCTTTCAGGGAAAAGAAAATTTAAACAATTTGAAGTCTTTCACTGGCGTCAAGTTTGTCAACTTCCTATGAAACGTTTCAGCGATAGCCTCGAGCTCAAGCTGGTCGCGCAGTAGAAAAGCTTTCGAGTGGCTTTAGCGGTTTAATTACCCGATTTAGTGGGACTCGATCTCGAATGAAGCCAGTGAATGCTCGTCGAGAAATTTTACTTCCGACACCCAGCGTGCCTTTAGAATGAATGCACACGAATCGACGAATACTAGGACGCAAACCGCAGGATTTATACGACGTAGAAAACCACGGTAGAAACGCGACACCTCTTGGTGACGAAACAGCGGAAACGAGCGACGTTTCCTCGTGCGGAAGCAAGACAAAAGTTAAAAAAAGAAAAAGGAACCAGCTTTGGGCGTGGAACCAGTGGAACTATTTGCACGTAAAGCGCACGGACGCACTTACTGTTTCGAGCAAGGTCCGCCCGAGCCAGCCAGGGGCGACGAGTTTTTGAAGCACTACACACAAAGTTGTCAAAGGCGCGCTGCGGAAGCGACGGACGGTGACAGGCGCCGAGAGTTCGAAATTCACGGCGCTCAAAGCTCAAACGTCTCGTTATCTCTGGGCCGGTGACGAGGTGAACAACGGGTGACGTCGGTGACACGAGTAGGGCATAGAGATCACGAGTAGGGAGGGAGTTGGGGCAGTTGGGGCACGGTTGGGGCTGGCTGGGGTCGGTTGGGGTTGGATATGTCGCGAACTTCGGATCGGAATCGGAACTCTTTCGGGGCTTTCGGGCTTCTACGTCTAGTGCTTCCGGTACGTAAAAGCGGCAGCTTGCGCCGCCTAGCCTAGTTTATATCAGTTTACAAATTTTGCATTAAATTTTGTCCCTTGTTAATAAGCATATATCCCGAATTTTGTATAATATCAACTTCTCTAGACCTTTTCCACCAATCATCTAACCTCCTCTACGTTACTGTAATAACCTTTTCGTCCATTCCTCCATTCCCACGCACCAGACAACACGAGAACCTGTGCTCCCGCAAAATCTCTCCCCTTCAGCCCCTTCAGCAGAGCCGTAAATGTAGAGAGTTTGGCCATTCGTAAATGAGGTGGCGCCATTGGCCGAAAGCGGGCTGGGCGTGTTCCAGGGCGTCTTCAGAAATTTGAATGTGACCAACCAGAAGCCGGAAATAATACCCTGGCGGTGGTCGTAAGAAACAAACCTGATAACTGCATTGGAGTAACTCTCAATGGCTGAGAATATAATACACGTGATGTTTCAATCACTTTAATCCAAAATGATGGTGGAAGAGTGCGACTAGCGGAACTATCGACATGATCCGTACATCAAGCGCCCAGTGCCGGGAATCTGCCGCCCGAACGGTCACATCCTGTCCGCGCAAAACAGAGTTACGCGGCGCATTCGTTTCTTACATCTTTCTGCATGATCATGATCAAAACGACACGCGTACCCTATTTTCAACCACGAAGAGTTACTACACTTCACTCTTTCGCGCTTATTAAAACCATATACGAACATAGACTTTTGATCAGAACTGTTTGCCGCTACCACCGCTAGGGGATTCTTTTCGGCTTCTGGTTGGTCAAGAGAGCATGCCAAGCCCTCTTTCCGACTCTGCCGTACGCTCTGGCTCTGCCCGCGCCTCCCATTGACCAAACTCTCTACATATACAATTTATTACAGTAAGCCTCTATGGCAGTGGTTCTCAACCTCTATGGCAGTGGTTCTCAACCATTCGCGGACCCCTTGTGGATCGGCGGAGATGATGGAGGACCCCGTTCGTGGTGAGAGGATAAGAAAGGTATAGGTTACATATAACAATGATTTAATTAATGTGCATAACTAAGGGTTAATGTGAGGTACACCTCTCTTATTGACATACACACGAGACAACTGACCCAAAACTGAAACATTCTTCTCGATCTGAAAAAAAAAATACAACTATTATTGCCAGGCGTGACCGATGAGGCAGGGCTTCGCGGACCCCTAGAATGCCTTCGCGGACCCCCAAGGGTCCGCGGACCCCCGTTTGAGAACCACTGCTCTATGACATGGGCAATAGCCTTTTCACTGTCACCCGGGTTTTAGAAACCGAATGAAGCATTATTATAAACGTGATATCTGATATGCAATGCGTTACCAAGTATCAAATTTATATTTATGATTGTCCCCGTAACCGCGGTACTACGTGCAGTCTCGCAGCTCCCCACTACGGTGAACTAGAGAGGAGTAGTAAGTCCACATCAGAAGTGTCGAACCGGAACCGAACCGAAACTGAACCGAACCGAAGTCTTCGCCGCCATCTTGGAACTGAGCCGGAAAAAAATATAACGGTAACCGGTTCAAAGCGGTTCACGGTAATTGTTTTTTATTGTTGCAAAATGAGTGTTTGAGAAGTAAAAAATTGACAGCTGTATTTCTATGCAGTTATAAAATTGTCATATACCAAATTGCAATGTATGAGAAAGTGTGGGTTTTCGGGGCGCTTTTGTATTGGCACTACGACTAATCATGTGTCACGTGGTCACGTGATGTCATAGTATGAAGTCATGTAGTCAAATAATGCTACATCGCGTGGTCCCGTGACATACTTGCGTGACTCACTGCGTCAAGTCGACTTAAATTGAGAACGTCACTCACCGTGACGTACTCAAATGTCATCAGCCCGAGTCGAGTGCTCGGGTTCTTGAATATCAGCATCGCCAAACATTCGTGTTGATTCGTGTTCATTCAAAGATGAGAATAGCCGAACTCTAACGATGTCTAAAGCGCAACTGGTGCTTTATTCTTTGCCAACCCCAGCGTACGACTATGAGGAACACTGACGGTATAGACTTTTTCATCCTCCTCCGCTTGGGCGCTGCCATCTTGGAATCATGTGACGCGGCAGCCATTAGGTTGCTTCAACTTGCTGTTCCGCTCTCCCCTCCGCGCCGTTGCGGATGCGTTGCGTGGCGAGCACCCAGTCGGAGGGTGAAAACGGGATTGTAGAGTCTGTGGACGAGCGAAGTGACGTAAACGAAATAGAATCTGAAGGTTGCCTTCAGTTTCGAACAGAGCAAAAGAACGACGAGTCGCTGAAGCCCTTGTGGCTACAGGCAAAAAAAGGGACTCATGGAATGCAAGTGGTTGATGGAATGCTGTTCCATAAAGAAAAAATAAATGGCAGAATTGTCAAGCAGCTAGTTTTACCGGAAAGCAGGCGGAAGACAGTGTTAGAAGTAGCCCACGACAAACCAGTTGGCGGGCATTTCGCTGGAAAGAAAACGCAACAGCGAATTAAGAATTCATTTTACTGGCCGAACATGCAGGAGCAGATTAGTAAATACTGCAAAGATTGCCATTACTGCCAGTTGAACGCGAGACCTAGAACCAGAGACCGTGTGCCTATTACCCCGCTAGTAAGACCAGATGTTCCATTCCAGACAGTTGTAATGGATTGTATTGGACCGTTAGACCCGGCGTCCTCGAGGGGGCACAAATATGCCTTGTGTCTGGTTGATGTGTGCACGAGATGGCCAGAAGTGGTTTGTATCAGATCGCTAACGGCGAAGGCAGTGTGTGACGCGCTGGTTGAAATATTCGCGCGAATGGGAGTGCCAGAAACAGTCTCGTCCGATCAGGGCACAAACTTCACGGCCGAGCTCACACAGGAGTTGCTGCATAGGTTGGGGTCGTCACCCAGGTTCTCTACACCAGAACACCCAGAGAGCAATGGGCTAGTTGAGCGATGGAATGGTACGCTGAAGCGGATGTTGAGGCAAGTGATAGCGGAACATGGGCGGGGCTGGGATCGCCTAGTTCCTTGCCTACTTTGGGCCTACCGCGAAGTCCCGAATGAAACTACGGGGATGTCGCCATTTGAACTCATGTATGGACGCGCGCCGAATGGTCCACTGTCCATCCTAAAAAAATCGTGGACTGGTGATTGGACGCCCCCGTCTACGCTCGTTGAGTCGGCGGACAAATATCTGGTTAGATTAAGAAAACAAATGGCCGACATGACGCGAGTAGTAAAGGAACAGGCAGAGCACAAACAGAGGTCGTACGCCACGCGTTACAATCTCCGAGCGAAAGAGAAGGCCTTTTGTAGGGGCGATCTAGTGCTACTAAGGGACACGAGTGGTAAAAAGATGAACTTTCCTTGGTTGGGACCAGCGAAGATACTAGAGGTTAGGAGAAAGAACAGCTACGTAGTTGAGATGCCTCACGGTGGCCGTAAGTGGATCCACGCCAACAAACTTAGGCCATATGTGGCACGCGTTGACGCTGTTGGTGTTATCTTTGATGATCCGGACTTCGGTTCGGTGGAGGAACTCCCCACAGACGGGAGGGGAGCAGGTGAACCTGAATCACAGAAAACCGCGGAGGAAAAAGAGATGTACAGCATGGTACAGCAGTTCGTACGTGTCTTTTCTAGGCGCCCAGGAAAGTGTGCAAAAGGACTGCACAAGATAAGACTTGTTGAAGGTTCGCAACAAAAGAAGAGATATGCTTATAGGGTGCCGATTAAAATGAGAGCTGAGGTTGAAAGGCAGGTAGAACAGCTTCTAGAACGGGGTATGATCTATCCAGTTGAATCAGAGTTTGCTCATCCGGTAGTGTGTGTAGCGAAGAAGGATGGGAGTGTGAGATTGTGCATCGATTATAGGCGATTAAACGCGATCACGGAAGTCGATGCCTTTCCAATGAATAATGCTACCGAAATGATCTGGATGGTCGCGAAGGCGTCGTACATAACAGTACTGGACCTAACCCGTGGGTATTGGCAAATACCAGTCGAAGAACGGTCTCAGAAGTTCACAGCATTCGTAACCAATCGTGGGCAGTACGCATGGAAAGTTATGCCCTATGGGTTGAAAAATTCAGCGGCAACTTTTCAGCGTGTAATGAATGAAGTGTTGCGACCACACAGAGAATATGCAGGCGCATATATCGATGACATTGCAATATATTCTTATAAGTGGGAAGACCACCTTTTGCATGTAAAAGGCGTTCTCGAAACCTTAAGTCGCGTGGGGCTTACGGTGAAGCTGTCCAAATGCAGGTTTGCCAAGGGAATGGTGATGTACCTCGGCCACCAGATCGGCTCTGGGAGGCATGCTCCTGACCCCGTTCGTATCAAGGCGATTCAGATCATGGAGAGGCCAAAGACTAAGAAAGAACTGAAGAGCTTTTTAGGGCTAATGAACTACTATAGAGACTACATTGCGAACTATGCTGAAGTGGTGTTGCCGTTGACCGCGCGAACTGGAGACAGGACTCCGAACGTGTTACCGTGGGGTGACGAGGAGGAACAAGCGTTTCAAAAGGCAAAGTGTCTCCTGATGGAAGTCCCAGTCATGAGAGCGCCAGATGCCAGCCAGCCTTTTGTTCTGTCCACCGACGCATCGGATAGAGCTATAGGGGCATGTCTTGCCCAAAGGGCAGGTGATGGGAAAGAGTACCCGGTGGCGTTTCTTAGTAAAAACTAACTGATCCCCAAACCCGGTGGGCTGTAATCGAACGCGAAGCTTACGCCATTGTGTGGGCCTTGGGTCAGTTGGAAACGTGGCTACTTGGGGCGGAGGTTGAAATTCGCACCGACCATAACCCTTTGCAGTATTTGGCGTCAGCAGCACCAAATAGTGCGAGGCTGACTCGTTGGGTGCTAGCGTTGCAAAAATTTAACCTGAATGTCCAGTACGTAAAAGGGACGAAAAATGTCCCTGCTGATGCGTTGTCAAGGCTGTAGCCGGGTGGAGTTTTGTTTGTGGTTAATGTACTTTAGGTGTTCTCAAGAAGTTTGTCAGTCTTTCAGTGATCATTCACGCCGAATGGACGGGAATGTGCGCGCAGTTCGTTTTCTTTTTTTCTAAATGCTACGATTGTAACGGAATACACAAATTGTGATTTTTTTATTGGAAAAGAAAAAAAAAAAAGGGGGGGGGGGGGGGCGTGTCATGCATGTGGCATGCACGAGGCAGCGGATTCAGCGCGCGCCGTCGCCGACGGGTTATCGTGCTTTGTGATTGTTATATTTTTGTTACCCG